GTAAAGGCTATATTTATATTATTTATATTGAAACTGATAGATATCAACAATATTTATCTTATAAGATTGATTATCTCTTTCTCAACTTCTTTTCGCTTTTTATATTTTCCAATAAGAATTCGTTTAATCATTTCTTTAATCAATTCTAGACAATAGATATATAGATTATTGATGGATATAGGGATTTCGATATAAGTAATATATTCTAATAAGTTTATTATTATCTTTATAATATATATCGAGATGAGTAATTGCTTTTGATTTTAGAGTTCTATTATAAAGAGATTGGATTTCTTTTATAATCTCTTTTTCATCCGATTCAAATAATCCTTTCTTTCTTTTATTCTTATCTCTAAGATTTTCTTCAATATTTATTTCATTATCTTGTTTTTGGAAATCCTTTTTCAATTTTGTTTTTTCAGTTAATAGTATCAATCTTTGTAGGATTCGTGATACAAAAGTAGTGGGTTTTGATGATTTTTCAATTCCATTTTATTCTATTGTTTTTGTTTGTTTAGGAGGTTGATTATATAATCTAATTATTTTTTTTGATTAAGAGATTGTATTGATATTAATCAATTATTCTTTTTTATATATAAAGTTATTGATAGATATATTCTTGATGATATCGATATTCGAAATATTAATCTTCAGAAATCCTTGGTTGTTTGATGGTTCTGTATTATTCTATCGAAACTCGGTATTATTATATATTCTGGATTGTATTATAATTTGTTGTCTTTCAGGATGAAATTTGTCTTTAAAGATCGAAGATGTATTAGGGTTTCCTTTTGATTCAAATCTGAAGGTTTTATAATTATTATAATAATACAATCCATTTTGAATATTTTTATATATAATAGAACAATTTTGTTTAGTATTATAATTATTATTATAAAGAGCTTATTCAAAACAATAAAAACAATACCAATCTTTTTTATTAATAATATTTATATTTATATAGATAAAATTATAGTTTTCTTGAATCAGGAATTTATTATATTTAATATTCCTTTCTTTTTGAAATATTTATTGTTAAAAAGGGATATAAATATTCTTTGTATTTCTAATACTTTCAATTTGAGTTTGTAGATAATTTATATTTAATTTATTCAGAAGTTCTATTATCTTATTTACTGATTTATCTTCAATCCTTTTCTAAATATCGAAATTTGAAATAGTTTTTTTAGAAAATAATGTTTTCATATATTCTTTTATAGTAAATATAATTATAGTTTGATGTTATCTAAGCTTTTTATAAATCTTGATAATAGAATCTTTCGATATATACTATTTGAAGACTTCATTTATCATTTTCTTGTAATTCATAGTAGTAGAATTATCAAGATCAATTTTGAAGCTTTTAATAATCTTTTTGTTAACTTGTATATATAGATTATATAGGAAAAGTCTTTCTGTTTCAAATTTGGTGATTATTTTGTTTTCAATAAGTTGGTTTGTAAAAAAGATGAATTTAGTAATATAATTCTTGATCAAGATTGGATTTGTATTGTAAAATGTTTTGTATTTGGATTATTGAATATCGATAAATTGATTTAAGAAATTGTAAGTGTTAATAATTTGTTGAATATCGAAATTGTAGAAATAACAAAGAAGAATTAGATAGAATCTCTTTTTCTAATTATAATTAATAAGATTATATTTCAGTATAAGTTTTATTTGGATCGAAATAATCTTATTATAATATCAAGAAAGGCAAATTTGTATTTCGTTATTGAATATATTATAATCAATTTGTAGAACTTTTTATATTATAAGGAAATCAGAGATATTGTTTTTATCGAAGATAGAAATATTAAAGCTTCTTGTATAGAGTATAATAAAGTATATATATATATAATTTATAATATTTCGATCTGATATATAAACTCCTATTAATTGATCTATATTATCATTGTTTTTGGCTTTTTTGATTTTCCTTTTTTTGAGATTATCTTTATTTTTTTTAGTATAATTTTCTTTTAAATCGATAAAGGATTTCTTATTAAAGTTGTAAGAAGTAGATATCTTCGAAGATTTTTAAGAGATATCTTTTAAACGAATTTTAAATTGATTAGGGTTTTCTATAATAATAGGATGATAGTGAATTTTGGATAATAATAGATTTGATTTATATAGTTGTTAGATTAAAGGATGTGTATTAAGTGTATCTGAATTTGAATCAACTTTAGGTTTTTGATAATCTTTGTTGTTTATATTTTTTTTTTTGTAAAGTTTAGAAAAAATAAAGGAGTTTTTAAATAATTCTTTCAAAAGTATTTTTTTTTTTAAAAGGATTATATAGGGTCTAAATCCCTTATTTAAGAGTTTTTTAGGATATATTTTAAATTTTTGAATATTGATATTAAAGGTAGCAATTCTGTGTATTACAATCTAATCCTTTTAAGTATTATCTTATAAACAGATAACAAGATATTTCATTTAATTATAAGATGTATAAGATTCTTCAATCTGGTTAGTTATATTCTATCAAATTTATTTCAAAATTAGGTCTTTTCTGTTTTTGTAAGTTATTAAGATCTAATCTTTGAGTAAAACTTTATTAATATAAATCTTTTATATAAAATATAAATAAATAGATTGATAATAAATCGTTTATTTATAATATAATGAATTAATAAGAATAGAGGTGATTAAGAATCCAAACCTTTTTTATTTTTTATTTGATATTTTCATTTTTGAAAGGTTCATTTTTTCAGAGTTTGTTTTTATCCCTTTATCAACAAATAGTTAATTCTATTTTCTTTTTCAATATAATATCCTTACAGATTGGTTTTATATATTTTGTAAACAATATAGTTTGATGTTTTTGTATAGATTATCATTGTAAAAATAATAGGTCGAGATATGTATATCCCGATAGTATATTGTGAGGAGGGAATTAGAAAAGAAAGCTGAATTAGATTATATTGTAATATATCATTTATAGGTAAAACGGGGTTCATAATGGTTTTGGGGTTGATATTATATAGGTTCAAATGTATATATGTAGAAGGTTTATTATTATGAAAAGAAGAGGCAAAAGGCTTTTCTTTTATATTTAATTATAAAAGGTCATGTTGTAAAAGTGGTAGGTCGAGATACGTGCGTCCCGATAGCACATTATAAGGAGGGAATTGGAAGAGAAAGCTGAATTAGATTACATTGTAATACATCACTTATGGGTAAAACGGGGTTCACAATGATTTTGAGGTTGATGTTATATGGGTTCAAATGTATATATATAGAAGGTTGATTATTGTGAAAAGAAGAGGCAAAAGGCTTTTCTTTTATATCTAACTATAGAAGGTTATATGATTGACTAGCTAAAACCTTTATGTATTTGGTTTATAATTCCAACTTTCTCATAATGTGATTGACTAGTTAAAACCTTTATGTATTTGGTTTATAATTCCAACTTTCTCACAATATATACTTTCAAATAATGATATATGAGATAAAGTGGCAAGATAAGTCTAGTACCCCACTTTCCGGCCACCCCTCTTTCCGGACACCTTTTTACACCGAAAATCATCATTTTCAGCTATTAATAACTTTACAATTAATCACTAAAATTTGATGAAATTTGAATCACATATATATTGTATACTTATTAATAGATTCTGAAAATTTCAGATTTTTCACGATTTTATTGATTAAGAAATTAAAAGTTGAAATTACGATTTTCAATTTGTATAAGATTTATATACAAATTTGAAAAACTTGAAAAACTTCAATAATTTTTCAATAAAAATTATTAAAAATAAACTATAAATTTTTTGGAAATCTTCAAATCAAAGATTATATAATAAATTAAGATTTTGAATTTTTAATAATATAAATAAATCTTTATTAATCTTTATAAATTTTATAAGGATTAAAAATTATAACATTTTGATTAAAAGGATTTCTGTAAAATATTTTTTAAAATAAATTGATTCATTTGATTAATTATGATATAAATACTCGAAAAAAATTTATAATTTATTTTTAATAATTTTTATTCAAAAGTTATTGAAAGTTTTAATAATTTTTCAATTTTATATATAAATCCTATACAAATTTAAAATTCAAAAATTTAACCTTTCAATTCTTAATCAAATCAATAGTGAAAAATTTAAATTTTTCAAGATTGATTGATAACTATATAATAAATCTATAATTCAAATTTCAATCGATTTAATTAATTGGTTGTTGAAATATTAATAGATGAAAATGTTGATTTTTGGTGTGAAAAGATGTCCGGAATTAAGGGTAGCCGGAAAGTAGGGTACTAGACTTAGTTATTTTGTGCTCCGCATTGTTTCAAACACATTTTCTTTCCAGAGCTTCACCTACGCATGGCATGAAACCATTAATAAAGCTTCTGAGTTATTTCGGATCGGATGAAAACGGTATTGGCTATTGTCTTTCCTCTGATCAAGGATCCAAGTTTTGGAGTTCTTAAATATGCAGGTGTCTAGCAACCATAATTAAACTGTCACCTGAAACAATCAAAGGCGTTTAAATTTTCAAAAGATTTTTTATTCACGACAATAATCACAATTGAGGAGTTTCAAAATCATGGAGCATTCCATTCTTTTGACTTCCGGGAACATGAATAAATTTGTACAATTCTGTCTTTTCTTTTGCACCCAGGTTTCAGAATCCCGCAAGTTTAGAGGTGCTTTGAGGCTGAAGGTTAAATCTGAAAGATCGTTCCGAGTTAGATAGCATACCATTGAAGTGTGGTAAAGAAAGATATACTTTTGTCAAGATGGCACTGAGAAACGGCAGCGGGCATATCTCATCTAATAAGTCTACTAAATTCCTTCAAAGTTAAAATTTTAAGAATGTAGCAGACAGTTATCTGTATTATTTTAGTGCTACTAGCTAACTCAAACCCCTGATGAGCTAAGTAAGAATGACTGTCAAACCTAAACATCAGATGCACAAACGCTAGCCTTCACAAAAGTATCAAAATGTTTGGCAAGCACCAGATCCTGCTTGTTACACTTCTGTCACAGAGCCATATCTAGCTGACATCTCTCAATGAACATCACCATAGGTGGCCACCGGTCGTCCTCATCCCATGATACCATCTTCTCCACCATGTTCCCAGACACACTGAAATATTTCAATACTTCGTCCCAGAGCAGTGTAGGCTTGCCGCGGTGATTCTTCCCAACCACTTTTGACATGTCTCCAGTAGCGAATGCACACGCATGTAAGTCCTCTAGGAGTCGAGCAACTAGTCCCGTACCCTTCATTACTGATGCTATCTTTACATGAAGAATGCGCGGATATTTTTCGTTCAGGCGGACATATGCAGCTGTCGGCATAGGTGGAAGGTTCTGGCGAGTAGTGGTTGTTTGGTTTGGTTTCTTTGATTTTTGTTTAGTAATAAAGGCTCGAGGTGCTTTAAGAATCGATGGGGTTGGTTTATTCGACTTGTGCAAGTTACTGTCTGACTGTGTTGGTTTCTTTGATTTCTGTTGAGCAGTGGTCGAATTTTTTGCTTCTTGAGACTTATGCATAGTAAATTCGATTCTTCTCTTCCGCCAACTTATGTAGAGTAGGAGCTGGGTGCGATGTTTTTTTCGGCTTTTTTAGAGAGGCACCTAGTTTGGTTTTCTCCTTTGCGTTCTGCGGCATAGGAAGTGGCTGACTTTCTTTCTCAAATTTCTTCAGAATGGAGGCCAATTGATCTTTATTCAACTTCTGTGGACTGCGTGTCGCTTGTGTCTCTCCTCTGCCTTCACTCGATCATGAACCTTGCCTTTGGTCAAGTCAACGATCACGGATTTATTGTGTTTCTCTACCTTAGCTGATTTTGCTTGCTGTAGTGTTTCTATTTCTTGATCTAATCTGGTTTCTAAATTCGCAGGCTCTAACGGAGGAATTTGTCGCATTTATGGGATTAATGCGCCCCGCATAGCTTTGTCTTTGATCTCCGTATTTCCAAGGTATGCTGCGAGGAGTTCAATACTTTCCAACTCTATATCTGAATGCTTTCTGCATGACCCATCTAGGAGTCTATAGCTAGTGGCTTTCCGTCCAAAAAGCGTACGAGGCAGTCCATCAATGTCGAAAGCGTTGAGACATTCCATTTTGCAATTCGGTCGTATCCTGGCGGCGATACTGAAATTTCGACTCGACCAAATTGTAAATGTATACTATCTTCCCCAGGACTTTTGGAAGCGCAGGCTTGTCCGTTTTTGTGTGCTCCAGATCGTAGCAAAGTTGATCCTTTGAGTCTTTCAAAACTCCATTGCGTCTCAAGTCAAACAATGAACGGATCAAAGGTACTTTATCGAAGACAGTTGCTTCTCATGCCTTGGTCATGCGGGTCTTTTCCTTGTCATTCTTCAAAAATGTTGCTTGGAAAGTAATTATTTTCGAATGTCTCTGGTCTTTATATGTTGTGCTAAATAAAATAGAACTCATTAGCATTTGGTATATCAAGCTTTACAATCAATGTCACATATCACAACATTAAGTAAAAATCCCTGCAGATCAATGATCCACCACTTACACATCTTTTGCGCTATCCGATTTCTTGTCTTTCAAGGAGTTATCCATCACTTCAGTGGTCCGCAGTGTCTTGAATGAAAAAACGGCTTGAATTCAAATCGATTAATTTGCAATAAAGTTGAGGTGAGACTCGGCAGGTTGTGGGTCTGCGCCTCGTCTATCTTAATAAGCGAGAAGTTTTGTTACCAGTGACATCATCAACCGTTGCTCTGTGTGGCTTTGATCTCACGGACACAACATACGGTGGACTTAGACTTTGGCGGAAAATATCTTGGTAAATCAGAACATTGTTACTTCCCACTATTAGACGCGCATAGAACCTTTTTCCAATGAATGGAAACATCTAATTTTTTGTTATGCAAATCTTGTTGTCACTGATTATTAAGCAGCATCTGGAGGATTGAAAACTACACTCTTTGTCTCTGTAATATTGTCCTAATATTGTCCTAATATTGTCCTAATATGTTCCTGAAATAACTTTATTAAATATTCATCCGATAAATTTATCCCCTGCTTCGAATTGAGCTGCTTGTATATATCGGCCGCAGATGTACTCACGTCACGTCAATATGGATAAAATGGCTGTTCGTAAAAGAGATAAGAGAGTAAAATGCTGAAAACTGAATGAACATCTTCAAAGGATGAAATACGTCTGTAAATTTTGTTTATCGAGCTCCTACAACATTTTAAAGAAGATCTTGGGGCAAGGCTCTTGCTAAGATGATGCTTACAAAGACATCTCAATCAATGCATGGATATGGCTAATAAACAAAACGACTGACACAACTACACGCTAATTAGTGACGGTTCCAAAATTTCAATCATCTAAATCATGAAACACAACTTAAAGGTCGTTGTGTTTGGCATAGAGTCTGTAGTTGACTGAATTACTGTCTTCCCAAATAGCTACCGGAAGTCGCATTCCTGACCAAAAACATTGCAAGCTTCCCTCGATTCTGCGTTCTTGTCTCGGAAACAATGATCAAACCATGTCTTTCATCCCCTTCCGTTGAGCTCCACCACAAAGGTTTCCGACTTAGCCCTTTCATTCTGTGCCTCTCGAGGCCTAGGAGACTTCCTCCTTTTTTACACGCGTCTCCCCAGCTTGTGTACGAGTGCTTTTCTATCGGAGTCAAGAACATCGGATATCGTTACGCGACTTTCTTGCTCGTGGGGGTACCAGAGCCAAGTGCACCCATTGTGCCTACATATGCCTCTCCTACCATTATCTTTTCATGAATGGCGGGTTCTGATGGTTTCCTAGCGGTGAATATCCACTCTGCATTAAGAGAACCAAGCTCGGGAGGAAATGCTACCAAACTCACTTTCTAGATCTAAACAAATTTTTTTTCACGGAGCAGTCCGAGCCATCGAGATGATTTAACAAATACCTAATTTATGTAGTACTTACCCGTTGGTACCTCCTTGTGGTTGAAAATTACATCATCAGATACCGCGCCACGGTTTGACTCTTTAGTTCTTTAGCGACCATCCTGAAGAGACGACTGGCATGTCAAAGAATTGAACGTTCGCCATTGGGCCTTTTACGTGGGGTGAACGAATGCCAGGTGTCTAGTTCTTGAGGCAGCCATCATCCAGGATGGGGTTCCAGAGATGACTTTCAAAGCACTAGAGCCTCGGCCAGAAAGGATTGGTAACTTCTAAAGATTGTGCTTAGCAAAATTCTGAATTCTTTGAGTAAGGCAAAGTTAGTTTAGACTTTTTTTACTTCAGGGGATCAACCTCCTACTATATAATCTATTGTGTAGATATATTCGGAATGAAATACTCAGTTTTTGTTGAGTAATACATATTTTGGCTAAAGGAGAAGACAGTGAATCTAGGAGAACTCTAGCGGAGGAGATTGGGTGATGCCAGTATGAGTTTGTTAGGGTTGTAAGATTCATCAATGGGTATCAAACATTAAGCATAAATGATCGTGTTTTGGCGGACCACTGGATGCAAAATCAAGGATCAGAGAAAATGTAATACTGTTGAGAGATATGATGAGAGCAAGTAAGGGAGATAAAGATTGACCTTGAAAGGAAAGCTATGTGACTAGACTATTGACTTTTCAAATTTCTTGCTTCTCCTGTTCATTCGTACATAAAAGGCCACACATCCTAGGATGACAACCAAAAATAAGCCCTTCTGCATGAGAGTGTAACCTGCCTCATCGGCATAACCAAATTCCTCTGTCTCTGTTTTTGGGGTACCGACAACTGGGATAAGTGGGATGACTGCGGTGGCAGCATCAGGAGTAGAAGCATCGATCGGAGTAAGTGGAACTTCGACCTCCTCCATACCGTGTTGAAACTCGGCAGTACCGTATTCATCTGCAGCACGTAAGACAGACGAATCAGTAAGTCCTCCCAATGACACTCGCAGCATTTCCGCGGAAGGAGTCTACTCTAGAGTTCCACGTGGATACCTTCTTCTGGTACTGGTAATTCCCCACTCTCGGTGATCTTGACGGCCTCAACCGGTCTGTCTGATGCTCCCTTCTTTACGTTCTCGATGGCTTCGATAATCTCGTAGCCCTCCAAGACTTCGCCAAAGACGACGTGTCTACCATCAAGGTGACTACAAAAAAGTTAGACTGTGCAATTCTTACAAAAGAGAATAGAATGCATGGACTTACGATGGAGTAGATGTGGTAATGAAGAATTGGGAGCCATTGGTGTCTTGTCCGGCGTTGGCCATGCTGAGAAGACCTTTCTTGGAGTGCTTCAACTTGAAGTTCTCATCTGGGAACTTAGCTCCGTAGACTGTCCATTGTTAGCACCCCGCACATCACTCGCAGACTTATAACCTACTTGATTTGCCTCCAGTGCCATCACCCTTTGTGAAATCACCACCTTGGATCATAAAGCCCTTGATAACACGGTGGAAGGTAGAGTCCTGGTATCCGAAACCCTTCTCGCCAGTCGCCAAAGCTCTGAAGTTCTCAGCGGTCTTGGGGACAGTCTTGCCGTAGAGACCTAGAACAACACGACCCATAGGTTCATCGCCGTGGCTGATATCGAAGTAGACCTTGTGGGTGATCTTTGGTCCTTTGACAGCTTCAGCCGTTTGGGCAAAGAAGAGAAGGGTAACGGTTAAGATAAGTAGTGCAGAGACTACAAAACGTTGAAGGGTAAACATTCTGAAAGCCAATTGGATGTTGACTTGTGTGATTGTAAGTTTGGAAATAAAGTATGGTGCCGCCCAAGAAAGAATTTAGGAGGATGAAGAGGATGTGTGTTTTGGAGAGGTGTCGATTAGATTTAGCGCGGGGTGGCACGTGCGAACCTCTGAGGGAAGGTCATATCAAGGGGTCCGTGCATTATCAAAAATCATCAATTCCACAACAAATCAGAGACGGCGAGAAACGTTGGAAGGCATATATCCTCACTACTTATAGCATTAGAATTCCTTGAAGATGGTACGTGTGCGCGAATTATTTCTATCGTCGGAGTACTAACGTCGCTTGGAGGTTTTCATCCTAGGAAACTCGTTTGCCGAAAGGATTTTGGTGAAGGTAAGACCTCCCCCTCATCTCCCATTGGCACTCCTATATTTTTGGTTCGCGTTCTTATGGCATATAGAAAGCTCTGGAGTCATTTTATGGCTTGGGAAACCAGCATTCTACACGCATTATGGCCAAGCATTATATTCATCCCACGGCGACAGTCGGTTCCTTGTCGCAGAAAACAGCCACCTCTCTGACTGCTGAACTTTCTACCATGCCCCTGGAGACTGAATTGAAACGAAGGCTTCAAGATAACCTTGAAAGAATGAGAACAATGGGTACCTATCGGGGAAGGAGGCATGCCATGGGTCTGCCGGTAAGAGGTCAGAACACAAAGGGTCAGGTATGTATAGACCTGCGGAGCGGGTATGCAAAGCTGTAGATACTAATCGATGGTAGATATCGACGGCCAGGAAGCTCAACAAATTGCACAGAAAAGGATGAATGGTTTACTGGGAATTTTTGTAAAAATAAAACGGCATTGTGGGCGCATCTACATGGTTAGGCAGGCTGTACGAATAGTGATGATGAAATTAACAATGAATCACGCTTCGGGCTCGAGGGCGTAAGGTTCCAGACAATATGGACAATTGTAAAGGGTTGTTCTGATTGTCCGTAAAGTCTTGAGAGAAGCAAGAACCTGTGTTTTCAGAACAACACCAGAATAACATATGAATGCTGGTATGATCACACGACTTTCAGAGCTTCGAAATCTGCAAGTTACAGAGTACCACTGCGCGGAAATATTCATGAAACATTTCAAAGTTGAATATAACAGGTAAATTCACAATATTTTTTTGATATCTTTCAACCTCGATTGGATCATCGGAACTAGGACAAACAATGAGATCTTATAATTTGTGTAAAATCAATTTACTTCGAAAGGTTTGAGAGTTTGAGAATTTGAAGAGCGTTCTACGGATTCCAGCACACCATACCAGTCGAGTAAGATATGAAATTTTTGAAGCAATTACCACATGTTCTTTCAACTAGTACGGAGTGTAGTTCCCTCAGCCTGGTCATGCTTACCCGCACTCGTTATTCCTCCGGTCCTCCGCAGTGGAAAGTATAAAATTTGCAACCATTCCCAAGGGTGCTTTTTTTTTTCCCCCCGAAATATTGTCTAATACTCAAGTGAGACGCTTCTTTTTCCGGCCGAGAACCAAAACTTTCACCTATCAAGTCATTCTCTGTTGCTTTCCGCGGCTCGAGCAGATTTTCGCAGCATGCGTTAAACTTGCCACTAATTGTACCCAAAGAATGGATTCAGCCAGCACATTTTCCATGTCCATATCAATATCCACGCAGTGAGGAGCGGCAGATCCTGCGAAGTTCGTGAAATCGTTGTTCATTGGCGGACTCCCAATTCCCAGGCCTGTATTACCCCTTCTTGGTTTGAGTTAAACGCAACTAAGACCGCATCGTCCCAGTCCTTTTGCGAAGTAACGCCAATATGAGCTCCCTGGTTTGAGTTAAATGCAACGGAAACTGTGTTGTTCCAGTCCGTTTGTGAGGTAATAACACCTATGTTGTTCACATTTGAATGCAGCGTCGCTGTCTTACTGTTGGCATTATAAGGTTCTCCGGAATTCGCAACAGCGCTACCAAGGGAGTCTTTGCGTAAAGTACCAGGTGAGAACTCCGAACCAGGTGTGGAGATTCCATAATCAGCGGATGTTGGATTGTGCTGTGGCGTCTCGTGACCTAGTGCTTGTCGCTTTTGCCGTCCAGGGCTCAACGTTTCTGCGGAAATTTTCGTGTATCGCCGCTTTCTAGGGATTGCCAAATCGGAAGCTTGTTCAATTGCAGGAGAAGATCTAGCCATGGAATTTTGAGTTTGGTGGGGAAGTGGCCGAAAAGAGCCTTTTTGGAGTCGTGGGATGGCAATCTTCCGAATCGGCGGAGGTACTGGCTTAAAAAATCCATTTTGTTTATTGGCAGAAGTTTGAACCAATATACTCGGATCACGCGAGGATATGAATCCTGCCTGTTCTAGTCGAGATGCAGATGGTGTGGTTACCGGATTATCTTGCGCATCTGAGAATAAAAAATAATCTCGCTCATCATCTGAAGAATTCCGATCGAACCCGCAGAACGGAGTATCGTGCGAAGCACAGCCTAGTCTTCTAACATTATTCCAGCTTGCAGGAAGCTCAGCTGCTATTTGATTTTGGTTGAAGGATGTCGTAGCAAATGGACAACTGAAACTAGAGGAGGCAGTAGATGGACTCTGATGTTTTGTGAAAGACGATGCCGGAGTCAGCAGAGCTTTAAACGTCTCAGATTGCGTGAGACTTTCTTCGATGGCTGATAATGATGGAGGCATTCCGAATGAGCTGATGGCTTCATTAATTGCGACGATTTCTCTTTCTTCGTTGGGTGTCAGTGGAGGGTGCATCATTAATGAGCTGGTGGCTTGATTGAATATTGTCATATCCGCCAATACCCACCATCTCTGGCACTGCATGTCCACTTGAAGCAAGGAATCTGCCCAAAATTCTGGATGCTTTGTCAATTTGTCCTCTTTTTATGCGCCTTGTCCGAGTCTTACCATCGATGGATATCCAAGGTGCGCCTGTTCGATCATGTTCCTCTACCCAAGCGGTGATATCTTCTGTGTAGCGTACCAGCAATTGCAGCATTTCGACGAACTCCGGGTCGCTAGGCATTCTAACTAAATTGATACAACTGTTAGCACATGTTTCTGCTGTCATCAAATTGTGTCGCACCTCTCAGGCCAACCAATTCACCACCCATCTTCACACTGAAGACTTTGTGGATTATAGAAAGATAGTTCACGAACATGTTGTTCAGATCTTTCGCCCGCTGAATTTCAGGGCGCCGTTCGAGAAGTTCTCTTAGAACTGCATCATTGTGTAAAGCAGAGCGCAAAAGCTCGCTCCAAACTTCTATCAAGTGGATGTTCATCATATCCATCGAAACAAGGCGCGCTGTAGCTCTTTTTTTTGGGCAGAAAAATAGTTGCAAAAGGTTCCCGAGCGGTTGATGGTAAATAATCTGGCTCTGGCGATACTTTATGTTGCTAAAAAAAAAATATCACTAGTAGATCCCACTCATCCGCTTGCTGTTGAGTGCACAGGATATATTCTCTTTTCTGAAATTTGTATTCCTGACAACCGAATTTCGCTTGAATTTTTGTGCTAGCTGCTATAACAATACGCATTCGTTAACTGTACCCGATTGTCACATGGCAAATCATGCAATCACAATCAAGCCCGTCATTATTCTGTGCACTGGATGTAAGATTGATTGGCTCCAAATTGAGGGGTAGGTATCTAAGCCTTGTCACGTATTCATTCTACCTAAGTTTCATTGGTTACACTTTGGATGAGTGGGCTTGATTAATGCTCATTCAATGATTAGCAGCAGTCTTGCCAGATTCAATAATATTACAAAATTGAGAACCTCCTTGTACTCAGATCTCCAAAAGCGAATGTGTTGAGCGAAAGGGTCATCGTTGTCACGAGTCACTGACTCAGTCTTTTTACACTCTCAAACTCCAACAGTCTGATCAGCAACGCGATAAACTAAAAATTATTTTGCTAAGTTAGAAAAACTTAATTCAAAAGTTTTATGTTGTCTCCTCACAATCCGTACATTGGTTGCTTAAGTTTTGAGTTGTTTGATGGAATAATTGAGAATATTCACCAAAATTCGACGTCATTTCCAACCATGACTTCTCAAATGGAGAGGGAATTTGGGTGGTGAATCTGTGCGATAGTTGGATCTCCTCATCATATCGAAGAAAAAGCTAAATTCGAAATTTAGAATAATGGATCATTACTGGAGAATGACATCCTTTGACTCTCCCAACTTCTTTCAGCCAAAGACGACTTTGAAATTAGCTGTGGCCAAGTCTGGTTCACTGTCGTGCCCTAGGCTGACTCCACCATATCATGTCTTCAACTGTGTAATCGGCCGCCTTCTGGCCTTTGTATGCACTTTATTATTACTTCAACGATATCTCGCCTTTTCTCATAGGGTTATTTTTTCTTTAGAGCGGGGTATCCAACAATCGTGACTATAAATCCGATAATAAAAAAGCTTTTGGATTCTTGATCCATTTGAAATTTTCAACTCATTTAAATACTTATAATTTTTCATTATTAAGTACAATTAAATTATTCAAATAATCGAAGAATTTCGTTTATTGGAAGCTTAAATCTAATCTGCCAGTCCGGAATTGGACACTATGCTTTGGAGACCTACAAGCATTTGCCCTCAAAAGTTCAAACCTTATGAGAAAACACCTTGAATGTCTCTAATTCCTGTAAAAAAAAATTACCAAGCATGCTTTGGTAGAAATCTAGCTCGTTGTCAACCAATAATTAAATTTTTGATCCTCGAGGGCTTTTGCTAAAGCACACGGCCTAGAAAGATCAACGCACATTTGACTTCACTGGGAACATATAAAGAATAGACTCCTGAATCACAGTCCATAAATTTCCTACTATCCTCTTTCATGTATCGTGGTTTCATGCCAGAAGGTCTTCCTAGTGCTACGTGCAGTAGCACCTTCCTTGATGGACAAACTGTATTCCATCTCAAAATTCCCAGACACTAGTACGGAATATTCTTGTACATTAGAGACTATCTTTCTTTGGCAGTATCTTTTCGCATGTTTAAGCACTCATCTATTGTATAATAATAATTCAATAATCCAACATGTGCTAATTGTGCGTACGGTACTTGATTTGTTGTAGCCACATCCACTTTTACTATGGAATTTATTTCGCCCTTATACCAGCCGTATTCAATTGATGTATCCTTCAAAATCCTGATACAAGATTGGAAGCCAGGCAGGGACATCATCGTTCTTGCCAACAGATTAATATCCTAAACGTACAACAAGTAAATTTCAAAGATTCAGAACCTTCAATATGCCAAACCCCTTCGCGCGACCAATGGAATATTTGCCCTCCATGAATCGCCAAGGAATCACTGTCTGTGCTCATGATGTTATCAACGAACTTTCGAGACTGGGCGTTCTCGATCCAGGTAATGAAGCTTTGTCAAAAGATTTGTTTGGAGTGTACAAGAATCTCGAAGAATTCTACAAATGGGTCTGCTCGCGTCCTAGGATTGCTCCGCAGGATGCCCCTCGTCCCCTCCAATTGATTACGAGGCATTCCGAAATTTTCACTCTTGCGCATAAGCTCTGGGACAATCTTGAATTTGAATTAGCACTAGAAAAAGACGGTGCCTTTGTTGAAGAAATGATGGATCATCTTGGGTGGTTTTGGAATATCAAATCCAATTTGCGCAACAAAATTCACAGGATACAAGGTATGGCCATGAACTGCATTTTTTGGAATTTACGAAATTATCGTACTAAATTCATCATTACAGGCCTGCCTCTTATCTCAAAAATGGACACATTGGCAGAAGCAGCAAGTTACGCCCTACGCTTTAACAATATCAGTCGTGGAAACGTCATCGAACCCCCATCGGTAAGACCGGTTGCATCTGTTAATCATCTAAAGAGTCAAGTTGCGCCTGGGAGCAAAAAGAATCCGAAAGATTCAGGAGCCATGTCTCCGGAATCCAGAGTAAGAAAAGAAAATCCCAGCAACAATACCATGCGATCAAATAGAGCACCTTCGCTCGCAAATACGCAAAAGACGAACACTGGCCATCTAAAAGTTCCTCAATATTCTCCATCCGTTCAAGGACAACCTCAAGTTTCGATGCGACGTTCCCCTTCATCATATAGTACACAGCAGCTCAATCCGCGCTCGACTATAAAGCACCAGTCACCTAATCTTCCTGATGGGACACCACGCAACTTTGTTGATCTGATGGATGTTGATGTTGATTACTATAGTAGCGCGGAACAAACAAGTATCCATCCTGTTCCCACGGGCTTTATCCTACCAACAACGCAGAATAAAGGCGACAAATATCCCAATAGAGTTGAAGGTTTTGCTGACGGATCTATGCGTCCTATATTGAGTATGTCAGGCGTCGAGCCGGCTGTTGGCAATGGTAGTGACCATGCAAATCACGGTGCCCCCCGGAATTCTAGTAGAGATTTGGCAGATTCTCATGGTGAGAGGAAATCGAGTGAACCAAGAGATAGTCCATGCGATAGTGGCTTCGGAGATACTGCGGAAAGCTCAAATGCAAATATGAATACAATAATCGAATCCTCTTCTCCGGAATCAGAAAACACGACTATGGAAGACTCTGGGACTCAAGATCACAAAAATCGTCCAACTTCTGCTGTTTTGTCTTCTGAAAATAGTAAAGGCAAACCTTTGGATCGACGATCAGACGAGCAGGAGAGCAAAAACACGGGAGGAACAGAGCTGGAAAGACCTAATTCTACCAGCATCGACGAAGGCATTATTACAGACAAGAATATTAAAGGAGACAAAGCTAATAACTCTACTTCTGCGAACGGAAGCCGACGCAATATCCAGGGGAGATTAATCAATAGTACTGATGAAGCCACGATGAAAGGTGCTATTTCTGTTACTAGCACTCACAACAATATCACTGAAAACAATATGGCAGACATCAAGGCAAAAAGATATGCTTCTGTCGATGGCAGCAAAGAAGATATCTCAGAAAATCCAAATAAGAAAGTAAAGACGAGTGCAATTTATACAGCTCCATCCTCGGAATATTCTTCCCCTTATATGAGCTTATCGAATCAGAACCAACCAAGCACGACTGCTAAATCCACAACTTCGGCTGCTGTTGATGAGCATGTAAGCGAAAAACATGGCAGTAAAAAGCCTGTTAGCGAGGACTCCTCATCTACTTCTCCAAAATGAGGAATTCTAAAGGCCTTTATCACCCTTTTAGTATGCGAAGCACCATGAAGGAAAATAGTTCAGAAGAAAATTGAGAGTACTAGAAACGGAGATAGAGGAGTGAAGGAATTGCGGAAAATGAAGTCAGTATGCTAGCATGATCAGGCAGTAAATGACATGATGTCTAGAATTATCTCTACTAAATACAAATTCTCAGAAACTGGCGTTTCGACCGTTGGAAAGGACTTTTTGCTTTCAGGTCTAAGAACTATACAGTTCAGTTTTTACTCTCGTAGTATGCAAAACCTGTGTTTGCGGGTATTAAAGAGTATTAGTTATTAGGTTCCTATTGAATAATCAATTTAATTTCTCTCAAAACTTGTGTCGGTACAATTAGCATGATTAGTTTTTGGTTACCTTTTATGTCTGCGTGGAACTAATGCAACAACGAGCCGGTAGATCTTGGACTTGCCATTTTTTACCCCCTCTTTACGATTTTCATCATTGTTCCACCAATATGCACACATTGAGCATAGAGAAGTGACATAAAGCCATTTGGATATTTGATTCAAATTTCCAGAAGTAACACCGCATTTTCGTCATCTGATGTTAATGAACCTAGCTGGTTGATTTAAAGCCATACAAATCTTTGAGAAATTACACAATCGATGTAGTGACACCGTCCACTTCTTCAATATAAGATCTTATAGTTTTTCTAAAGCGAAACAACCGTCCATTTAGGTTTTCCTTCCTCATCCAAAACTGGGTAAAGTTAATCTTGTACTATAGTCGGCCGTTTCTGGCCCTAATTCTCAATATTCAAGGATTGGAATCCTTCATTGATTATTGCAATTATTGCTCTATACCATATTACTAGTCTTTGGCTCTCAAAATCGATTTGTTCACCTAGTAATAAAACTGCTTGCCTATCTTTTCTGTCTCTCAATTTGACCCTTGAATTTCGTCATCTAGCTGTCTTCGGAGATCTGCACATTGCCCCAGTATCTGCCGTATTAATTTTCCACAGCCTATCGTCAAGTTCCAGTTGACATAGACCAGAATCAAGCGCTGTACTGGAATTTTAGCCGTACACCAGCACCTGGATTTATTTATAGACGCTCTCCCTTCATCGTGGATTTTTATTTTGCAAGTCCCTCAACACTACCAACATCGTCAACGACATCCTTTCACCTTAAAAATATTAACCACAGTCAATATGGCCAATGCCAATAATGAACCCGATTTTTCATACAGAATCTACCTACAAGAACAACTTTCTATGGACCTCTATTCCAACGCTGGAAGTGTGTTATTAGACTCGCCTCAGCAGGAGATGTTGACACAAATACAAGGAGATAAGTTTGTAGACATTGGAATCATGTCCCGGGAATCACTTATGGCGTGGGTCTACGGAGTCATCAACGAGCTCGAGTCATTCGAGCTTCACAGGAAGAATCTGAAATCCGCGGCTTGGTCTCAATTATATAGGATTATCAAAAACCACGATGTCTTCAAGGAATGGATCTACAGCCGCCCTAGGACTGATGCATTAGGATTCGTAATCAGCCTTCGGGATTATACTTCAAACTCATATTATAGCTCAGCAACTGTACTCGGTTACTGTCGCTCTGTGTGGCAAAAGATTGAACATGACTTAAGGGATGAGAATCCAACACGTTTCATGAAAGAGTTGTTCCAACAAGTTTTTATTCTTTGGCATTTCAAATGCTGCATTAACAATGTGTTGCGAGACTTTCAAGGTAGATCTGCCTGCTTGTTTATTATCTCAATCCATGTAACATACTGACTTTGCAGGTCTACCACCTACAACCCCACATGATACTTTTGTAGAGCTGACGAGCTATATAACGCAAGATATTGTGTCGAATCCTTACCTTCCAAACCCTCGACTAGGTCCCACACCAGCAAACATTCAAATTGGTGGTCACTCATTCAACGCCGCTAATCCTAGTAGTAGCCCCAACGATGTGGTGACAGCGAACAATCAAGGAAGAGACAGGCAATCGACTAATTTGTCACGAAATTCCAAGGACGCCCAAGTTGCTGATGATATCAGAGCTAGACAACATAGTGGCACAAATACTACAAATACTGTTCTTAGCCCGACTCTTTTGCCAAAGGTTAAATTTGAACAAAACACAGACGGTAACGCAGCCTCCCACCATACCAGAAACATTTCGGAGGCCAGCAAGAAAGGTATAGAATCTCAAGCTGATTCTTCCCTCACGCTCAACGCTATTCAAACTACTGAGCAAAGCGCTAGTGCCTCCGAGGGCCGTCATATCAAGCAGGAGGTTAATGATGAACATAGCCAGGAACAGAAAGCTGAAAGACGTCCAATTGGATGGAAACAATACATAAAGCAAATTATCGGTGTTGGAAATAATCAGTCTACAGTACAGCCAGCAGCGCAGTCCAACTCTGGAGTTCCAAGCAAATCTACTAGCAACGCGGGAGAAATTCTTAAACGTTCGGCTTCAGTTGGTAGCGATAATGGCGCTGTTCCTGTTCCTGCTCAGGCAAGCAAGAAGATCAAAGTAGAAAAAGAAGATCCTGCTATTGCAGGCGGTTCTTCCTCGTGAATAGTACTGGAATACCAGCTGCGGAGACGCACCCGGATGCTCTAGCGATGGCCATGGACGGGGCGTTGTCAAGTAGTTTTGATTCGCATTCGGCACAATCAATCGAGGACATCGTTTATTCACAAGTGTGAGTTAGGGCAATAATGCAATAATGGAAGGAGAGTCACTTCTTGTACTTGTGAACAGACATGAAGATATTTGTGGAAAACTGACGGATGAGTATATGGTGTTTCAAGGCTCAAATTAGCTTACAGTATCTTCAGTTTGGCATTTGCGGGATCTTTTCAGCGTTGGTGGTCGTTTGCAGGATGATGATATGTGAGGCGTAAGACTTACTTCACGGAAATGGGAAGCCTTTCAGCTAAAACATAACTATTAAGTCTTTCCAAAGCCGAATCTCTAAAATGTGAATAGTGTTCTGTTGTGGTGACATGGCCTTGTCAACTGACTTGAGGTTACGTTAGCCAACACGTCCAACAGCCAAATGTGTCTCCAATATGTAGATTTATTCTCGGCCAAGTCTGCAGATCTAAATTTTTCGTTGTATTATACTTACTATTTGTGAAAACGAATACAAGGATTCTTTATTAACTGTCTTGGGGAGCAGTGTGGTGCAGTACATACATTCTTCCTTCGCAGCATCACTGTCACGTTTTCTAAATGCCTGCCCGTGCTTTGAAACTTTTGAGAATGAAGAAGAAAATACCATAAATGCATTATTTACAGGGCTTTTGCCCACTTTAAATTTCATGGGACACCACTAGACCTCAGATATTCCATTTCTGGCGCAGAGTAATTTTTCGGAGCGGATAATTAGTATCAGTAGTAGTGGTAATTAAAGAAAGCTCTTTTATATGCTCTGCATTTTATTTCAAAGGACAGTGGCAAGTTTATCAACTCAGAAAATACCCTGCGAGGAGGGCAAATAGGAAAAGGTGTCTTTGTCAGGCCAAAATGATTTACCTCGCGGATCTCATCAAATCCTCGTTTGGTCGTGCTTCGGAATATTACGATTCTTTGAGCGCCTGTCAAGCGGATCAACTCTGGAAGGATACGGAGGGATGGGTTATGTTTTTAAAGATGGATGACTTCGGAGAGGATAATCTCTGCAGTATAGAACTCGATTAACTCTATATTCTTGAGACTTTTCCTCGGCGCAAAGGACAATGCAATTGCTGCCGTACAATAAATATATAGAGCCCATAGGGATCGCACGATGGCGAAAAAGCCTAATCCATACCCGGCGCTGTTACCGGCGGAGGAGCCACAAAGAAAGAAAGTTTCTTCGAAAAGAAAGACTCGACAGAATAACTACGCGGTCAACGAGGTGCAAAGTGATGTGCTGGGCCTTGGCTTGAAACATCGCGCTAGATGAATGTGTTGTTAAGGTTGAAGTATTAGGACCGGTGATTTATCCGCATTGTGGTGTTGAGTATTCGTGGTTCACTTATTTCGATTTTTTGTAAAATAAACCTTGCAAGATATAAATCCATTTTTTCTGAGCTAGCTATTGCATAAAAAAAGGTCCATTGGAGCAAATAGCCTTCGATAGCTTGGTGAGGAAGTCAAACAGTGGCAGGAAAGTGTACAGGATGGACTCGGTATCTGAAAGAGATTGAAGATTCCCCAAAGCCTTGAGAGGGGTAGGGTTTGAGACGATCAAAAACCTCAAGATACTAATAGTCTCGTGGATTTGAGCTTTCCATTTGATCGATACATCCATAAATCTCTCAGGATATCTAGTATCCTACTGATTCTTGAACATAGATATCCCAAAAGGAAGAGGTAAGTTCATGATTGGGAAGCCAGCTGTGCCATAATTCGTATGTGCCATTTGCTAATTAGAAATATCGAATAGTGGTATCGCGAGAGAGGCTCTTTAGGCAATCTTGAGCCACAGGATAATGTGTGGCGGCTAAGGTTACATCTCCTGACTCGAATCCGAGGAGCTCTCGCCGACTGCAGGGCGGAGGAGTCCATTGTCTGTCAAATTAGCCTACCAGCGTAGATATTTTCTGACCCACCATTCTTTCGGTAGCTTCGGATAAAATGTGATATTAAGAGCTGTGAAAATAATGTTAACGTCCGCAATGAATACTACAATCCTAAGCTTTCGTGAGTCATTGATGATGGGAGGTCGTTCTGATATCGACAATGGAAATAAGCTCCGGAGAAATAAAATCCCGTGATTGGCTAAATCGTGCGCTCTGTCAGCTGCGCCGTGAACTTACAGCTCTTTTTATTTCGCCAAGATTCTCCTGTTTATCCTTCTCTTTTTATCTTGAATGCGACCTAACAAATTGCTTGGATGCTCTGCAATAGTATCAAGTCCGTTTATGCATCCTCTTTCTGTTACATAGTTCTACTACTGTTCTGCTATGTTATGTTCAACAACATGTCCACACCACAAGTTTCCTATTTTCATGGCTGTTCTTCACGGTATTCTCTCCTGCAGTTGGCGATGCATTGATATTGTTGCCCCACTATGTAGGCTACATACAAAATCACCATTGTGCCTTATCCTGCCTCGGATATGCGGTGAGTGTAACGTTTGCGAATTTTGCTGATCCCACTAGCTCTTCTTATGCTACGAAGTACCTAGGATTCATCTTTCTTATACGTGATTGTTGCATGGGTGGTTCGTGTGTCGGTGCTACCCGGGGGAAAACAGCAAGGCTGCCTAAATTTTCTTGAGTATATATTGGGATGATTCTGCAACTATCATCTGCAAGTGTAACATTTATTCTTCTCTATTAGCATTATTTATTTATTCATAGTTGAATTATATAATGCTGTTCGCCGTTTCTTTTCTTATTCTTCTCGCTACACACACCTTCGGGCAAACTCTCAATGCCTGGAAGCAAACCGTTTTCGAAGGATGCTGCAATTACGCAGTAGATGGAAATATAACGACCTACGATGAGGTTGATTCCATACCAAATAGGATTAGCCTTCTATTAAATTTTCCAGATATATACCTTGGCTTTTATGTCCAATCCTCAGGTCCTTACATCACCGATTACTATGTTGTAGCTGTCGAGAGTACGACAGACACAGAGATCATTATTGGCAAGGTTTCCAACGCTACCTCTAACTTCACTGTCGTCAATTTTTACAACTCCGCTGGCAAAGCCGAGATTGTGACGGAGACGATATTCTTCGAAATTACAGGAGTATCAGATGGGGGTAGCACTGCGTTCATCAACGAGATTTATCCCATCTATTCAGGCAACACCATTGTCTACCCACCCGGTCAATCCGCGCAACCCTCGCCAACACAATCCACTACGGCAACCCCAACGTCAACCGCTACTCCCGTCATTCCTACACCCACCGCCCCTGGCATAACTCTCAACACCTGGCCCACCATCAGTGCAACTAAACCTGTCGTACAGAGCCCCGCATACGTCGACGGTAACCCAGCCACAGGTCTTACCTCCTCACGCTATTATCTCCTCTTCAACACCCCAAGCACTTACGAAGGATTTTACGTCCTATCTCAATCACCAAACTATTTGACCGATTATCACGTTATCGGTGTGAATAATACAAGTTCTACGGACTTTGAACTTTGTCGTGTTACAGGTGCTACGTCAAATTTCACTCTTTGTGCATTTGTGGATGAGGCTGGGAACCCGGGGTACAGGACTAATACCATTTTTATTTATCAGGATGGTGCTTCGGATGCACAGTTAAATGAGGTTTATCCAATTTGGCCTGGTGATGTCATAGTGGATCCCAATGCTTAATTCTTTTGGAGGTTTACGATAATGTCTTTGCCAACTTTTGGTTTGGAGATTGATTGATGTTCAGGCTTCTGGATATTTAGCCATTGGGTACTGGTTATGGTAGAAAAGGGTGTCCATAGTCTGGAATGCTTGAGTAGATTTAGACTCTAATCTTCGAAATCATTTCGATTTCCCATTGGATCTAGGGAAGAGCGCTATGAGTCGTCATCAAATTGCCTTCCGGGGAATCAAGGGCTCTGATCAGTAGCAGCTAGAATGAGGGATTACATACTATCAATGATAATGAACGATTCATGTCATCGCAGCCATCGACAGTCCCCCTAACTCATCTAATCGTGCTTTTTCTTCCTTGCTGTAGATTCATCCATCATCTTCTCTATTTCAAGGTCACCTCGATGTTTCAATGCCTTATCCTAAATTTCACACTTGACCTACGGGTCACCCTGCCTCTACAACATCACCAAGTCCAATTGACCAACTTTCTTTGTCTATCCACTCTGCAATCCAATAAATAATCTAAATTAACTACATAGAGCACACTACATAGAGCACAAAGCCTTCAGTTTGAACCTTGATTTCTCTCACTCCTTCTATCTTTCCTTAACAAGTCCACAGATCCAGTGGTAACGGGCGAGTTGGTTTCATGAATTGTTGAACCACACAGAAAACTGAGATGATTAGACCCTCATATTTCGACCAATCATCCCTCGGCTTAAAGCTGCCAATCATCGGAAAAATGATAATATTTTGGAAGTAGACAACGAATAAACTTGAGAAAGCTCAAAGGTCATATCATAATCTGGCTTCCCGCGGTATCCCTTACAAATTGGCTAATCTTTTCTCCTATGGATATGCGCAAGCAGGGAAACGAAATCTTGTGTCAGATATCTATGCAGTTCCCTTGTGTTCGGTCTTAGGATTTGCAATTCGTTGAGTAAAAATAAAGCTTTGAATACGAAATCTATTCACCGAGCGACACTGAGTGATGTTTCCAGATGGATAAAAGTGAGTAATTACCACTTACTCGGAATTTCTATATTTTTAAAAAAAAAGTTCGATAGTAAAAGACACAATGAAACCGCGTTACAATCAAATGATAATGAGAGCAAATGATAGCAAATAGTTTATCATATCACACCACCCGTTTCCCTGTAAGCCACGAAATATATTCATATAAGATCCTACTTCTAGTCTATTGAACTGCACTCCTGAGACCGGAACACCATAGTGCCCCGAACGTTTACATTTTCTTTTTTTCTATAATTATTTGAAGAAAGAAATGTAGGAAGAGGGACTAAATTTTATATAACCTCTTGTAAAAAAATCTTCAATTTATACACACAATCTTTCCCTTTATCTCCCCCTCTATCTTTCCCCCCTCTTCCTAACCTCAGTACGATATGTATACAATCATTTACCTCCACACCACTTTCTACATCCAAGAACTCAACAGGCATAACAGCAATGTCTAGAACCTTGAATTACTAAAGGACCCCATCCCTGCTTTGCTCAGAATTGATATCGTTTGTTTTTATATTTTCACTCCCTTGTTAATTGTGTTCTGACAGGAAGATATATTGAAATTAAGGAGATACGAGGTGTATGATGAGGAATGACAGTGATTGAAAATGATAATATATAGATTCTTTTACTGGTTTGGGGATATATAATCATCATCATCATCATCATCATCATCATTAAAAATACCCCGAATATCAATTAAAAAAAACAACAATCAATAACAAAAATCCCATCCTACTCTATACAATAAAAGACCTTCCAAAACAATACATCCCCTCTCTTTCTCAATATAAAATCCTTTCAAATAATAAACTTTTAAATATAATTAATAAACTATTAATAAAAACCTCTTTATATATTTTTTTATAAAACAAACTCTTTATCAATTTTTATCTTTTATACTTTTTAAATTAACTCTTTACTTCTTTTAGATTATTTTTCTTTATTAAAAATTATAAAATTTTTATATTTATTAATATAATTTTTTGGGAAATTTTAAATACAGATTATTTATATATATATAAAAATAAATCTTAAAAATCTTAAATAAGTTCTCTATAAAAATTATTAAAAATAAAATATATATATTATATTATATTATATTATATTATATTATATTATATTATATTATATTATATTATATTATATTATATTATATTATATTATATTATATTATATTATATTATATTATATTATATTATATTATATTATATTATATTATATTATATTATATTATATTATATTATATTATATTATATTATATTATATTATATTATATTATATTATATTATAGTATATATAAAAGATATAATTTGTTTAAAAATAAAATAAAATAAAATACTTGATTTAAATATAATATAATAAAATATAATATAATTAAATTAAATTTAATTATTAAATTTAATTTTAAATATTGATTTTGAGTCTACTTTATTTTATTATTATTTTTATTTTTATTTTACTATTATTTATTAATTATAAGATTTTATAAGTGATATCTTCTTTTTTTATTCAAATTTATAATCCGTTATCCCCTCTCTCCTTCTCTTTTAACCTAACGCTGACTCTCAACTTTTCCAGTCCATTCCACAATCTCTATAGTCTCCCTCTTCTATCGAAAAAGCCACAACCACAACCCTCCTTCCTCCTTCCTCCCCCCTTCCCCTCTCACAACTGATACCTATAATCCGGACTCAAATCACCCAACTCTGTCTTCTCATATTCAGTCAGACCCAAATCCCTCGGTCTCCTATCCCTCTGTCTATTCTCCAATAAAGTCGCCAAAAAATACGCCAAACAACTAGCTGCACTCAAGCAGAGAAATCCCAAACAAATCCCATAACCCATTTTATATTCCGGTGCATCTTTTGCCAAGAAAGCATATGTTGCGATAATACCACCTACGTTTCCGAAACCGACTTGCCAAGCCGTACCGACGCTTCTGCGATGATGTCCTCCTAGATTCATATTGAACCAACAGACAATCACTGGCATGGCAGAATAAGCACCCATGGCTACGAGAAAGAGGGCTGCGTATTGGAGTTTGGTGTTATCGTGGATGGTAAGGAGGATGGCGAAACCTGTTATTGCTACGCAGATGGGGGCAATAGTAAAGGCGAAACGATGACGAGTAAAATCGGAGCAGAAAGCAATGATCATAGCGAAAGCAAAGGCGCAAGCCCAGGGGGGTACGCTGTGGAGTTGTGTTTGAATAGGCGTGTATCCAAAGGTGGATATGATTCCTGGTGCGAAAAATGCGTAGCCATATGCGGGGATTATCATACCGAAATACATGAAACCTCCTAGAATGATTTTGTAGTCTTTGAATACGCGGAGTGCGTCTTTAAATGTGATTTTGCGTTCAGCGGCACTTCGACCTTGATCGACTTGTAGACGGGCTTTAACGTATGCGCGCTCATCAGGGGTGAGCCATTTTGCATCTTCGGGGAAAGAAGGGATGAGGAAGAAAAATCCTAGGGCTACGACGCAGGTAAGGACACCTTCGAGAATGAATATCCATCTCCATCCAGAGTGTCCTCTTACTCCGTCCATTTTTCCAATAGCGCTAGCGAGGAGACCCCCGAATGCTCCGGCTAATGTGGTACTACTGAAGAAAAAGGAGTAGCGACGTTGAGCTTCTGATCTTTTGTACCACATACCAATAAGGTAGAAGCAACCTGGAAACATACCGGCCTCGAAAAGTCCAAGGAAGAAACGAGTTGCGAGTAGTCCGCCGAAGTTTTGGACTAGTCCTTGACAGATACTTACGAGACCGAAGAGGAACATGAGAGTTGAAAGCCAAATATTTGGATTTAGACGTTTCATGAGAATGTTGGATGGGATTTCGAAGAAGACATATGGAACGAAGAAGATGGTCAGGGCGGTATTATATTCAGTTCCGGTTAAATCCAAGTCGGTTGCTAGCTTGAAAGATTTTGCATTGGCGATATTAACTCTGTCCAAAAATGCCAAAAGGTACAAGATACATCTGTAAGAGTCAGATTGATATTTGAGGTACTTGGGTACTTTACTTACAAGAATGGTATCACACGTAAATCGATTTTCCGCATAAGTTTTGCCTCCGTCGTGTGTGGAGGGCAAACCACGTGGAGTTCATCGAATTCGATTTGTCCTTGCCCAGCTGGAATATTGGGAACGTAGCTGTTATTGCTTTCAGATTTGAAACCAACTTCTTGATCGTCTGACAATGACGGCTGAGGGGAAGATCCCGTTTGCTCTGGATTGAGTTAGATTGATCATCACAAGGCGTGAGGACCTCGGATTGGCTGAGATATTGGATCCCCGGTCAATGAACACACTTATATCCATCGTGATGTTTCCATTGAGATCATCTTCTACACTGGAAGAACACAAAATCATCGAGATAGAATTGTGATGATGGTAAATAATAAACAAGACTAGTCGGTACTCACTGTCTTTTGAACCGAGTAATCCCATTCTCATATTCCTCTTCCTTGGCTCTGCATTAAGATGAAATGCCAAACGCGATCGACAACGCACCTTTGAAAAGGCCAAAGAAGGCAAAATGTAACGTGAGAATATGAACAGGAAGTGGGAAGAAAAATCCCAAAAACATCAAAGAGATATTGAGCTGCTTTTCTAATCAGTAAGAGCTAACCGCGGAGGCTCAAGAGTCAAAAGAATTACTGCATTCGGTCAGCTAGTGATTGATTGATCGGACATTCACTGCAGGAAGGGACAAGGGATGAGGTTATCCCCGCAATTAAATTTGGGGAATGTGACTGAGACCGAGGAAGAATCATCTCTCATCCCGTGTCTCTTTTGATTAGTGAGGGAGTTTGGTGTGGTGCCGTAATGGCTTTTATCCGTTTGTCAGATTTCCATATGTGACACGAATAAGAATACAGTGATGTTGTAACCGATGCTGTATTCATTTTGCCTTCTCACATCAGCACTTTTACTGTGTAACCTTAGTAAGCTCAGAGCAGCAGCAAGATTCCGGAACTCTTGTCCCATTCCCATGCTTGTCCTCTCAACAAAAGACATTGGAAAATCTTCACCGATTTTGCAGATAACTAGAACGAAATACTACATTGGAATCTTCTTTGGGAAGTTGTAGATCCATGGCGCCAAGTATTCCTACTGGTTATCATGATGTTTGTGGCTCTTGCAGTGGATTGAGTGGAGAATGCTAAGGATTAAGTGTATGCGGGGAGAGCTGAGCTTGGCTAATCCCCAAAAACCGGTATCGGAGAAGTTTCTTCATTAAATGGATTGTTTGTATTGCACAGCATGCATGGTCTTTCAATGAGTCTGGATCCTTCCTTTGAATATCGAACTTGGGGACGAGGACTCATAATGATGGAGGTTGAAGGGTGGCTTTCAATTGGGGATATTGATAATTTGTCCGTGACAGTAGAAGAAACAAGAACATGCTATCTAGATGTCTAGATTCTAGATACTCATGAACAACAAGATTCAGTCTAAAATTAAGACTTACCGCAAATCGATAAGCTTTCCTAATTGTCGGAGAAATCTTGTTTGGAAGAAAGTTAAGGATTTATTTGTTGCCGCTTTTGATGTAAACCCTAGTGGAACCAATGTACAATGTACTCGATCTATGCTTGCTCTACTTAGGGTTCACGAGAGTGAAAATCAAAATCATTGAAGCAGCTCCAGTTTTGATAATGAAGGGTTTAGTATTTGGTACTTTTTACCCGTACTCCTCCACTCCAACGGCATATTCGGTACGTATCCCATAAGCCTCGCTCACGAGGCTATGTCTTTTTTTCATTTGTAGCCACTGACAGGTGACCTTGAGAAAGTCTTGAGGGGGAAAAGAGAAGGTTGAACGCGCAAACGCGTCTTGGATCGAAAAATTCCAAACTTCTTGTTGAGATATTCTTTAACAGCCCTACCTACCTACATACAAAAGATGTTCTATTATATCCTCATCTCTCATCCGAAATGACACCTAGACCGAATTTGATTTTAAGTATTCGATCTTTCCTTTTGTTTTTTCAACAAACTTTCTTTTTCAACTTCCTTTCCACCTAGCTTTAGGTCTAGGTAGTGGCACCTCGCCATTTTCTTGGTATGCCTTTCACAAGCCGATTTGTTACTTGGAACAATTAGGTGGGCGATTGACGTATTGAAGCACCAAAAGAAGAGGAGGTCTCTTTCGTATTTATGTTCATATATTGAGAAGACAAATAACTACTTATTATTAGGTATCAGAGGTGTTTAATAGAGGATTATTGTGTCCGATAGGTACTGGCTCTATCACCGAATGTTCGGGTCAGTAGGCAAGTCTTAGATTCATCAATAACCTCCTTTTCTCAGCGGGTGGTGGATTGTGGATGATGGATGATGAATGATGGATGGTGGATGGTGGGTGTTCCTAAAACCTTGGTTGGTTTCGCCTCTTTAACTCGATTTCCTAAATAACACTGCAGTTAGGTAATTAGTTGACCACGAGAACCATCCCACCTCATACTCAAAAAACCCAATACATACTCCGTACAATAATCTCACATCAGGTGATTGTTTTCTCAGGAGAATTTACCCCTTCATTTCCCAATTTCAATATTAGTTTTTTGTGTAGATACCTAGGTATCTTGATTATATTCGCAGGTACGTACGTACTTTGGTAGGTTATGTTTACTTTGGACTAGTTATTTGATCTAATCAATTAGAATTCCCTCGGTCATCCCATCCAATCCCACCAACAATTCCATTTGGAGGATTCCCTCTTGAGCCTTGGTTAAGCTACAACTCAAAGTCAATTTTTAGAACACCACACTCACTCCCTCACTCACTTGCACGCTCACACACACACGCCCACACACATTCCCTGAACCGCCTATTGTGTTGTACAGACTAACCGCTCGCCTCATATCATCAGGTACCTAGTGTAATTAATACCCACCGTACACCACTAAGGAAGGGCGAACAAAATATACTAGTCAAATGCCAACGTTTTCTGATTTTGAACCTTGTTACGAAAGTACAGCAAAGACGATTCCACGACTCATTCAAAAACAAAACGCTTTATTTCTCTTTCTCTTTCTTTCCTGTCCTTTTTCAACCCAAACTCCGAATCAAGCAATCAACTCCACCCTCTCCCAGCCTTCTTGCGATCACATTCATTTGCTTTCAGTGAATCGCCAAAGACTCATCGAAAGGACCTTGGATAATTCCAAACACAACGCCAAAAGCAGTCGGAAGCCCACTACTCCGTACAATCATTCATTCTCGAGCTTTTCAATCAAACACCGAAGTGGCGGCTGAGATAGCGGAGGGTCGGTGAAGTAGAGGAAAAGAAAAGAAGGTGGTTTCGGCCCAAATGCAAATCAACCACCGCCTACGACTAGCCTAGACTCTTGTTACCCGTGGACCTCACAGTCTGAAAAATCCCCCAATTCTCGATTCCACAACCAACTCAGAATAATACTTCACGAAACATACGACACATTTCTTAACGCCGACCACGACCCACCATTCAAAGAGGATTTTCCTTCACGAGAGTATATCTGTCGCTGGCCATCTCATTCGACATCTAATAAATATAATACTCATCAAATATTACTACTGTACAAGTTCTAGGATTTGTGGATGAACGTTACATCGCCATTAATTGCGGGTGGGGAGTGATTGGACTTCCTCAACACCATCACCGTCGATCGAATTTCACCTACACCGAGCCTTCTTTTTCATATATACTCTGCACAAATATGAGTGCTTCTCCTACAGCCTCTTTCGCAACGAGCGATGTCGAAATCGATCTCGCAGCCATGTTTGAAGACTCGATCGGTATTGCTCGAGATGTTGTCAAGGGAGTGATTTTAAAACATTGTAATGCTCCGTTGGATGGCCAAAATATTTGTTTCACGGCTCAACATATACTTGCCGGGGATGACAGATTTAATAGAGTTCTCACCATGCGAGAATCAGATTCATCCGCAGACACAATGGTGCAGAATAATATTGTTCAGCTTCCATATTCCGGAAACACAATAGGTCCTACTTTCCATCCATCGACGATGGGTCAAATGGGTCAAATGGGTCAATCAAATTCACCCTTGACTATGAGCAATATTAATTCTCACCTCCATCGTGAAAATTCAATGCAAAATCCCAATAATTCCCAATTTCGATCCCAGTCTTCCTTCTCTGTCGCTCAAACTCAAACCCGAGGCCAAACCGAACTTCTACAGGTTTCGAATTTACTCCAAGGAGCTAACAATTACCACCAAACATACCCCTCAAACAACAATCTACATTCACTCTCTTCGATCCGGCGCCAACATCAACTGCCACAAGTCTCTTGCAGTATCAAGTATCCACATAGTATGGGCGATCTCTTCTCTCGATCCGATTCAATTCTTGCATCGCAAAATATCAACCCCACGAATCGAAGCAAGTTTCAACGGCAAATGATTTCCGAACTACAAGACTCTCAAAATCTCGCAAACCCACCAAATTCAAATAGCTCCACAGCGTACGCTGGGCAAGGCTCCTCCTCCACTCTGGAAAGATCGAGTTCGAACGGTTCACTTTCACCCAATTTATCGTTACCACCTTTGGCCCCAGCGCAAAGATCCCCACATACTGACGCTTTACTGATTGTTGAATCTCGATCCACCACGCAAAGCCGCGCAGAAACACCACTGGACTTGGAAATGGCCAAAAATACCAACCCGAAGAAGCGCAGGGCTCAAACAGGTGACGGAAAAGCCGCCGCGAAGAAGGCAAAGACGAACAAGGGTGAGAAGGCGGATAAGTTGGAGCTAGTAAGTGTCACCATGCAAATACGTGCAGAACAGATCTAACCTTTTGTAAAGATGAAGGATAAAGCCAAATATAATCTACCAGGTACAATTTGGATGCGCGTTCTCGAATTCTGCCCCCCCATATTCCTGCGAAAAGCTCGTTTTGTCAGCAAAGAATGGAAGAACTGGGTTGAGAACTTTTCATCTATCCATGTCAATTGCCGAAAGGAGAACTTTGGTTACAATCTACCCGAGCATATCCCGGGTTTATCAGCAAAGCAATATGTCGATCTTCTGGGTGGGAAAGGCTGTATGGAACCCGGTTGTAAAAACAAAGACGCAAGCAGAACACATTGGGCTTGGAAGAAGAGGTGGTGCTTCTCATGCTGGAAGGAGAAGATTGAGAGAGAAGATCGTATCCAAAAACACCGCCAACTCCAATACACCCGACCCGTCATTGACAAACTACTCGAGTGTATCCCGGTCAGCATGTACGACTCCTTTGGTAAACCTCATGATTACGTCGAAGATGGACCCCAAGCTTTGACAAATCAATTGGCGACGCACAGATTGTACAAATACTACCTGATTGTTGACGTCGATAACGTTATCAAGGAATATGAGGCTCTCACTCCTGACCCTTTTCGTGAGGATCCTACCCATGATGCTCAACAGAAAGCCACCGCACGCCAAATTTGGGAGGACAAGATGGCCAAATTGGACGAAGAGCGTGATAAGTTCTTCGAAGCGAAGAAGGCCGAGAACGACAAGCTCATGCAACTCGTAATACAAATTGAAGCCGCAATCCGTGAGAGAAGAGCAAGAGGTCGCAAGCCGAATGATGCCAATCGTGAGAGTCGTAGGACTCTCTTCCTCAAGTTAGCGAAGCGTGATCTCCCTGAAGTCCCAGAGGAATTCATTATAAGTACCAAAGCATTCAAGGCAGCTGTTCGAATTTTCAGAGATGGTGGCTCGGAGCGAGGTTGGAGAACTTTGAAGCCAAAGATTGAAGGAGAATACGCTAGCTCAAAAAAGAAAGATCAACAGGCTACCAATCGTGCAACCAATACACCAAACCGATCTGCAGGACAAGACATCCAAATGACTGGCCACGATCTCGGAAACTTTGAGCTGGACAATGATGACTTTCACCAACTTGGTAATGGAGGCCTCCAACAAAACCTTCAGCAAACTCAACTTCAAGGATTTCAACTTCAAAAATCTACAGCATTTACAAGTAACAAGTCTCTTGGCATGAACCACTCTGGTGGCTCACTTGGATACAGAAACAATTCCATGGCTTCAGGATCACGACCAGCAAATAATTCGGCCGCGGCATTTCTTAGTGGCGGATCAATTTTTGTGAACCAACCCTTCGGCAACAGTGCCTCTGCTCTACCCATGGCTATGAATTCATTGGGCAATGGGTCTTTTAGCAATAATGGTTCTTCTGCCAGCTCATTGAACCATGTTTCTCACATGAACAATGACTTTTCCGCCAATTCGTTAGCCCCTCTTTCTCAAATTAACAATGGCTCTTCCATTGGTTCATCGAGCAATCTCCCTCGCGGTAGTAATAGCTTTCCCAATGGCCCAATGACTCACCTTTCTCAGAACAATAACGGCCGAAGCATGGGTTCATCGAGCAACACAGCTTTTGGTAATACCAACTTTATGCCCCATTGCTCTCAGAACATTAACGGCGTCTCTATTCGTTCATCAAACAATATGTCATTTGGCAATAATGGCTTTCCTACTGGCTCATTAAATCAAATCTCTCAAAGCAATAATGGGTCTTCGGTCAATCCATCGAGCAATCTTGCAAGCTACAACAATGCTTTCAATTCCGGCTCGTTGAACCATTTTACTCAAAACAACAGTGGCTCATCGCTAGTACCTAGTAATTCGCTAAATTACGCTTCTCAAAACGGCAACGCTTTTTCTGCCAACTCATCGAGTCATGTTTCTCAAACAAATAACAGCTCATCACTTGTGCCTGGTAATCCGTCAAACGTCGGGTCATCATCCACTCCACGAAGTGCCATGGCTATTTCTTCCATTATCACAGGAACCCAACCTCAAAGTAACTGACATAATATTAATCACTCGTTTATCCGAAGGACGAGCAAACTTTTTTCTCACCAGCACGTACACCAGTTTGATATTGGAAGCGTGGAATCATTAAAGGAAAGCAGACCGGCGAACAACTGTGTCTAAATCACTTTCGATATCGCATTCAATTTTTTTTTTCCTCAGTTTTTCATTCTGCTTTTCAGCATAAAATATTGGCGCAATGGAAAGCGCAATACCCCATAAGGAACAATGGCTACATTCAGGAGTTTATCATTGTCCGTCATGGCGATGGTTTGATGCATATAAGGATTATGAGGTGTTTTTATATGAGGATGCATAGGTGCATTCCATGTCATGGCGTTTTAGAGGTTTTTATTATTTATTTGGTCCCTATGATTAGGCGATTGATTGGGCAGCACGAGGGATGCATAATCAGCGACTGGGCGTTGTAATAACACATGGTTACGAGCCATCGATTATCTCTGGTCTCTTCTTTCTCTTTTTCATTTTTACATTTTTACATTTCCAGTATTTCTATGAAGCGGTGACACGATGGACCATTGTGGAACGAAATGTGGTGGGTAGGGGAAAGGAAATCTGGAGATTGGAAAGAAAGAAGGAAAGAAAGACAAAGCGAACGACATAAAAGCTTCGCAGGCTGAGCGGTTATTACATTTGGTGAGTTGCATGGGACGGAATGGTGGGTTCGATTTCTGCTCTTACTTTAGCATGGCACAAACATTCCATACACTACATACATCATCATATATGCATAGTTCTAAATTCAAATATGGTGGAGTAGTTGGATTTGAGCATAGGATGGATGGATGGACAAGCAAATAAAAATTGTTTAAAATACATACACCCGTTTTCTTATTCAAATCGCCCGTGCTGGAAGATTGTGTGACAAGATTCTAGTGGATTTCCTTGATAATGTAATTTTGAGAAATATAATTTTAGAAATTTAGCGTCAGTTTTTTTTAAGTATTTTGTGATTTGATCTGATGACAAGGTATTACGGGAGATAATGAATGATCTAATCTACGGAGAAACATCTGATATTTGATATCTCATATCTGATATCAGCCTGATTATCTACTCGCCTATTTATGGAAACAAAAATTGTTCATAGCAGTTAAACGGATAGAGCGGCCGCTAGCGTACTCAGAGCCTCGTATGGAATTCGTTGGGTGCAAGGGTGCATGTTTACGTGGGTAGAATGGATGGATGGATGGATGGATGGCATGTGAATGAATGTGAATGAATGAATGAAATCTGCTCATGACTTCGGGATTTTAAGTATCAAGTATTATAGGGTTATTTTATTACATTATTTTACGCACTGTTCTTAAAGAGTTCATTGAGATTTGTGGAGTTTGTTTTGAGGGTATTTTTTTGGATTAGTTTGGTGAGTGAGTGACTGAGTGAGCATTGGTTGGTTGATGCTGTAGAGGGAGGGATTGTGCGATTGTTGAAATTTGAGGCTCGCTGTGCGTTAGAGAAGAAGAGAGAGATATGAATGAGTGGGATTGGAAATAAGAGATGCAATGTCGGAGCATTTGGATTTGAACCTAGATTTGAAGAATGTGAGAAGGGAGGATGAACAGATGTGTATGGGACATGAATATGTGCATGGGCAAAGGGATATACAAGGCATACGGTATTCGCAGACCCAGCAGATGCAGTACCAACAGTCCCAATCGCACGCGCAGAAATTGAGAGAGGATGCTACGAGGAGCGGAGATGTGCGGAATATGCTGACGGGAGAAAGTTCGAGAGCTCCGAGGTTAGAGAGAAGCCCGCATCCATATCATAAGAAGCATGAGGAAATTTTCTCGGGGAGTGAGAGGAGCGGTGAAAGGGTTGGAGATGTGGAGAATGGGATGGATCCCGAGGTGGGAATTCCGCGACTTCCTTCTTCGAGAACTACGTACTCTAGACCTACTTCCTTGAGACCTCCTTCAGGTCCCTTCACAAGGCCTGCTTCCTCGGGAACCCCAACATCGCCATCACCACTGCGCTCGACACAGAACACCGATGATGAATTTTGTAAAGGTGTTAGGATAACAATTAATGGATCACTGGGTGGATATATCGAATCTACAAATAGCGACAGTGGGACCGAGGCAGATGATGAACATTTCCTGAAGGGATTACCTGCTCCAAGGATAAAACCGCATAAAGGATTGAGGGGTGAGAATGGCAGCATGTCGAGTACGCCTAGTCCATTGATGAGTCCGGCTATATTGGAAGATGAGATACGATGGAAGGAAAGTGCAAGGATTAGATCTTCTATGCCGGCTTCGAAGATACTTACTGCGGAGGAGCAGAGGAGAGTTATTGAAAAGTTTAGACAGAGGAGGAAGATTGAAATTATAAGGAGAACAACTGAGGCTTTTTTATTATGTTTTGTTGGGGGAATAATATACTGGAGTCAAGGAGTTAAGGAAATTCTCTATTTATGGAGAAATGGTATGTTTCTACTTCTATATTCTCAAAACCAAGCTAATTATCAAGAACTTGTTTGTCAAATCCTTATTACAAGTGGTTTAATAGCTTTATACCCTCTTCGATTATTACGACATCTAAGATCTCGGACACCATGGAAATTCACATTCCCTATTGCTATACCTGCGACATTCGATCCGGCTCCTTTATTATATCCTCCTACATTAACGATGCTTGTTTCGATTTTACTTTCAGTCAGTGATCCTAGTGGTCTTTTATCAAGTATGATACTTGCCATATCTACATTGCCGAAGAAATTAATACCCGCTATTGGAGGTCTTGAAGGTCGAGATATGTTACATTGGGTATTGGCATGTATGCCATTATTTACGACGACTTTAACCAGAGCTCCACCCTTGGGCAATGAATCACTACCTCTTAATCCTGAAGTTTTGGTTTTAATACCACCATTACATCAAGCTTTATGTGCAACACTACATTACCTCACCACGACTAGTCTCCTATCCGCCGAACTACAATTATTATCAACCTCCCTCATAAGTCTCTTACTTCGAGCATCATCACCACAAGCAGTTATTTTAAAAGCACTTCTTTGGGGTGGTGGCATAGGTATTCTAGTTACTTGTACACATGTTCTTAGATGGAGTGTTGCATTAGCTAGAGTACCAACATGGAGGTTCAGAAGACCCGAAACGAAAAGATCGAGTTTCAGATTTAACAAGGGATCACTATCATTTGGTAACAATACGATAAGTGTTTTTGCTAAAGATACATTTATTAGTGATACGAGTGATGATGAATTTCTTCACGATCGTTCACGAAGGAAAATGGGTAAATCACAAGCTACAGATTCCTCTCTTCTAGATGGAGAAATTCAATCAGGTATCTTGAGAAGGAGTACCTTACCAAATTCTCCTCCATCTAGTCCTTCAAAACCAATGAATACTAGAACATCATCTGGTCGTAAGAAAAGATCAGCTTCAATTAGTCTTCAAACATTTTCAAAATTAACATATACACAAGCTAAGATACGTAAATGGTTATATGCTATTTATGTATATCTCTCTATCCTAGTTATTATCCTACTAGGTATAAGAGAATACGTAGCAAAACAAGCTTTACAAGGTCATGAACCTATAGGATGGGCTTTAGGATATTTATTCGGAGATCTACCACGTTTTCGATTCGAAGTCGTTATTGCTAATTTACAACGATGGATACCACTTCCTCCTCGTTCATATATCGATTCTGATACAACAGGATCAGGAACCTGCGAACAAAAAGGCTGGATTGAACGAATTCGATACTCAGATTTTGGACCTACTAATACACGTCTCATTCTCTCGACCTATTGGCTTCTTATCTTAATAACAGGTCTAGCAATAGTATTCCGTCTTTCTTCAATCTACGAAGTTGATACCCGACGAAAAGTTTTTCATTTCATGATGGTTTTTATCCTTTTACCTTCTACATTCGTCGATCCGACATATTGTGCCCTAGCACTCAGTTTAATATTGGCGATATTTTTACTACTAGATATGGTGAGAGCGACACAGTTACCGCCGTTTAGTAGATGGTTGGCGAGATTCTTAACACCGTATGTTGATGGGAGGGATTTGAGAGGTCCGGTGGTTGTTAGTCACATTTTTTTGGCAATTGGGTGCGCGGTGCCTCTTTGGTTAAGTTTGGGATCTGTAGAGCGGAGTAATTCATCGCCTTGGATGCAGAATGCAAATGAAGATGACAGTGGAAGAAGAGATGCGATGATTGGATGGGAAGTTCATAAAAGAAGTTGCGATGGTGGATGGTGGCGGGGGGTTGCGTTTGTGGTTAGGAGATGGGGATGGGGAGAAGAGTCGTTGGTGGTGGAGGGGTGGCGAAAGTGTGGATTAGGGGGGGGGAGGGGAAGTGGTTGAGAGGGTGGTGGAGTGGTGGAAAGGTGGATGATGGTGTGGGGGTTATAATATGGATGGATATGGATGGATATGGAATGGAAATGGAAATGGAAAAGAAGATACATGGAAAAACACACTAGGAAAAAGTATCCTAGCAGCTATAATAGCAAGTCTCACCGAAGCGGTTTTGACGGGTGGAAATGATAATGTGGTTGTACCGGTGGTACTTTGGTGTTGTGTTAAGGGGTTGGAGATTTAGATTGCGGAGTTAGATTGAAGTTTTGATTGTTTTTATATGTGTTGGTGTGGGAGGAGGTGAGAAGAGTGTGGATGGAATGATTGCATGAAGGAAGGAAAGAAAGACTAGGGGTGGGGGTGGGATAGAGAAAGTTTTGGTGTTGGAAGTTTTGAGGGAAGGGGATAAATAGATGGGTGGTAGGAGGTGGAGAGATGGGCGGATGAGGAGATTAGAGGTGCGGATGGATGTGGGTGTGGAGATGAGGGTGGAGATGGAGATGGGTTGTGATTTACTCTGTAGATAGATGAAGATGAAGATGGAATGGTTTAATTTTGATATGATTTATTTTTATATGATTTAATTTGATATATTTTGAAAATATAATAAAGAGGAAAATAAGATGAAGAGGAAATAAAAATGAATGAATTGAATTGAATGATGAATAAATAAACAAATAAATGTTTTCTTATTATATTTTTTAATATCTTTTTTTCTCTTTTTATTTATTTATCTATCGATAATACAAGTGTATTCTTCTAAGCTTGCAACTCTCTATTCTCCTACCCCTAGTAGATCCTCTACATCTAAACATCTCAACGTCATACAAACTCCCAAACTACTACATCACCCATACGTCTCCAATCATCAATCCACTGAGTATTTCTTTCCCTCCAAACTTCTTTCATTTTCATCCCTTTTCCCGCTCCCGCTCCTGCTCCCGCTCCAGTACCTTCATAAAATTCACGAATATCTTTTTCTATTCCCTCGAATCCTACTAGATAGCGTGGCCATTGTTTTTTATATTTCACTTCTTCATTTTCCTGACCACCTCCCTCTTCATTTCCATCCAAATCAGAGAAAACAATAATTTCCTCCTGTAAAAATCTCTGTGGATCATCATAAAATCTATCAGCCTCATCTCTATAACCCTCCCTTTCATCAACACCCAAATGAATAGGAGGTTCACAGCTTAAAGCCCAAGCACCCGGTTCCTTATAAATCAATTGACTTCTCCATGGTGTACTATGACATGGCATTAAGAAACCCACGTATGGTTTTTCCCATTCTTTTTCCCAATTGGGGTTTTGAGATATTCCCATATTGCGAACTGCATATTGGGAATTTTCTTCTTTTTTAATATCGTAATTGATATTTAGAGATGGAGGGGCATCTTCATCTATTGCCGCAGGATAATGTTTTAGATAGGAATAAGCGTTTGGTGAATGAAGTGGGATTCCTTGTGCATCTAACATTTCGGTTTCGTAGCGGTGACGAATAAATTTTGTTACGGATATAACGGCTGATTGATGGATTAGTGTTGTGTAGGCTGCTAAAGCTATGTTAAGTAGAATTAGAAGGGTTAGAAGTGGTTTGCGAATTGTTTTGGTTTCGATTTTCAAATTTGTCGGATCGTTGGTAGGGATTTGGATTTCTTTTGTAAAGAATGATGTTATCGAAGGTGCAGTTAAAATGAGAAGAATAGGAAGAAGTGGATAAATAAATCGAACTTCTTTATGAGAAATTGTGCTTAAGACAAAAATCATCAAACTGGTTAAATGAGTGAGAATTGTTTGAAGATCAGAGGTAAATGTCGAATTTGGCGTTGTAGATGGTGTATAAGTTTTGAATATCGATACAATCGTAAAAGGAAGATAGGTGAGTAATAGAAGTGGTAAACCTTGGGAGAAAAAATAATGCCAATCATTTTTGCCATAAAATACAGCTAGATTTTGAGAAATATTGAAATGTAGCCATTGATAAGGTGGAAATGTCCATTCTCCAAAGTAAAGACGATCTGAAAGAGCTGAAATTATGAGGATGAGGGAACCACATAGAATTGCTTCTCTGAAAATAATGAGATAATCCCGTTGAATTGGTGATTTGGCTGTCTTTTGAGCTACACTGGGGATCAAAGACATAACTATTGGCATTATGACACAGAACCATATCAAAAGATTAGTTGGTCGAAGAATGCAAGCAATACCTGCTAGAAAAAGAGAATATCGAAGACTTTTATGGTCAGTATGTAAATTCTGAACATGCAGCTCCGAAGATATCTTACTGGTTGATGGATTTCGCTGTTCTGAAAACACCTTCAGACGCAGACCTCGTTGATCCCTCCTTCGTCTGCTCTTTAATCTTCTCTCCAGAATTAATTGCCAAATCCCAAGGCCAATAATACAAAGCAGTAATTGTTAAACTCGTTTCCAAAGAATTTGAAAAAGTTCTTGTTGAACAGAACCAATTCCAAGGACTGAATACACTCATAAATAACTAATCAAATATTAGCATCGAATTCTCATAAATAATTCCAATCATATACATACAGTAACATAACCAGTTCTACTACCTAATCCATACATCTTTTCAGCCATTTTCCAAGTATAATAATCACAAGCTGCAGCAAAAATAGCTTGAATAATATTTGGTAATACAGCTAAAACTTCTGCTCGGAATTGAGGAAAGAAATTCACAAATTCCATAGGTTTATCTACTAGATAATATGCAGCTGCAAAGAGAGCTGGATGTAATGAAGATCTTAATTGATAATGCCATTCCTATTTGAACTTATTAGTGACTATTTTTCTATTTTTCTATTTTAGTATAATTGGAATGACGCTCCGCTGGCCCTCCCGGGGGGCCACTGCCGTGGTGGCTACTTTTCTTTTGGCTCGAAAGATTCCAAAGAATTGCGAGGTTCTTGGTTAGACAACAGAGAAAGAGAAGAGTATGTATAAGGAAAGGGGAAAACATACCCACGTAAGCCAAGCACCACTATCCAACCCAAAAGCCATTTGCCATGCTGGTTCCAAAGATTGAAAATATTCATCTGGTTGAAAGAAAGTTTTGACAAGAAAAGAATTGAAAACTCTAAAAACAAGAAGGAAAGTCCATATATCATTTGCGGTTTGTTCATTGACTAATTTATGTAGTCCGTTTTCTTCGATATCTGGATTTCTGGATCGGATGTCGAGTTTGTGGTTTGTGGGTTGGGATGAAGGGATTGTTACCTCTGTTGTAGGAGAGGTGAGAGTTGGATTTGACATGGTGAGAGATTATTCATGGAGGGAAAGAGAAGAGGAGAAAAAGAGTGTATGGAAGATCAAGTGTGAAGAGTTTGAGATATCCATATATGTATGTGGCCTGACAATAGAGAGAGGATATATTAATTGTACCTGCAGATACAATCTTGCCTGTGGGAAGAAGTGGTGGGTGTTAATTGCTGCCTTGCTGCCTTAGTGTCATGATGTACTGATGCCTGGTTGCTTTTTCACCAAACCACACAAAGCCTCGAGAATTCTATCATATATCCCGTCGTACCAATGCCACCAACCAGTTATTCAATTCCACATCCTCAACATTGAGAAATGAATTGAGCCTTCTGTATCGCTGTCATCATCTCTTGGCATTTGAGCCATGATTAGGTATTGAACGTTGATGTACTACATACACTCACTCTATTTCTATATTTTGTTGTTCCAGTATTTGTATAGGTAAGATCTTATATAAGATACCTAGTTCTAATCATAATTATACATACATCCTCGAGTACCTTGCCCTTGCCCTTTCCCTTTCCCTTTCAGTAATCGAATCGTCCATCAAGACATACTAACACCTCAAGTCATAATTAATGTCAATTCTAGCTTTTATTCTGTAACCTTATTACTCAAGAGTCGAGTTGATCTACTCGAGTCATAAGCACAGCCAATCACATCGAGCTCTCGTGCTCGACCACCACATGCAGACCGATATGTAAAAGATTCCCATTCGCCAATCAAATGGCCAGCGATTATGCTTAGAACATCAGCCATAGGCCATAAATGCATCTCGACCTCTAATTCTCTTAAACCACATGCAGATCCCAGGCTGAGGATCCACTCATCACCACTAATCACCACTAAACCACACTATCTTGGAGCATCTCCGCCTCACTTCGAACCCTATAAGCAAGAGGTGACGAGCACGGAAATCAACGGATGTGCTTTGAGAATGTTTTGTTCCCCTAAGTGCAGGTATAAGCATGAATGGGAGGAAATGCTGGGAAATGCTAGGAAATGCTAGGAAATGCTAGGAAATGCTCATGAGGATTAGATGATAACTGGAATTTCTAGTATTTCTCTTAGTCACGGTGAGATCAGCTGGGTCAGAGGAATGGATATACTTGCACTTAGGGGTTTAGTGAGTTTTGATGATGATGAAAATGTATATCTTGCATTTTCCGTTTTTCTTTCTTATAAAAGACGGAGAATTTCTTGTTTATTGGACATTCTGACATTCTAACGTTCTTCTTCTAACTTCTTCTTTTTGCATCTTGCATCTTGATCCCATAGCTTGCAGAGTGAGTAAAGCTAAGATTATCACTACAAAGTACCGATGTAAGTACTAAATACTTGGTTCTTGGCCCTTGGTCTAGCCTGTTCCTTGGGTATAGAATTCCCTTTCAACATCCCACTGTACTTCAAACCACCACAAACAACAGTTCCAACGACAGCCACCCTGCACATTCACAGTTACATACAATAAATTCTATTCCATCACACAAATCTAACACAAAATCCAGAACAAACTACACCACACCACACCCACCGAAATAAATAAATAAATCAATCAAAACCCCAATTTCGTCGTCATGGCTCCCCACGCAGACTCCCAATCAACCACCAACGGTGTTGCCGGTAGCACACTCAAAGCCACCGCCCCCACCTTCTCCCCCGTCACCACCATCCCCGAATCCAAATATCACTCTACCTCGACCGAATCCGCCATCCACGACGAACACGAATACGCCGCCCACAACTACCACCCTCTTCCCATAGTATTCGCACGAGCATCAGGATCCAACGTCTGGGATCCAGAAGGAAACCAATACATTGATTTCCTTTCCGCCTATTCAGCCGTCAATCAAGGACATTGTCACCCAGAACTCATCGCAGCTCTCTGCGCACAAGCTCAACGTCTTACTCTCTCCAGTCGAGCATTCCATAACGATGTATTCCCCAAATGGGCGGAGAAGATCAAGAATGTTTTCGGATATGAGATGGTTTTGCCTATGAACACTGGTGCAGAGGCTGTTGAGACGGCGATTAAGATTGCGAGGAAGTGGGCTTATAAGGTTAAGGGTGTGGAACAGGACAAGGCGTTGATCTTTGCTGCTGCTGAGAACTTTCATGGAAGAACTGTATGTTTTACCCCCAATTTCATTTATTTCTCTGTTATGTCCTACCAAAAAGATGGCTATCTCTGTACTCTGGTCTGCCTCCACGGCAGTGGCCCCCGGAGGGCCAGCGGAGCGTCATTTTCAATTGATTTCATTTTTATTAATGGGGGCAAGCCCCCAAACCCCCATAGCTCGCTGCGCTCGAATTGTTTTTATTACCACTAAACTAACCACACAATCTTATTACAGATGACCGCAATCTCCATGTCGGTTGATCCTGAATCCCGCGATAATTATGGTCCATATGTTCCAGGAGTAGGTGCTCAATGCCCAACTACAAAGAGACAAATTAGATTCAACAATGTTTCCGATCTCGAAATTGTCCTTGAAGCTCATGGAAAGAATACCGCTGCCTTTATTGTCGAGCCAATTCAAGGTGAAGCTGGTGTTGTCGTTCCAGATGATGATTACCTTTTCAAGGTTCATGCTCTCTGCAAGAAACATAATGTACTTTTGATCTGTGATGAGATTCAAACTGGTATTGGTAGAACTGGACGTATGCTTTGCTCAGAATGGTCTGGCATTAAACCTGATATGGTTACACTAGGAAAGGCCATTTCTGGTGGAATGTACCCAGTTTCTTGCGTTCTTGGTTCGAAGGAAATTATGCTTACCATTGAGCCTGGTACTCATGGTTCTACTTATGGAGGTAATCCATTAGGTTGTGCAGTTTCTATCCGTGCTTTGGAAATCATGGAGGAAGAGAAATTGACTGAAAGAGCTGAGAAACTTGGACATGTCCTCAGAAAAGGATTGGAAGATTTGAAGAGTCCCGTGATTAAGTTGGTTAGAGGAAAGGGATTGTTGAATGCTATTGTCATTGATGAATCAAAGACTGGTGGTCATAGTGCTTGGGATTTGTGTCTGTTGTTGAAGAGCAAGGGATTACTTGTAAGTTTCTAGTTCACGACCCATAGCATCTACTTTTGAATATCGCTAACGAAACAGGCCAAACCAACCCACGAGAATATCATTCGCCTCGCACCACCACTCGTCATCAGCGAAGAGGATATTCAAAAATCCCTTTCCATCATCAAGGAAGCTATCCTTGAATTACCAAACCTCAAGGGCGAGAAAGGAGATGCTGTTATCCCAGCAAACGAGAAGAACGTTCATATTCCTTTGGAAAACTAAGGATTCAATTCCACCCAGTACACGAATTTTCATTTCATTTTCCAGGGAGGTTTCAAAAAGAATTTGGGTATCTACTGTTTTTACTTTTTCTTTCTCATTCACAAAGATGTTTAGGATCTAAATTGGCATCGGCGAAAGGGTAAGGGAAATGATAAACATGACGTTTTGCTTGACTTTAATTTAAAGTTGCAATTATACCTGGAATTACACGGGAGGAGTTTTCGGTATCTACTGTTTTGGACAATTAAATTCACTTTATCGACGATGGACATGGATTCTTGATGCAAGTCGGGAAAAGGGATGGATGAGGGCCAGAACATGACGCTTTTTTGCTTGACTTACTTCCTTATACTGGTTGGTCGCAATTATACCCGATATACATAGATGGGATGAATGGGATGGATGGGCTGCATTTGGGAGGACTTTCTGCATCTTTTTGTGTTTTTTGATTTGATTGGAATAAGAAGGGGAGAAAGGGGGAGATGAGGAAGGGAAGGAGAAATTGTATTGATTGGATGTGGTGAGACGGGATGGGATGGAATAGGGTAGTAGAGAATAGTGAATAAGAACATTGTGAAAAAATATGATATGAAAAGGTTAGGTTAGGTTGGGTACCTAACCTATGATATGATATGATATGATGTATAAATTTCCCATGGTCTTTTTCTTTGTTTTGTTTGGATATACGTGTAGAACCTCCTCATATCTCAAAAACTTGTCAATTAATCGTTTTTGAGTATATATATATATATATATATATATACTTTACTTCATCATGAGTAGGTAGATTGATTGATTGATAGATTATTAATATGATGTTATATATCTATTTTATATCATCATATTCATATTATCATATTGATTATACTATACTATACTATACTATACTATACTATTCCTATTTTGATTCCTATCGGTTGAATATCCTCCCTCACACAACTACAACCAACTACAAGCACGATAACCACCAAACCAACTCACAAATAGCATGCATGCACACATTCACAAAAGAATAAGAATCATCACGCAGAGTGCATAGGCAAAGTGCAAAGTGCAAAGATACTATTTATTATCCTTTAAGGATATGGTTATCTGTCCATATCACCGTATCTCCTCTCTCTCTCCATCCATCCATTCATGCTTTCGTTCCCTAATCTCTTCTTTCACCAATCATATCCATATCCATCTTCGTCTTCATCCACATCCACATTCACATTCACAACCACATCCACCTAAATACAATCAACCAACCACCTAACAAACCCAAACTCAAATAACTTAGCAAGAAAAGAACCCCCTTGAAACAATCAACAAACTTCCCAAACCTCTGATCAAAATCCCTATCAAACCCATACCGTAACACCAATACCAAACCTGAACTAATTCAATCCACTAGAGCGCCAAAGAGACGCGGTGTCCAATTCCATTCGTCCATCCATCCATTTGCTTGTGAATATGCGTGTGCTTCCAATCTGTTTCTACCAAGCACCATCAATCCATTCAATCCTATCCAACCAACCATCCATCCCGCTTCCCATCCTAACCCCGTTGCTTCTCGCAAAAAAAAGAAAACTAAAAAATCGTAAATAAAAGGAAAAATCAAAGAAGCCGGGGTATTCACAAGCTCCAATCCTCGAAAATAATGATACTGGTATGAAGTTTAGAACGCCAATCCCAACCATCCTATCCCATACCATACCATCATAAATATCATTGAGTTGGGAGACTGAATGAACGTCATGAACCTGTCACCATGTGAAAGTTTCCGTATGGAGATAGATTCACTCAAGGCAAAAAGAAAAAGAATCCACCAAATCCACCAAATCCACACAAAAACAAATCCCCAAAAGATTTCTAAAAACTCATACAAAATTCAGATTAAAACGGATGAAAAGAGAAATGAGAATGAAGAAAAAAATTCGACAACGCCAAAGGTATGCGTTAGCAGTACTTCCATGTTATCATAATGCATTTGGCTGACAGAAAAGCCCAGCTTTCTTGCTCGCCCGTGTAGTTTTAATGCGGTGGAGTATTAGCGATAGTAGGAGTAGTTCCTCCACTATGGCTATGACGTGGAGATGATAGAGGTGGCATTGATTGATGTCTAGCGATAACTGCCATTTTCTTCTTGAGAACATGAAGACGAGTTCGGATCATTTGAAGGACTATTTTTAGGTCAGCATTCTTCAAGAGTGTTAGCATCAACTCAGAATTAGTAAATACCTTTCAAGACATCCTTTCTATCTCCAAAATTAATACCATTGACTTCTCCACCATCACACTTCTCTTTATCTTCTCGTAAACTTGGTGATCTCTTTCGAGAAATAAATTCTTCATCGTTTTCGAGAACTGCTTCAAGCATTCTAATGGCAGTGGTGTATGAAATTTCACAACCAGGAAGATCCTCATTTGCCAACTCATTGATAGCTGCTGTACGACTCATCTCTAGAGCACGATCATACATCAATTTCTCAGCAGTTATACCAGAACTCAGTACAACACCATCAGTAGTTGACGATCCACCAACTATTTTTGAAGCTGTTGCATGATTACTTGGATGCCCTGGATGATCTTCCGGAAGTCGTTTTTGAGCCTCGACCAATTTAAGTCGAACAAGCTCTGCTTTCTCCAAGACTTCGTTGAATCGAGTTCGGACCCACTGAACTGCACCATTGATGCGATTTCCTGCCTGCACTGCTGATGATGAATCGCTTCCTGGAGTATGGCCTCCACTGATAACTCCGCCCCGGTTCTTTCGCATCCACCAAGCTCCAGCGATATCCATAGACATTGACAGAAGGGATAACGATTTGACATATAATACAAGTGCTTCCTCGGAAAGATTGACGATGGCCTCCACCGTTAGACCATCATCTTCATCCATGGCGTCGCCCACCTTTTCGTTATTTGGACCTCCAAGGCCATGATTCATAGAAGGTGCTAAAGGAATGAGTTGTCGGTATTTGACTTCAGCAAATCCATACACAACATCACTTCTAGTTGCGGAATCCTCTATAACATTCACAACTCTTTGATCCTCATCAATAGGTCGAGCGTCACCAATCAATCCAGTGTTAGGTGTAGGATAAGCGGGATAAGGATTGTATAATTGCTGTGGGGAAGGGCCCTTTCCAATAAGCGTCGGAGACCAAGAAACTCCAAACACTCTCACACTGGCGCCTTGTAGTGCTTTAGCTATAGCTGAAGCAGTTGATGGGCTGCTACCGGTTTTACCATAGGAACCATATGAATTCCTTGCGGATGATGTATCTGGTCGAATATTTCCTTGAGCTTTTTGAACGGCGCGTGAGGGTGGTACAGCTACTGCCCCTGATGTCGAATTTGGTGCTCCCATTGATGTATGTCTTCTGGTTGGTTGCTTTGGTATGTGATTAGCATGTGCAAGTCGTGGACTTGCAGCCATCTCATCTGCAAAAGCATTGACTTCAACTGCTTTCTTCTCAACGAGGACATATTCCCTGGCATCTCGAACATCTTGTTCGGCTTCTGTTATGGAATCACTCGATCGAATCTCTCCCTGGACTGGCAAATTTGCTTGCTCATCATAAGATGGTTTCCTGGACACAGGTCTTGCGGTTGGAGCATAATGTCGTTCCGTGCGGTCCCTTTGTCTTGGTAAGGTATCTACATTTGGGGCAGTTGCGGCAGAAATTGGTGAAGGCCGATCTCTTGACCCTGGACGGCCGGATTTATGGCCTGTTGTTTCCACAGGTTGATTGGCATCTATATGCGGACTCTTTGGAGCTTGTTCCCCAATATCTCTGGCAATCAATGATTCATATGTCGTTTCAACAGGCTTAGGAGTTGGATTTTCACGTTGGCGCTCTCTCAAAGATGGATGTCGAGCTATGGAGGCTTCCGGTGATCTCAAAGGTGTAATAATCTCCTTGGGTAAATCCTCTCCAACCAGGCCAGGTATTGGTCCGGTCACAACTGGGTGGGCAAAGTATTCTGGAAAGGTTATTCGATCCTCGGGTCTTTTCTTAAGAAATCGGCGTGCAATGTCCTTCAAATCTCTGCTAAAAACGGCCTTGCTAGGGAATCTAATGTCATCTTCATTCTGTTCAATTTTGCGTAATAATTCAACGTGATTCGCCGCTCTAAATGGTGGTTTACCAGTCATCATTTCGTAAAGAACAGTCCCAATGGACCAGAGATCGGCTCGTGCATCGTATTTTTCATAACGTAGAATTTCAGGTGCCATGTAAAGGGGGGAACCGCATAAAGTCTCAGCAAGCGAGGTAGAGGGTAATGATCGAGCAAATCCGAAATCTGCCAATTTAAGCATTGGTAATGAGTTGATACCAACCATAGGTACAATAGATTCCTTGCTCGCTTTCATGGCTTCTGGTCCACTTTGCCTCTTCGCCATCCAATCCGGGGATGGGATTAAAAGAAGATTTTGTGGTTTCACATCCCTGTGTACGAAGTCCCGATCCCTCAAGAATTGCATCGCGCTTGACAATTGTTTGAAGAAGTGTCGAACTACAACTTGGTTGAGTCCGCCATCGACTGGCATAGGATATTTCCCGATCATATCGGAGAGCGAAGGGTTGTCGGCCAGCTTATCTCTCTTTTTGATGAAGTATGATAAATCCCCCAATTCACAATACTCCATCATCAGATGTATGTGGGATGTAGATTCTCTGCAATCCATAAGCGCAACGATATGAGGATGGTGAAGGCTTTTCAATATTTCGATTTCGACGTATAAGTTATCTTTAAGCTTCTTATTGAGTCTGCCAAGGTTTACGGACTTTATCGCCACGAGAGATCCACTGGGCTGTAATGAAACACATTAGCATTATTGATATGAGGAAAGACGGGATGCAAGTTGGTGAGATGTGAGCTACTCAAAGCCCTCCAAAGTCATCACAAACAGTAAAACAAGGCTGCCATCAACTCAAACACATACCACATGTGTACCACGATAAACCGTGGCAAAACTCCCTTTACCAATCTCCTCGTTGATAGTAAAAGATCCCACCCCAACGTTCCTCGGCCGCCTTGACGACGAAGATGAAGGAGTCTTTGAGGCCATGGCTGCGATTGTTCAACCAGGAATGGTCGATATCCTTCTCAAATCCTCAAATGATCCTCCCCTCGACTCAACAACTCGAAAGAGGCTATATCTTTGATGAAATGATCGTATGCATCGACACACTTATTGTTGGGTTGATAAAGTAAAGGAATCGGAGTGAGGTTGTGAGTCTGGTGGAGGTTTAGAATGAAGGTTGTACGATGATGAATATGTTAGGTAACGGAAGCGAAGTTGAGCTTGCTTTGTATGCGCCCTCGGTCGTTATTGGCAAGCCTCCAGGAGACGATCGAGCTCTTTTTAATGTAAACGGCAGAAAAGGTAGAAGGGAGATGCGGCTCGTGTGTTGTGCAATGTTGATAGCGGAGAGGAATTATTGGAAGCCGGTTGGCTGGTTATTGTCGAGGTTCAGGATAACGAATGGCAGTTTGTCGATAAACTGCCGAGTTCAAGTTTGTGATTCTACCCAAACGGTTTTTGGAAGTATGAAGGTTGGGTGGTTTTGGTAAAATCTTTCGAGGTACTTTATTGAAGTGTTTTTGATAATAAATTTATACAGTTCTGAGTTAACGACGCGGTGGATGATTCGAGGTGGTTGATGGTTGATGGTTGATTGTGTGAGTGAGCGTTGATATGGCGTCTTGATTGTGAATAGGTAGATAGCGGTAGTGGGTTTTAGGTTGATGTCACACACTGGGTATGGATGTACCTAGGAAGTACAGTTCGTTGGAGGATAAGGTGAATCAAAAGAGGATTCTGAGTAATCATATAATATGTAAGTAGAACGATGTTAATCTTTTAATCTTTCATAGGAATAAGGAATACTAGGTAGGTGAAGAGGTCAAAAGGGATAGATAGATGTATAGAAAGGAATAGTCATAATAATAAACTGATGAGTCTGATTTCTTTTTTCTTCTTATTGTCGTTTCGAAGGACCAAAATCAAGTCAGTCAGTCAATCAGTCAATCAGTCAATCAGTCAATCAGTCAATCAGTCATTCCCTTTCGTTGAATGAACCGTGCTCGTGATATCAAATTCACAAGGTCTTGTCGTCTCGTTCGTTCATTCGACTTTCCCTTATCATGAACATTTCATCTATTGGCGCACATCCATACATACATACAATTCATTTTCCAATGATAACATTTCAAATCAAGAAGTGCTTACAACGCTAAGGAAAAGAGTCACTTCTACCATCTGCCACGACTCACTCATTTGTTTCAAGGCAACACAGTCTTCATGTTAGAAAAGGAAGAAGCTTATCGATGCTTCCTATATGGACGAACCATTATCCGAAGTTACCATTTGCTGCATCTCGAATCATGTACAAAGTACCAAGTATCCATTCTCATACATTGATGACTTAGCTACGCCCGGCATTCAGATCTCGTCACGGGAGAAGAGACTGACGCCTTGATTTAGTTGTTCTTTTATCTTCTACATTGGATGACGGTCCATTATTAATACCGTTATTGATGATATATTCATTATAGAGTATCATATCATACCATATCAGCATCAACCTCAATATCCAACATCAACATCAGCATCAACCTCAATATCCAACATCAACATCAACATCAACATCAACATCAACATCAACATCAACATCAACATCAACATCAACATCAACATCAACATCAACATCAACATCAACATCAACATCAACATCAACATCAACATCAACATCAACACCTTTCTGCATTCAAACATCTCTTCATTCATTCCTCACTATCCCTAAATAGCCAACAGCCCAAACAACCCACCCACCTACTAACATCCCAGCAATCTCGTCTTCACCAGCCCAGCCCCATCCCAGTTCCAATCCCAATCATCAAATCGCCCCTTTCATGCATCAATGATCAGATGGTCGCCCTTTTCCCATCATTACGCCCTGTTTGGTTGGACCCTTAACAACATCCTTAGTAAAAAGGTCCAAGCCAACCGTAATCCGCCATCCTTCCCCACAAAACGCCACAAACTCCACTAACCCATCTGTCGCGTAACCAAGAAATCCATGAGAATAGGGAGTGCAGTAGACACAAAACACACCGATATCGCACAACAGTCAATCAATTCATTTTCATTCATCAATCGCCTTCAACTATTTACACAACCTGAACGGATTGTCACACTACTTTACTGATATACGAACTTATTCCTTGGATTATTCAATATCACTCCCACCATAAAATCCAAGGAAATAGAATCACTTACTTCATTCATTCACGATGAAAAAGGAGAGAGGAGAATAACAGAAAATTCCACCAGCTATCTAAACAAAGAATCAAAGAAAACCCTGGCACGGGGTACATATCGCTGCATGCATACATACATATACGTCTTTACTCCCTACATTCATCATCTAGAGTATCTAGGTATCTAGGTATCTTTACGAGAAATCCCTAGTGCATCTTGGATCGTGGATCGACGATACATACGTGAATACAGTGTACTGGTACTCAGGCATCCAAGTATTCTTTCCGTACATAATGATGTTCTGGGCCTTGAGGCGGTCAGGAAATATTACTTTGTATTATCTCTATTTGTTGATCACTGTATTAATCACGATTATATACGGACACAGACTTTTCATCTATCACCCTTACTTACTTACCTAGTAGTTTATCATCATCCTATTCCTCAATCTTCAGTCTTCACCACCACTCTCGTACTACACTTTCAACAATCCTCATCATCATTATCATCATCTTCTCCTCCCCAGAAATCGTCCTTTTCAGCGATTCGCTCATTCTTATTATCTACAATACTACATTATAATTGTCGGCTTGCCGACACCAAAACCTTGCTGTACATGAGGTTTACCCAGTGTAGATAATAGAAAATCAGAAATTCGTTTAAGTGAATCGCGATCCTGACAATCTGATTGGTCTAAAATACCCTGGTAAATAATCTAACAAAAAGCTTGGCATAAGCCGTATAACCTCAGGCAAATCTGACTTGGAACTTTTTTCAACTCTATTGAAATCATTCAACTCTGAAATCATTCAATTCTATTAAAATCATTCAATTCTATTAAAATCATTCAACTCTATTCATCTCATTCAACTCAAAATAATAAAAATATTTATTTTTCAATTATCAAAAACAAATCGATATTCTACCTGCACCTTGATATATATCCAATATTTAAATTTTTATTAAACTTTCTCAAAAAGCCAAGAGTCCAGGGGGCGCAGGCCTCTAGTATATATAAATCTTTTTAATTTGTATTAACAATATAATTAAATGACACTAGTTATATACATCTCCTAGCTTATATATACTGTGCTTCGAACGAGTTTTAAAGACGTGGTTTATCGAGATCCGGATATATCGTGATATAGATAGAACACTTTTACTTCGTTTATCATCTCTGACTTCAATACACAATAAATCTAATATTACAGCTAGCGATGTCAATTCATACATGAGCGATAACCCTAACCCTCAATCGTATTCTTAGACTATCTTCCAGGTTTCCTGTAGCCTAAACGTTCTAGTGTCTAAGAAGGGGGACTGGCTTATAGACATGTGTGTAAGACCAAAATACACCAAACATCAAACATCAAAAATAAGTTATGTTTTCAATTTTTAACTACTCACCACGAGTATGCAGTGATTCGTTCCCAGCTTCCCAAAGAGACACTAGGTTTGGATGTCTTGCTGGAAATATTCTTCAGATTTATTTGGGCGGTATATTAATATGTATTATAGTATTGAAACAATAGAGATTTTATTAAACAAAGATTTCCGATTTTCAGATCGAAGAAAAGAAGATGTAGATATTAGATGATCTGGATTCTTGATGCATTAACTGGCTATGGAGCGAGAAACCCAAGGATCAGTTAGGGCTATTTAGACCTAGTGATACAGAATACTGAGATATAGTAAAAAAAATAGGTGAGGAGTTTTGCTGGTCTCGAAGTCCTCGGCGCACTGATCGTGGTAGATGGAGTAGGGAAGTTCTGTTGTTATATTAAAACTCAATCGGGTTGGATGTGTATATTTATCTCTCGGGCCAGGCTTGGAAGTTCTCGGGCCCGGGGGGTGTATGGATTTGTTTGGGGTCAATGAGTGTTGATGTTGGGTTTGAATCAAACTGTTGATTGGAAGTTAAGGTTACGCCGCAGTGAAGATATCGATATCTGTGATCATTATGGTAGATCAAGGTCGAGTCTAATCTTAGCTAGATAGCTAAGTAAGCTTCAGTTTCGCTGGATGAGAATCTGAATGGCGTCATTTGCTGTTAACTCAGAAGTCAGTTTGCTTTTATTCTTCTGGAGTTTGTGATGGGGAGCTGGGAGTTGATTATTACTGGGTATTGCTTAGGATTGATACTATGGTAACTTCTGGTGAGGTGATGAGGCAATGAGCGCAGATGCTCATAGGGAATAATGAGCTTGTTAATTATATGAGAGAGGAGAGTTTTATTAAATATAAAAGATGTTCTTTGCTAATGCACAGCTTTTGGAAGATAGATAGGGCGTCAACAACTTTTCTTGCTCTTGTTTCTAATGACATCAATCGCTTACAGTCGACGATGTAGTAAATCATTGTTAATTTAATTTTATTGCTTTTATTACTTATTTTATTTATTTATTTTTAATCTTTTTATAATATTTAGAATTTAAAAAGAATTTTAAATTATAAAATGATTTTGATGAGGAAATAAATAAGAAACAACGTGTGTTTCCAGAGTATCTTTAGGAACAAAACAACGATTCATGATGCTGTGGGACAAAGTGTGATGACTGATTCTAAGAGGTTCAAAATTCATTATCCATCGAGTATACCGGCTCATTTGTCGCGGATGTACCTATTAGTTCTAGTTTTGATGATAGGATACCATCTGATTTATATCCTGTACAAAGTGGTGAGAGGTTGTTGGAGATGGAGATATGGAGATAGTATTTCTATGGAGACTTTAAATATGGAGACTTTAAATATAAAGTCTCCCTATCAATCATACCTTTTGATATATATTTCCAGCTAAGATGTATCCTTATTTCCCTTAAGGCTCAAGAAGAGATCTTTGTTGTTTCCCGTTGCTCGTTCATCAGCCTTTCAAATATTTTACATAGCATCGAGATAGCCACATTCCACCATGATACACCTAGACTTGACATTCGCGGCTATCTACTCACCAAGCCGCCAAGCGAGTCGAATCTCACAAATGTCTAGTTAGTTTGAAAAGGATGGGGTTATGAAGCTGAGTGATTTTTACCCCTTACTACGTATATACATACCCCTTCCCCAATTACCAGCTATCATTAACCACCTCCAAACTCAAAATCAAACCACAGGAAAGAGAAACCTCGAAATGTGCAAAGTCACAAAGCATCAATGTCATTGAATGGTATCATGAATCCATAAACTCATAGCTATCATATGTATACTATATCTCAAATCCATACCTACAATCCACAAAAGAGGAGTATGATAAATAAGCAAGTAATCTCACAAAAGATGTATTTGTTTCCTAGATACCAGTCTACCAAAACCAAACTGCACCTAATCAAATAGCTTAGTTGCTCCCGGTATCTCTAAAAGGAAAAAATGATTTTGTTCAAGAAATAAAAAGGGGCTCGCCTTGCGAGAACGAAATGTATTTTTGCCCTCCTTGCGTCCTTGCTGAGGACCTTCCCTCCTTCCTCCCCCAAAAAGCAATTTATTGAAAAATCCCGACCCCCGAACTCTAGGTCCTCATAGCATGTCTATGAAAATGTCTCATGAATCTCTTATCCTTCTTACCAGCACCTTCCTTCGAATAAACACTCAACGCCAATCCACCCCCACAAATCTCATTTCCATCTCCCGCACAAGCCATGTTACATTTAGTCGCATCTAGCGTCTGACTTGGTACATTCTCACCGCAGAAACACTGACCTCCGTATTCTGTTCCTGCAACACTGTAGCCCTTTGCGGAACAATATGCTACACAAGCTGTATTTGTAACTTTGCCAATACCCGCGAATTCAACACCAGAGAGAACACGGCTTGAATCTTGATCTGCGTAACAGCCCGCATATGAGTAGCCTGAAATGGTGGCAGGAGCGCTGCTTGAAGAGCTGGAGCCAGTGGGAAGTGCTTGGCCGGCGGTGACGGAGACGGTTTTGTAGATTAGAGTTGAGGCGTGGACGGTTACGACGGAGGTAAAAGCTTGGCCGTTGGATGTGATGACGCTGGAGGATAAGAAATCACCACCACCTCCTACTGCTGCTGCTACTTGGGTAGCAGCTGGAGCCCCGCCGTGGGTACCCTTTTGAGAATGTTTGCTTGATGCAGAGCTTGCTGATGGGTAGACAAGTAGAGAGACTTGTGGAATAGATACTGGTACTGCTGAAGCGGCAACTCCCAATAGAGATGATGCGACGCCAGGTAGGGAAGCTGCAACTGAAGATACAGCTGATGAGGCACCGGCAGCTACAGAAGAAGCTTTTGATGCGAGAGCGGAAGTAGCAGATGCAACGACGGAAGAAGCTACATTGCCAACGTTGGTACCCCATGGTGTGACAGGGTTATTACCTGGCAATAAGGACATGGATCCGAAGATAACCTCATCAATTGGTGATGGGATATTACAGTTTGAAGTGGGGTCATTCAAACCACCAATGATCCCTGGACATTTGTCCATTCCGGAATCACCTGCATCGCAGTTATCGATGATTTGTTGAAGAGTTTCGACATCCCAACCTGAAAGCTGTGAATTTGTTAGTATATTGAAAGTATTTACCAAGAGTGAAAATATCAACTTACGAAATCACCGTGGAAGCTGTAGCCAGTTGGATCTCCATTGGAAAGAACGAAAGGTTGCTTTCCTTGTCCTGGTGTCCATAGATTCGCAAAAAGGGGAGTATTGTAGTAAACCTCATAGAAGATATGAGGAGTATGAATCCAACCCTTAGGACAATTCCCGTTCGTGGGCCAATCCATGTTGTGCTTATAGTCACTCAAGGGAACAGCAGGGTTATAGCATGATGGAAAGTGAACATCAAGACGCATTGGAGAAGCATATCCGTCACAATTTTGATCTGGGAATCCAACACCGGCTCCCTTGTTTTCTGGGTCCTGAATTCCTACACCGTGCAATCCGTCCGAGTTTGCAGGCCATGATGGAGCTCCACCATAATTGGCACGAGGGCAGGTGATTTGAACAGGTTGAGGAGTACCGTTGGCGTAGTCGACGACGGATCCTGAGCCATTGGCTGGTGGAGTACGAAGATTTGGATTACCAACTACCATACGAAGGCCTGGTTGGAAAGCGGTGATCTTATCGGTGGTAGGCTCAAAGCTTGTAAAATATTAGTACACCTATTATTGAATGTAAAACACTTTCACCACTCACAAATAATAGACGTTCATGTAGAACATAGGCACGGATGTGATATTGCTGGGGTCCTTTGGATCAATGAAGTACAATGAGGGGGTCCAGTAATTACTCTTATCATTCTTGACAAGTGATGAAGTGCAATTTGAGTGCAGGGCCGTGGTGTCATCCATAGTCTCAGCAAAGGCACTTCCTCCTTGAATTGTATGTACGTGACTTCCAACAGTTCCTGGGTTGATGATTGGATCCATACGGGCGGTAAGAAGAGGACCTTCTCCATAGAAATGATTGACAGCGAATGTTCTTGCAGTCGCGGAGTATGCTGCTGCCGAAGCGGCAAATGTGCCCACGAGGGCTAACTTTGAGAAAACCATAATGGTTGATTGAGTTTAATAGATTGTTTTTGTTGTAGGATATGTACTTTGAAGTGTATTCAAGTCTGATGGTGCGAATATCTTTAATGTGGTTGCTTTGCAAGCTAAAGGATTGTTGAGAAGTGATCGAAAACACAAGAGTTACTGGCCTCAATTGGTGTTTGATAGAATAGAAGGATCTGTATCAACAGAGTAGCAAGTGAAGGAATGAATAGCACGCAGGAAACGAATAAATGAGTGTGATGTACAAAAGTACGAAAGGTGTTGTTGTGAGAGTGTGTTGGAAAATTTGAAAATGAGGGTGAGGAAAGGAAACACAATATATATGACTATGGTCCGTAGTTTCTCACAGTATGCAGTAATACCCACATCAGGGCGAGGAATCATTGAGTGTACGCTAGTACAGTATGAAGGAAGATTAGGGTAAAAAAGGCTCAGCCCAGAACCGGGTATGCAGGGGGAAAGGATTGGGGGCAAACTTGATGGCTTGACATGGTTCTGACTTCCCCATGTATCACCACTCGCTGGCTTGCGATTTACGGTATTAAAAGTGGTAGATCCTAACATGATAGATTAATCACAGCCCTCCCCAGTGAATGAAAAATTGGTTGGGAAAGGACATGGAGTATGAAAATGGGGAGATCCGCACGGAAATGTGCTTGATGCCATTTTTGTGGTAAAGTAAGTGAAGTGGAAGCAGGAACCCATATTGCAAGGGATGAGAAGATTGTCCGAAAGGATAAAGTTGGAGAGGTATTGGTTCGTTGGTTTCTAATACTAAGCTTTTGGTACCTGACATCCGGGCTGACTATCCGATGACAAGGGGTTGAACAATGGCGAGCTATCTTAGTGGTTAAGGGCAGAGGAACAAAAGGTCTGTTCCTAGGGAGTCAAAATAATCCTCCTGGAAATATCCCAGTCGTTTCTATACTCAAAGCGGTATCATGCGGCGACTATTTGATAGCTGATTCTCACTAAGTCGGCAACTTGGCATTAGTCGATTGTTTCGAAACAGCTAACCTAGTCAAAAAGTCTGGTTTAACTCGCCGCCATACAACAAAAGCAAGCTCCTGTAAGAAAAATCTTGCCAATCAACTGTCCCATGGTATGGGTAAATGGGTTTTCCCGTGCCCTTTTCCCCTGAAGGCGTTTTTTTAATATAAAGTTATGATCTTCTAGTGGACGGACATGATCTGCACTTAAGCTCTTTTGACTCTTGAGTTTCGAAATATGCATCATACCACATCGATCTTATCGCAAAGACTACAAAATATCCACTCCATTTGGATCTTGATCCAAAGTTTATCTGTCACGTTCATGAGAATCAATTATTAGATTGTCTGACTTTGCGGGAGTGAATCTAGTGTTCGAAAAAACCTGGAGATTAGCTACCCATCCCTATTCTCGTGGTAAATGAGCTTCATGAGACTAGAAAATCGTTGTGATATGGTGATTACCATGTTAGATTATCTTTCCGATTTTTTGGTCTCTGGAGCAACCTGTCGATAAGAATGAGGCCGGCATACGGCTATCAGGGCCATCGATTTTTAACCACCAAAAATCAGATGAACCAACAAAAAACCCCACTGGCATCGGATCGCGTTTCGAGAATAGGTGCTAAACCCATGGTTTATTAGTCTGGAACGTTTGGATTAATGATATGCTCTATAGTGTCCCCTAGGAAATCCTATGAATAACCTTCCATCCTTTCAGTGTGACATGAGGAGCACACGATCAAGATCGTGACGGTAGCTTTCCGTAATCCCATGTAGAAAAGCTCAAGAAAAAGTATTACTTTATCGTTCCAAATCTTAGCATGTTAAAACCAAAATGAGCTTCTTGATCCTTTTGATTTTGAAGGTGTGATGTCTGGTATACTCATGTTTGGACTCTGGAGTCTACGCGGGACTGAGGAAAATCTCAAGATGGTAAAGACAAGAGGACTCAACAACACAGGTTTCACGTAGGACCACATTCAGTTAACGATAGGCATTTCAAGACTTTCATCGAAAATATATGTAAGAATTAATTACGTGCAGCATGTTGAGCTCCGACCTGCAAAAGACATGGTCAAAAAAAAGGCCGTGAAGCGTTGCGAAAATCAGCGGCAAGGACCCTCTCTGATATTAACCCCTCATTCCACCACATCATTTGCTGGATTCTGTTGAATGAGGGCGGCAAAAATCTCTTTCATGACGGGCACTTTTCCCCTGCCTATTTATTTTCTATTCCCAAAGTCTAAAAAAGGTTCAATGACAACATCAGCGGCAATAACTCAGCGCAGAGGAAAGTATTTAACCCCTAAATGGATGCTATATTTCTTCCATTGGCTTTCGAGCCATGCCTCCTCGTCTTAAATTTTTCCCCTGCATAATAGCGTGCCGTTGTGCAGTGTTACATCGTCTAGCTGTAGTCTAGCACACGCGTTTGCGGTAGGTTGAAGAAAATAGATATCAGCGCAAGGACGGGCTCCACCTACAGTCGTACTTCGGAGAAAAAGATAAGATGCTAGAAATGTACTCAAGTGGGTAGGTATGTGGACATTACCGCATGGCGACACCAAAATAAATAAATGGCTCAGACCTTTTGCACTCATGAGGCTTACTTCATAACCCTCTGCAATGGAACCGCTTCATGCAGCTAACTGATCGCTCTCATTCCAGAATCCCTCACCTCATAATCTCACAATAACCATGGAAGTGAATTCTCAACAAACTGAGAACCAAGTCAACAAACCACCCAGCGAAAAGATAAAATGAAAATGAAACATGCAGGCAAGCAGGCAAGCAGGCAAGCAGGCAAGAAGGCCATCAATGCTGTGTGCCACGATCAGATATTCATGGATAGTAATATCCATTAGGTCACCGACTCGAGCTCATTTCCGGACTTCATGGTTTCGTGGTAAGGAGTCCGTAAGCTGCCAATTCCCGCGTTCTAATCGAAACATTTTCGGAAGCCTTTGAGTATCAATGATCGTAAAAGTTTGTAACACGCCGAGACAAAGTGCATTTTAACGGTATATGAGTATGTATTTTGTACCAAGTCACTGGAATGTAGTTGTACACGCTCGTACCTCATGACACTGGCTGCGGAAGGAGAGGTACTGTGTGCACTTGTACTCCCTGATGGCTGGATGGGTTGCGACTAAATAAAGGATCAAATGAGTTTTCACCAACCTCAAGTTTGTAGGATCTTATGTGTAAAACAATTTAATGTGGTAATGACCCAAATATCCCAATAATGACGGCGATACTCAAGTATCTGGTCAGTATAAAAAGCATACATGTATCAAAATAGAGGCTGCCAAAGCTGGAGATTTTCTTCCAGAAATGATCGGTAAGTTCACCATGGAGCGATAAGCGATAAGAGAATTTCTCTCCTCACTGCCCCTCCATCAGCCCCTCCATTCATCCTAATCTTAAACAACACTCACTACGTACATTACCACAACTTACACCTTTCACTAATTCCTTAATATCGCTCCTAATCTGAACTCTCATCATGTCACCAATTCCCATAACAATCCTCACCGGCTTCCTCGGCTCAGGAAAAACGACTCTAATCCTCAACCTCCTTCCCCAACTCCACGCCCTCAACCCCTCCTATCGTCTCGCCCTTCTCAAGAACGAATTCGGAGATCTTGCCGTCGACTCCCAGCTTGCTTCTTCATCTTCGATAACTTCCGTGCGAGAAATGCTTAATGGATGTATATGCTGTAACCTCGTTGGTTCTCTATCTTCCGCACTTCAAGAACTGCAGGATAGTTTACCGGTAAAGGTTAATACATCTACGGGGAAGGAGGAAAAAGGGAGCCTGGATAGGATTATTATTGAGACGTCCGGATCCGCGTTTCCTGCTACTTTGGCCATGGAAGTTAACAGAATTGCGAGGGAAACAAAAGGAGCTTATGTGTTAGATGGTGTGATATCAGTGATTGACGTGGAAAATTGGAAGGGATATGAAGATACGAGTTATACGGCACGATTACAGGCGAAATATACGGACTTGGTGGTTTTTAATAAATGGGAGGGGGTTAGTGAAAGGAGGTTTGATGAATGTTTGGATAGGTTAGGAGATTTGGAGGTTCAGGTTGCGTGGGTCAAGAGTGATAAGGGTTCAGTGGGGGTAGATGTTGTATGCGGAGTTGATGGGGGATTGGCTAGAGGGCTAGTGGATGATGTGGATGGGAAGGAGGATGGACACCGTCATGATCATACTAATGGGGATCATAAGCACGAACACTCCCACGATCATCAATCCGAAGTCGAAGTCCTATCCATAACCCTCACGTCGTCTTCCCCTTCCTCAACAATCTCCCTCGCATCGCTCACCAAACTCCTCACCAGAGCACCCAAAGACGAAGTATACCGAATTAAAGCAGTTTTATCATCAAGCTCTCCTATCCCGCCTTCCGACTCTTCACTCTCACCACCTGAATCTGAGACCTCTGCATCATCATCCTCATCAAATTCTACCACTGATCTCGCACCAAAACCAGCAAAATATATACTTAATTGGGCTTTTGGGCGCTGGACTAGCACCAAAATGGAAGAACAACAATTAGAAAAGGAACATGAGAGCAGTCAAGGAGAAGGAGTGGTACTGAGAATGACGATTGTGACAGCGAGGGACGAAAGCAATAAGTGGAAGAAAAGGATCGAGAGTGGTGGTTGGATAGAGGTTGACGGTGGGGAGGGAGAGTTGAAGGTTGTGAGGATTTTGTGATATGAAAGACATGATTGAATATAGATATACAGACTGGATAGAGCGCGTTGAAATTGGATTACATGATGCATAGATACCTTTCTTTGCTATAGAGATAGATGTTCTTTATATATATATACACATCTTTAAACGGAAGCAAAATGAAAATAACAAAAGAGCATAGATGGCTATGAGATCCACTCTAATATTGTATCTACAGAACCAGCAAGTACTCGAGCCATTAGATATATTAGATATATTAGATATATTAGATATATTAGATATATTAGATATATTAGATATATTAGATATTAGACGTTTGATACTTCAAATGCATGTAAACCCAAATCGAGATCTCTGACCTTCCATCAATGTTTGTCTTTTGTCATTTGTCAACTTCATTACTTAATGGCATTATTGGTAAGTCTTACCACGCCTCAGTATTTCTATAGACTTGTGAATGGTGAAGTTAGTTATTATCTTGGTATTAGCAAGAAGTTTATATAGTTGGTGAGACAGAGTTCGATGCTTTGGGGAGGGTTGTGTATTCAAGATTGAGGATTGAATTTGATTATCAGCTAGAGATTATAATGTTAAGCTTAAGATGCTATATATATACTACGTAGGACAATACATAAAAGTGCTCTACAGTTTATTTGACGCAGTGGAACGGAGGTAATGGAGTTAGCCATGCGAGGGTTTGTATTGCTCAGTGTAAGGCAAATGAAGGATGCTTTGTCTAAGAAGTTTAATGTTTCACATCAGAGGTGCGACGGTCCGATGGGAAGTGGTAAATGGATTTAGGTATGGAGAGCTAGAGGTGCTATTTAGCCATGAAGGGGTTTAGGCGAGAAGTGTGGATATCGTGTTAGCTAGACTGTATATGGATCTAAGGACTAATTCCTAACCATAATACTTGTAGTAACCTTGACATAATATCAAAATTATGATTTTGAAAAATATCCCTTCGCGATTCAATACCAATGTATAACGTCATTTCCCCCAATGTGATTTTCCTCTCTAATTCACAAATTGTCCTGTCAACGAATCGCACATCTTTTCGATCCGACAACCTCGGCCCGGTACGTACTACCCCACAGAACCCCTTGTCGGATACTCCATAAACACCTCGTTACTCCTTATCCGCTTTACCCCATATTGCCAATTTATATCATATCTCCACCATGATTCACTCTAGTCAAGATCCTCTTCTCCGCATTTTTCTGTCTCTATATCAGTTAAAGTTTTCTATCTCTATAGACCCTCCCTGAATCCTCAATTACAAGTACAATAAACACGACAAACAAACAGACACGAGTAAAACGAATACAAAATGGCGTCTCAAGGTCCACTAACCACTACCCTAACCACCTTACTCGGAATAAAACACCCTATAATCCTTGCCGGTATGGCCCGTACATCTGGCGGACCACTAGCCGCAGCCGTCAGTAACGCCGGTGGTTTGGGCTGTATAGGAGGATTAGGATATACACCACAACAGTGCGCGCATACCATACCCAACAACTCCTAAACCAACGCACTAACATCACCCCAGACTCCGCGAAATAATCCACGATTTAAAATCTCATCTCAAAAACCCATCCCTGCCCTTCGGCGTCGATCTAGCTCTCCCTAAGGTAGGAGAGGGTGCTCGAGCTACTAATCATGATTATACGAATGGACAGCTGGATTCGTTGATTGATGTTACGATTGAAGAGGGCGCACGTTTGTTTATATCTGCTGTGGGAATTCCTCCTCCGCATGTAATTAAGCGTTTGCACGAGGCGGGTATTTTGGTAATGAATATGGTTGGGGCACCTAAACATGCTGTTAAAGCATTGGATGCAGGTGTTGATATCGTGTGTGCGCAAGGAGGAGAAGGAGGTGGACATACGGGTGATATACCGAATTCGATATTGATACCTGCGGTGGTGGATGTAGCGAGGAAATATAAACCTGCGATGTTGAAGGGACGGGAGGCGCTTGTTGTTGCTGCTGGGGGGATATATAATGGGAGGGGATTGGCGAGTAGTTTGATGCAAGGCGCGTGTGGAGTGTGGGTTGGAACGAGGTTTGTGGCGAGTGAAGAGGCGGGGTGTAGTAGGGCTCATAAGGAGGAGGTGGTTAGTGCCAGATTTGAGGATACGTTGAGGACTCTGGTGGTTTCTGGGAGACCGTTGAGAGTTAAGATGAATGATGTACGCTGCTCCCTCTTTACTCCATCATACCTCACACTTGATTACGCTATTTATCTAATACTTATCATACTAACCAACCAAACCAGTACATACAATCCTGGGAATCTCAACCAGAAAAGATCAAAGAATTAACCCAGAAAGGTATCACTCCTCTAGAATACGATATGGAACAGGGAAAAGATGTAGATATACCACATTTAATGGGTGTAGTAGCTGGAGTTATCGAAGATATTAAACCAGCTGGAGCAATTGTTGATGAAATGATTAGCGAAGCGGTAGATATGTTGAAGAAGGCGGATGGTTTCTTGAGTAGTAGTACAAAGAGTAAACTGTGAGATAGGAATCTGGAAAAAGGAAGTGGTAATGGGAATGAATCAGAGACATTGATGGTCATTGCTAAATGAGGATGGGAACCAGAATTAGAATATTGGAAATAGTATGAATCAATGGCATGAAAGTAACGTCCTGAAACTGAGAATCTATTTGATCGTAACCTTACATTGTTGAATCTTGGCTTGGGTACTAGGTAGATATCCTTAGCTACAATTGAAAAATCATCTAATCCTATCTTCAAATCTAAAACCTAAAATCTAAATAATCTACTATTCCAGCCAACAAAAAATTCCCCATCCAAGATATGCTCTCCGCAAATTTACAACCCCATGCATTTCCCTCTTAACAGCGATGAGCAGCTGGATTCTCACCACTCGGTTTTTCCCGCTCATATAATATTCCATTATTTTTCTTTTGTGTTCTCTTCTTTGTCTGTGTATTTTCATCAATGTAATAGATGCAGCATGAATAGCATTGTGTTTTGATCATTGGATTCCGGATTTTTATTTCCAGTACACAGTATCTACCTAGATGTGCAATCATGATTATGTCAAAGATAACTACTTGGCCTCGAGTAAAGTAGAAAGTTAAAAAATAACTATAATCACGTCTTCAAACAGGCGCCACCAACAAACCTTTTCTCATCACCGTATATTGTTGTATGGAAAAGAAATCATAGACCGCCCTATTGTTACTCATAGCATTTATAGATATCCCGTATTCGATTCATACAATAAACACCATCCCATCCCAAGCCTAAACCTAAACCCAAACTCCTGTGATGATCAAATCGTCATAAAATCAACATCATTCAAGTATAGCGAGCACTTCGCATATCTTTCGTCTTTCCGCCTTGTAACGCCTGTCTGCACCGCTTGTCTTATCGCCTACCATGGAAAATTTATCTACCCCCTTTCCTGTACTTCATCTCCTTGTACCACAATCCACCAATTTAATTCCAGCCATTGTCATGATTATTCATCGAAGTTTATTGGTGTCCTTAGATCGTGGGTTGATCGTTCCAATCTTCTGCACGCCATAGAACGTGAGACGTTGTAGTCGCCTAATTCCATATCTATACTTCCATGAGACAAAGTCTCCTCTGAAGGCATATAGCCAGGAACCGTAAAGTCTATTAGGACATCTAGTTTGGGCCCACGTATCCATTCCAATGCAAAGTAACATGAAATCTATTCTGTAATACTTCATATCTCCGGGAGACAAAACGTCTGAGAAATACTGGGTATTTTGAATCAAATCCTCAAGCAGCAAGAAATCTGGTTTAGCTAATGATAAACCATTGAAATGTGGGATCGTGGCCGCCAAATCCGCCTTGGATGACTTCTTCGGAACTTGGTAGAGTAGCGATTTCCGGTAAACGATATTAGCGGAAATTTGGTAGTCTCGCAGGGACAAAATCATTTTCTTTGTTATTATCATTAACCTTTCCTTCCGATAACTCTTTGTTACCCTGTGACTGTGATTGAGCTGAAGGCGATTCACTGGCTGGTGCTATTTCGGCAGGTGGCGAAGATGAATCTTCCACTGTCTTTATATCCTGCTTTGGCTCTGAGGAAACAGGTTCAACTGTATCCTCTACATAGAGACCCCTTTCTTGCGCTAATAGTAAAGCAGCCTGTCGTTTCCTTTCCACTTCTTCATCCTCTTCTAAACGTACTCTTTCCTCTTCCAGTTGTAAATCCTCAATTGATGGGGTGGCGGTCACGTCGAGACCTGAGATGTCTGGCGTGGTTGGCAACGACGTCCCCGAGCCTGCACCGCCTCCTCTCGGTCGTATTGTTTGTGATGATGATTGTGTAGTTCGTGATACATTTCTTGACTGTGCAGGCCTCTTGCCTTTACTGCTTCGCGTATTTCCACTACTCTTATCGTCCGTGCCTGAATTTGTATTTCGTCTTTCAAGTACCATGGCAAATTCGTCACTGAGAGGTACCGCATCTTCTTCATCACTCGGAAATAGATCTCCTCTCGATCGAAATGAATCCGAAGTCTCTCCTGAACTTTGTGTCGAACTCCTATTCCTCGCATGTCCTCTCATGAAATCCCGCGCTTCATCGTCAAGATCGTCTCCCATCAATGCATCTGCTTCCTCGCCCACCCCATTATAATCTGATCGATGTGCTCCAGGATGTTCTTGCAAATCTGCCGCGCTAGGTTTATATCTCAATGTTCCTCCTAATTTCCATGGTAAACGTCCTAGAAATCCTAAAGCACTTGTACTTGGTATAATTGTAGGGTCATTTTCTAATCCTTTCTTCCTTCCTCGTGTCCCATAACTCATTCCTCTTTTCCTTTTCGGCGCTTCAGTAACATTTCCAGAGTGCGATCCACTTCCCGCCAATAACCTATCCAGTTCATCATTTCCCCAGCCTCCCAAAAGCCCTTCATCTTCATCCCAATCGTCATAAAAATCGAAACTAAGTTCTGCGCGCCCTCTTGTCCGCCCTCTTTCTCTTAATCTCCTCGCCCTTTCTTCTTGTCCTGGAAAACATTGAGCTGTGCATGCATCAAAGCCGCTTCCGATGGTCGAAAAGCAGGGGTTTATATATTTATGCTGGAAGTTCCATATTCCTGCCGCAGCATTTTCGGTAGCATGTTCCGCATTCTGTGAGAATTGGTTCCAGGTTTGTCGGATGCGAGGATCTTCCAGAAGTGGTGCCATTGTTATATAGATAACAAAAGAGACTTCGCGCGGTAGGAGCGACGTTGTATTAAAGGCATCCAGTTGAATGTGGGTCTCAACGAAGCATTATTGTTGTGCGTTGTGCATTTACTGCAAGATGAGTTGACACAAGATGCTTTGTGAACATGTTCGTTTGGAGGCGGGAAGCGGTACACCAGTATGATGGGGGGTTGGCATTTTAAGCTAGATCGGATATAGTTTAGCGCATAATTGTACGTACTTCTGTACATGAGCCTTCTTCTCTACTCAGAAGCAGCATCACATCTTCTTACATCAAGACAACATTGACAGTCAGAACTTCAATACTTCAATACTCTAATAATTCAATCCTTCATCTACATGATCAAGCTTGGTGTCGAATAGATTTGATATTGGATGCTGAATTTGTTATTATCATTAATTACTGTAAAGTATCGCTACGTGTAATATCACTCTTTCCCTTTTTTTTTAACCCAGGTTCCATCTCATAATCTATTCTCGTTTTACCCTTCTAAAGACACTTCCGCTCCATCCATCATCTGTTACAATATGCTCTCGGATGAGCTTGTATCCACCAATTCTGGGTAAAATGTGAGCCCAGATCAACCAATAGATAGCTCCTGCGCCGAAGAACGCGATCCCGACAACACAGTGGAGGTAATATGGCAAGCTCTTGTACACATTTTGGCCAGCACTAGGTGGAACAAATGGTGCAATGACCAGGTACACATTGGAGAGGAGAAAAAACAGCACCACCGGCCAAGTGGCACGGAAAGGTGGGGCCCAGTGTTGTGGATGGCGATCCCCTGAGAATGGTCGAACGTAAAGGATGAGCAAAGCTAGTGATACGAAGACATTTATGACCGCAAGTGGATATGAAATCACGCTGAGTGGTGTTAGTTATATGATAACGACATCTCATGAGACTGGGGCAAAAGCGAAGTACATACTTCAGGATGAAATTGTAGGCATCTCCTGGTGGTGGAGCTAGCATAATGACTACAGAGACAAGCCAATGCTCGAAGAGTCCCATGAAGGGAGTGTTGAAAGGCTTATTACTTGCCCAAAGTCTGGAGAATGGCAAAATGCCTTCTCGGGCGATTTCTTGTACAACTACTAATAGTAAGCGTGAAGTTACAAGGGATATTGCAGCGGAGTGACCTACTTCTGCCTTGGGAAAAGATTACACTAAGGACATTTCCAAAAGCTGAAAGGGCGACAAAAACGGATAACACACGCTCGGCACGGGGTCCAAACATGTTTCTAAAAAATGAAGCAGCCAAAATACGACCCGACGTCATAATTTCTTCCTTTGGCACGGCAGCGAAATATGCAATCTAAATTCCGCATCAGTGTTATTTCTCTGGAAGTCTCAGGCAATCACCCACATTTGCAAGCATGTAAAGTACTCCAACAATAGCCAGAGCCGTCGGCGCAGCCATTTTGAGGGTCTTGACTGGATTTTTGGTTTCGGAGAGCGCATAATTGGCATTGCTGTAGCCAATATAACTCCAAATAACGTTATACAGAGCTGTGACAACCCCGTAACTGCACCGAGTTAGAGGACAACTAGGAATGAGGGAATTCCACTTACGCGCTGCCAGTCGTTCCTTCGAACGCATTTGTGAAATTGTTCGGCTTTTCAACTTTCAAGTGGCCGCCGAGTGCGACGAAACCCGATATGATGATCAAGAGAAGAATCAGAAGCTTTATGACACCCAAAAGGTTCTGGAGTCTCAACCCCCATTTTATTGAGAATCCATGGATCAGAAAAGCGGCAGTGATACAAGCCACTCCGACACCACGCTGATTCCAACGAGTTACCTCCACTTCTGCTGCACTGAGGATGTATTCACCAAATACCACAGAATTCGAACCCGCCCAGCCGAGTAGCACGACATACATTGCATACATACACGTGACGAGGAATCTGGGCTTTCGAAAAACATATTCAAGATAATTTTTTTCACCACCGTTCCGTGGAAGCCCAGTACCGAATTCCATATATGTCGCAAGACCGGCGGCCGCAATCACCATACCTGCAACCCAAATGAAAAGAGAAAGGCCAACAGATCCGGAAAGTGCAAGAATAGTACTTGGAGTTGAGAAGATTCCGGTTCCGATCATGCGATTGAAAATCAGGAATATGGCGGAAATGGGACCAATTTGACGGCGCGAGTCATTTGTTTGATATGCTGATCCATCTTCTTCTATCCAAAAATCAGAAATGAAGAACTATGAGAAGTAGTCGATTATTGGAATGGCGGTTGTACCTTGACTCTGGTCGCTTGGTGTTTCAATTCCTACCTTGGCATCCTTTCCAACTTGGTCCGTACTGCCATAGCTAGGATGACTCAATGAGTCTTTCGAATGGTCTCCCATGTCTTTGGTATTGAAATGGGGGTCTAAAGACTGTGCAGGCCTTAAAAGCTCCTAATGTCCTGATTGTTATGTGGATTTCGGATCTTGAATGTCTCAAGTACTCTGAGGTTATGATTTATGTAGGAAAGGATATAAATACAGCATGCTAACAATACAACGTAGGAAAGGTTGGGGAAGCCATCAGACAGGAATCGGACGACTCTTAAGTGTACATGAAAATGAGAAATACGGTGAGCTGAAGACGTGATTGAAAAATGATACTTATCCAAGCTTTAAGCAGCAAGTCAAGAAGTCCAAATCGAAACAACATGACAGATTGAAAGCTAGGCATGTCAGATTGAACCGAAAGGTATGAAAAGTTTCGGGTTTAAGTGGATCCTCATAGGTAACTTATTTTCTCATCATTGGTCAGATTGCCATTGCGTTCCAATATATATGATTTCGCCATCATGATGCAAGTATTGTTAGGTAAAATTTACGATGTCGTGATTTTGCCCAGCGGGATCTAAATTATAATTTTCCCCGATTGCCCCCACTCCACTGTACGTACCAATATCTAATAAGTTCACACAGCCCATTTACATCGTTGCATCTATCGACCCTTCACACAATCCAGACATTCTAGGCCCTTCGCAATCCTGAAGGATTTGAGGAATTGATGAATCTTCACGAAATGTTGCAGGGTGCTGGGTAAGGTGACCTAGCAGGGGGACAAATCAGATAAAAGTGCTAAACAGCATAATTGTCTTCTATCTACTTTCACTTGAATCGAATTTTGCTATCTCCTGATTATTTTTGCGAAATAAATTGATAACCAAATTCAACAAATCCTTTGGTTTATCCTCATCATAACTATTCACACTCGACTTCGTCTTCTTGAATCTCTCAAAATACTTACCCGCAATACCCACAGCATCAACACCAATCACTAATTTGGCGGGGCATGATCCAACTTCATAATGGTATATATATTCCTTATTACAAATAGATTAACAAATTAAACGAATATAATAGCATTGAATTCTAAAGCTAATCCACAAGACTGTTCGCTACTCATACTAATCTGGTATTGGGTATAATATTTTATTTTATTTTAAAAGAAAATTGTTTATTATTATTTTTAAAATAAATTTTATTTATAAATTATATATTAAGTATTTATATTGAAATATTTATAGTTTATTATATTTATATTAAAAAGGAAATATATAAAAATAAATTGAAAAATTCTTTTATTTATTTAATTTAAATAAATATATAAATATTGTTTAATTATTTATAATAAATATTTATATATAAAATTGTCATTTTTATAAATGATTTAAAAAATTTAATTGATTATTTTATTTGAAAATTTCAATTTATTTAATTCAATTTTTAAAATTTATTTAATATTTAATTTTATATAAAAATGTTAATTTTATAAATATTATATTATAAATTTAAATAATATATAATAAAGAGATTTTAAATTCTTATAATAAAAATAAAAAATACAAAAATCAAATTATTATCAAAGAAATTATAATTCAGATATATTATTATATAAATAAAATTAAAGAAAAGTTATAATTTAAAAGAGTATCAAAAACTTTTTTTTTTTTTTTTTTTTAATATCCTTTATATTTTAGTTTTACTACTTTTTGATTTCTTTCCTTAATGTTATCGAAACTATATAGAATAACAAATCTAATAAATAAACTCCTATTGGTACAAATTGCTCAATAGTTTCATAGAGTTTGAGATCCTTAGGATCTCCATTCATCACGTCTGTCTCTTTTTGTTTCTTTTCCTGATAATGTCCAAAGCTGCTGAGGGCAAGAAGAGCTCCAACGAAAGACAAGGCAGCTCCTCCTATTTCACATTTGTAAAGAATTTCATTTTTCTCCCAGTAGAAAATCAGAAGAAAACCGGCGAGTGTGAAAATCGAGGTCATTATTTGAATCGCAAGAGATAATCCGTCTACAGGATTCACACAAAAAATTCCAAAGGCGGTCCAGCCAGCTGTAAGAATCACAACTTCTACCAAGGATACTAGGAAAGTAGGCGGATGACTGTAGATTGCCTTTCCAGATGACAGCAAGCAGTTTAAAATCTTTTGACCCACAATGCACAGAATGATCCATATTTTCGAGACGAGTGAACATCCTTTTTCGAATAACCAACACAGACGATCCCAACCAAAATATAGCATTCGACAAACAAACTCCCAACAGGACGTCCAAAAAAGCTTCCAGAACTTTACAACCGCATCTTGCATCTCAGAATCCGAAACGTTTTGGTACCAATTATCAAAACAAGAGCTTAAACTTGACATTTTGAAGTTGTAGCTGTTTTTCATGCACAATTCGAGGTTGACAGGAAATAAAATCACGAGAAATTTTGTAAAGGAAGGAAATACCTGGTTGTCCTTTGATATATGATTGAGACAAGTAGTTTTCATCAGTAGTTTTCATCAGTTCCTTTCACTAAGTTGCCCGGTACTGCTTTCCAACGCTCCTTCACCAGGAAGAAAGTTCTATTTTCTTTTTTAAACTTACACATCTCCAAACTTCTCCTTCTTCTTTTCTTCAATCCAGTCTTTAACACACTTAATTTTCTTCTCAAACCCTGTGGAACAATTTACCCCAAGGAAATGATTCTCCCCGCCATTTTCAAATGCCGCCACTGTCCATTCCTTATTTTTCTTCTTCATAGCTTCCACAAACGTTATTCTCTCATATTGTGTCAGTGGTACAAAGCCACGGCTCCCGATTTCAATACCCGTATTGACTCCTTTAGCAGATTCCTCGATTCGATCTTCCAAATGTTGCAGCAGCTCCATTGTGTTGAAGTCTCCGGGCTTAGGTAATTCCTCGTGGGATATAATGTTCATTTCTTGATCAAGGGCATTTGCCACGGCAAAGAAACAAAGATCCAGGACCCGTGCGGATCGCTGCTCTGCTGGAATGTGTAGGAGATCATGGAGAAGCTTAGCTCGCATCTTAATTTCCGAACCGGCAAACAGTTGCGTATAACAAGCGACACAGAAAAACAATCCAACCAGAAAGCCAGTGATAAAGATAAGACCGTCAGAGTGTTTTTTCATGGCTAGAAGGATACATTCCATGAAGGTCATTTTGTACGACCCGGGAAAAGGATAGATCTTGATGAGATACTTGAGATTTTGTATTCTGATGACTGTAAATCAATCTGTTAGCTGTATTATTTTTAGAGGAATGAGTTGTAGGATATCACTCACAATATTTTATTTGAGTGGATGTCGTTAAATTTATATTCAATAAGTCTCTTTCGGAAACGTCGTAAGGGGAAGAGAATTCCAATTCGCTTCTTGTTAAAGCTTCATTGTGGGGGATCGGATGAACTTAAATATGCTCGACGATTACTAGCAGGGCTCTAAAATTCTAGTGGATGATGCTATTCCTTTTAATCTTGCCTATTTCTAGTCTAGATCACCTCATCTACTAAATCCTCTCCTACTAAGTCCTCTTAGTCCTTTATGATACATTGTTTGTCCAAATTCTTTGGGGCAGATCGGCGTATTCTGAGTCATATCCTGTGAGAAAGTTGGAATTATAGGCCAGATATATAGAGCTTTTTTATTAATCAATTATATAACCTTTTATAATTAAAATATAAAAGGAAAGCTTTTGTCTTTTTTTTTTATAGAATCAATCTTCTATATATATACATTTGAACCTATATAATTTTCACCCTAAAACCATTATGAACCCTGTTTTCTTCATAAGTGACGTATTATAATGTAATCTAATTCAGCTTTCTCTTCCAATTCCCTCTTCACAGTATGCTATCGGGACGCATATATCTCGACTTACCACTTTTACAGTATCCTAGAGCAGAGGTTCCTAAAGGAAAGCTTCTGGGACAAGTATTCCAGGAAAGGAGAAGCCTTAGGATGGATTATGTGATGAGGAGCTCTAGGAGCTTTTGGGAGCTTTTGAGCTCCATAGAGCTCCTTTTTATTCATTAGTATATAGTCAGAATAGTTTCATAGTTTAAGAGCTTCGTGTTCAACTTAGTTATCAATTAGTTTACCTACATTCCAATTGATCTAGTAACGAATTCACTTTCAAGTGAATAACCAGTGATTAATAGCCTTAACCTACAACTACCAACCATACCAACCTCAGGCAGCCGCTGCCTCGACCAGATCGTTACAAGTCGATTACGAGGATCGCCCCTCTAATAGACCCGCAACCGCCCGTTCGGGCTCCGAGCGACGAGTGCTCGGTAGTCATTCCTGCACGAGCGTTAGGGTTCGGAACCCTAACGTATATTGTATATTAAGAGAACATTGTTTTATAGAAATCGTAGCTTCTTGAGCTACATCTTATTAATAAAACCCTGACCTGTTATTCTGTCTGTCCAGCCTGTGATAATAGATTCATTTCTTTAATTTGAAAATTATCATTTTTTTATATGATTTATCTCGGAGGAGATTAATCAGATGATAATAATGATATTATATATTATAATAGTGAAAAAATTAATTTTATTTAGACTTAATAAAGTAAAATTGAATATAATAATGAATTAAAGTTATAATAATAAATATAATAGATTTTTATTGTTTTTTTGGTTTAATAATCAAAGGATTCTTTAAAAAAACCTCTTTATATTTATAATATTTAATGAAATTTTAATATATTTGATTATTGATAATAAGATTAATTTGAATAGAATTTTAGAATCATTTTATATAATAAAAAGAAATAATATAAAAGTGATAGGTCGAGATATATACATCCCGATAGCATGCTGTAAGGAGGGAATTGAAAAAGAAAACTGAATTAGATTATATTGTAATATATTATTTATGAAGAAAACGAGATTTACAATGGTTTTGGGATTGATATTATATAAGTTCAAATATATATATATATAGAAGATTGATTATTTTTAAAAGAAAAAACAAAAGTTCTTCTTTTATATTTAATTACAAAAGACTATATAATTGATTAGTTAAAAATCTTTATATATTTGGCTTATAATTCTAACTTTCTCACAATAATAATTAATAATATTCAATTTAATAAATAAGAAATTCTAAATACTTTTATTTTATTTTATTCTCTTTTAAATCAATCTGATATAAATTATAATCGAATTTTTATATAATAGTGAAATTTAATAATATAGAAGAATATTATTAATATATCACGTGATCATGAGATCATTGGTTTGGCTAATATCATTAAGTGATTTAATAACTTATTAAAGAATCTTATAAGTATTATAAAAAACATTATAATATATAAAGTATTTGAATTTAATTGATATATATTTACATTTTAATAGATCTTTCTCAATATACAATTTAAGATTGAGATATCTTTTAAATAAGCTTATATAAAATAATTAACAAAGATTACACCCTTTGCTTGTAGAATTTCTAAGCATACTGAAAGACTTGTAATATCGATAAGACCTGGCTCTATAGCTACAACAGTAATATCACTCTGGAGTGCGCTCATTGAGCTTACGCGATAGTGCGAAGGCGAAGCACATTGCAAAGTTTGGCGGTTGTATAACCCTTGCGCACGGGAATCTTAATCATGGACTCTGGAGGGCGTGTCAGATCCTGCGGTTCCGATAGACAAGGGTTTTGTGCTGGGCCTCGCGGGGTCACAATACTGGATTTAAATCCGAATTAATTAATTTGCTTAGATGCCATATACGTTTGCTCAATGGAAAATATCATCAAGCCGCGAGTGTCCAGTTTCTTAGCCTAAGAGTCCCCCTATTTACTTTTTTCCTCAAAGGGAAGACATTAATGTTTCTTCTTATTATACCCCCTCGTCTCGGGGCTCGAAAATTCCGATTGATCCAATCAGCAGTGATAATTTTCTGCACCCAGGGTCTGACATTCAAGGGAAACCCGCGTGCGCACCGGCCACTGTTAAATTCCCATTAGCAACTACTGATGCATTTCCAGCAGTAGCATTATGCGCAACCTGAAGTCGTTGCAGATCGCGGAATTCGCCAGCCGAAGATCTGCGGCGTGCAGGGAGAGCAGCAGGAGTAATATATCGACTAATAAGACAAGATTTCAACATTAGAAAACCTTCACTAAGAGGAAACGCAGCGAGGAAGTGGAGTATCACTCACTTTCATGCTCTGATCCAGGCATCTTCAACTTTGGCCGGCTATAAACGCCGATTATGTGCACGGGTACTTTCGGAAACTATGAACACTATGTGTTGAATAATTGCAGCCCTACGCAGGCATCGAATCTTAAAATATCAATAATCATTAGACCAACCATATATTCTTTATAATCCGTATCTTCTTCATCTGATGATTCACTTTCGGAAGGTTCATCCTCTAAATCACCATGTTCTTCCTCGTCATCACCATCCTTGTCTTCATCGTCCGTTTTTCCTTCTAGTCCTTCTTCTTTGACGTCTTCTGCTTCATCATCCGCATCCGTGCCATTGGTGTTGCCTTGCTGTTCGAGCTCATCCCCAGGTGAAGCTAAAAGCAATGCTAAATCATTGTCAATGAAATAGTTCTTAAAATTACTTACCAGCGGTCGGTACCTCTTCTGGCTCAGGTGATTCGATCATCACCTCTGGCATTTCTACATTCGGCTCCGGTAGCTCTATCTGCGGCTCGGAACCATCAACCCGGGTCTTCTTAGATCGTCTGGGCGAGGGGCGAGCTGGATTTGAAGTTGGATTTGAAGTTCGCTTCCTCTTAGGTGCCATTGTTTTTAATTGGTATTTTTAAAAGATAAGTTGAGGAGGTTGACAGGGTATGATCTTCAAAGAGTTGGTGAATGGTTCCTGTGTGAGCTTGAAATCAAGTCCCTCAAAAGTTTTGTCTAATTATTGACTAGAAGCTAACTGTAGAGATATTTGAATGAAATAAAAAGTATCGCAAAAGGAAAATAAATGAAAAATGGGACAATCTTGTTCAGCTCGGATTGTGTTCTGAGACTATTGGTTAACAAGTATAATAAGTTCTTGATTGAACAGGTTGTTGAATCTGTGAAAGGTATCTTTTGAGCACTTAGAGGTTATTGATGGAAGAAGTTTTCGGAGGAACAAGAGTTTTGATGCGGGTTGTAAACACAGAATTACATCTATAGTTTGATTGCCTATATATTCACTATTAATTAAACTTATTTATATATTAATATTTCTCTTTTATCAAAGATCAAAAATCTGAGATTTAAATAAATATAATTAAATTAAATCATGCTGTATTATATTCAATTAAAAACTTAAGATAATTAAAGAATATAAGATATAAGATTTTTTATCATTTCTCACTTTTCTTTGATTTTATAATGATATATGAATATAAAAGATTCATTTGAAGATACTACTTACTAGCAAATGTATATTTTATTGGAGTATTATTTTAGCTATAGAAAATTCTCAAGTGATCCAAAGGAAATATGTATCATGAAGATTGATTTCCCATATTTATATACACTTACCAATCACGATTGCTTTGTTTGTTATACATGACTGAGTACTATGCTGTAGTAAACATACATGAGGAAAAATAGAATAAATACCACAAAGACAAATCAAAATGATACAGGTTTAATTCAAAGTAAGTCTTACTCTAATAATCCAGTATCTAACTTTAGCTAAATCAGCATTTTACTGAATTTCTTTAATTTCAGCAACGCTGCATAAGAAGTGCATTCCACTAATAGTCATCAAACAAACTCCGAGGCCTAGAAGAGTGTGGTGTACAGTAGAGCTTGATATTTTGGTATACAAAATAAAAAACAAATATTGACCACAGCCTTTTCAACGACTTGCGGCAGGCGTAACAAATACTTACGATGTTGGCAAGTCGTATGGTAATAAAAGTGTTGCTCCGAGTAACTGAATGATTTCCGCGATATTCTTGTGGATGACGATTGTCATTGGCTGAAAGTATAAAAACTATTAGCATTTGTATTTTTGCAGGTGCAGGTCTGGGTGACCTCATCAGATATCATGGCGAGCCTCCAGCAAGGTCTTGCCTCATAAAGACGGATGGACCGATATAAAAATAACGACTCAAAAAATCGAGTTCTATGTGACGGTAAATCTCATGAATAAAGATGGAAGAGGTGGCTAGGCTCAAGATGCTATGTGCTGTGTATTATTATATCCTACTACGATTTGACAACTTTTTCTCCCCCATCTCCTCTATCTCTTTCTTCTTGTGATAATGTGGTGCGAGCTCATGCAGCCAATTTGCCTTGATAGGAATGCAACTGCGCATATACTCCTTTGTAGTTTGCACCAGTTCATGATACACCACCAGTTTAACAGGGGGATCATTTGCCATCAATACAGACGAAGGATGTATGTACACGGTGGTATTCCTCTTCACTGTGCGATAACTGTCACCGTCTCGTTGTAATCGTGCCGCATTGGCAAAGAACCCTGCCGTAATCGCTTTTTGAATTGGCTCGATATTTGATGCTCCGCAGCTGGCAATGGTAACTTCCACGCGTTCACAAAGCTTTGCAAGCTGATCTCGAACATCTCTGGCTCTGGTAAGAGATCGCTGTTGAAGGAAATTTTCCTTCGCCCAGACAGTGCTGAAATCATTATCCACCCACTGATTCCAGATATTGAGGTAGGTGAGGTGATCACCTCCTTCCTTTACTGTAAAACGTGCTCGCGCACTATCCGCGTGCACTCTCTGCTCCCCTTTTGGTCGGAAGAAGAGTGCCGAGCTTTCACCTAACATGGCCATTATGCTCAACATTTCGTCGGAGCAGGCCAGTTGGTCTGAAGCAATGATAGACTTCGCGACCTGAGGATCAGTCGGGAATTCGGCCATTTGCCTGCCAATTTTGGTGAGCTCTCCACGGTTGTTCAAAGCAGACAAAGCATATAGCTGATTAAGAGCACCAATTAAGGTCTCTGTGGGTGGAGGGTCCATGAAGTCAAAGCTCAAAAGATCATTGATCCCCAGTGACTTAAGTAACAATACTGTACCATTCAAATTCGTTCGCTGGATTTCAGGAGTGGTACTTTCTTCCATTTCGTTCATGAACGCCCATTTTGTGTATAAACGGAAGCACTTTCCAGGCCCTACACGACCAGCACGACCACTTCTCTGATTTGCAGACGCTCGTGAACATGCTACTGTAACTAACTTCGACATTCCTGTCGCCGGATTGTAAATGTTCTCCTTTACGAATCCTGGGTCAATGACATATACAATGCCATCAATGGTTAAACTAGTCTCTGCAATATTGGTTGCCAAGACGACTTTTCGTGCACCTTTGGGCGTTGGTTCGAAGATCTTGGTTTGTAGATCGGTTGGGAGATTTGCGTAAATAGGACAAATAACGAGCTCAGGTACTCTGGAGCCTAATTTTCTTGAAATATCACTTATTCGTTCTTCGGCCGCCTCAATCTCATCCTGACCCGTTAAAAATATCAGCACATCGCCACTTGGCTGAGAGGTATGTATCTGAAATAGCGTGGTAATAGCAGCAGCAAGATAATTGGCTTCTGGCTGCGGGGTGTTATAAATTTCAACTGGGTAACTACGTCCTTTGACATTGAAGATAGGAGCGCCGTCGAAGAAGTCCGAGAACGCTTGAGCGTTGATCGTCGCCGAGGCAATCAAGAGCTTGATTTCTGGCCTCTCTTTGGCAAGATCTTTGAGTAGAGCTAGGAGTATATCGGTATGCACAGTACGCTCGTGAGCTTCATCAATCATAATCACCTGGTATTCATCCAGAGAAGGTGTTATCATGACCTCTTTCAAAAGATGTCCATCCGTCATATACTTAATAAGAGTCTTGTCGCTCGTGCAATCTTCGAAACGAATAGCGTAACCAACTTCATTTCCAAGCTTGCACCCCATCTCCTCGGATACACGCTGGGCAACAGACATGGCAGCCACTCTCCTTGGTTGGGTCACTCCAATCTTCATGCCATCCTTAGTATACCCTGCTTCATGAAGATATTGCGGCAATTGTGTTGTTTTTCCAGATCCCGTCTCACCGACGAGGATAATAGTCTGGAACTGGTCTAGAGCAGCCAGAAATTCGTCCTTATAAGCGTAAATTGGGAGATTCTTCCTCGTCTCTTCGATGGTCTTTGCCTTCTGCTCAGCAGCTTTCAATTGCTCACCTAGGAACCTTGCTTCCTTATCCAGACCCTGCCCGGGTAGCTTTGAATCCATAATCCACTTGATTCCTTGTTCCTCGTCTAAAATGTAATCATACTCGCCCTGGTCGACTCGTTCGGTGCTTTGAATTTGGTTTCTGGCTAGCTTTTCCTGCTGCCTGTCCCATTCCTCATGCTCGGTAACAAACTTCTCCTTGCCATATTCATCTTTCTCGACGTAGCGTTTGTATAATGCATCTTGTTTCTTCTTCTGATTGAGTTTCCCTTTCTCCGTGATATAATCATCTGGCATAGCATAACCATCTAAGTGATCATCAATTCTCATTCTTTCATCGGCAAGTCGAAGGATTTCTCTATTCTTGGCGAACTCTGCCTTCTCCTTTTGCGACAAATTAGAATAAGGGTCGTTCAGCTCCCTCGTCTCATCCTCGACTTGTCTCCTCAGCAGAGCGAGCCGCTCTGTCTCACGCTTCTTCAGATACTCCTGCCTCGACCTTTCCCTTATATCTGGCATTGCAGCACTTCTTGCAGCGGCATCGTCTGCCAAAGCTCTCCGCTGTGCCATTAGAGGGTCGGATCTATCCTCGAGGATTTTCTTCGACTTGTCTGAATTCTTCGAAAGCAGCCTTTGCGCGAAAGCATCTTTTTCTGCTTGATCTCTCCTTCGTTCTTTTTCTGAATCCGAAATGTTATCGCCTGAGTGGCTTGTTTTGACTCGTTTGGAAGCAGGCTCCTGGAATTCTGGTTCTTCTTCGGAAACATATTCTTCGTCGCCCCATCGATCCTCATAATCAACATTCGTTTTATTTCGAATATTTTTCGAACGCTGCTCTGTATCTCTATGAGGAGATCTCTCGCGAGGAGGAGACCTTTCTCGGTGTCTGTCGCGCCGCGAGGAGCTCTCGCGATGTGACTTTTTCTCCTTCTTCTTTGCTACAACTTTCGCAGGACCTATTTCTTCATCTTCCATGGGAAGAAGCGCGTATTTTTTGGAAGCCATGTTATTTGATGTAGAGGGGCTAGCGGGTGAGAAGGAAGAGGTTTAGGTGAGTTAGTTGCGGTGGGCGGCTTCCAGTATAAATTATTGAAGAAGCATAATGAAGGTTCGCAGCCTCGCGCCACGCGCTATGTGATTGCTTGAAGCTCGAATAAGTGGGACACCAAACCGCCCGGTGATTACCCGAGACTTTAACATAGCATTTCTGGACCTCACTTCAATGTACAAAATTGGTCCGTGAGACGGAATGGGATGAACGGCAATTGAAAATCAAACAATTGAAGTGGAACAGACAGGAAAAGGGTTGTGCAAAATGAACCGCACTTCCATGAGTCTCTGGACAAGCTCCAAACACCTGGTGATGAGGGGCGCACGCATGTCACAACGACGATTCGCATCCTCAGAAACTCCTTCACCTACTGCAAGTCCCCATAGTGTCTTTCCTACATGGTCTTTTCTATTTCATGCACTTCAGTTCTTTTCATACGAATTATAGCTAACGCCCGCCCAGCGCGCCTTCTACAAAACCTTCACCCGCCCGATTGCAAAAACCCTTTTAATGGCAACCTTTATCTATCAATTGACTTATTGGGGCTGGGTAAAATTGGAAAAGGATGAATTGAAGGCGGGCAAACGAAGGGAAATAAAGGATCTCGAGGCAGAATTGGAGAAGGTTAGTGGGGGAGCTATCAAGGGTGAAGACGTAAAGGTCAAAGGGATTTAAGGGACAGTGGTAATACGTGTGCGCAAAATCGAAGCACCATGAGCGCTCGAAGAAGTTTGGCGAGATGGAGAGGAAGAAGCCAACTCGTCTTGACTAGATTATCCGGTAGTGGGGGCCTACCAGGATGGAATCCTGAGTCGCATTGCAGTGCCACGACAGATTTGCATGACATATCGCCTTTGAGGTATACCCATCAGTTCATCCTCCAATACGCGCACTCCAGAGTTCGAACATGTAGGCACAGGATGGTTTTCCCGTCATCTGGGAATCAGGTAACTAGCATGTTGAAGCTATACGTTTCAGAATCAGGACATGGCAATAGTGCTAAACATGTTGGCATCATGCCTTGTCTGCCCGAATTAAAAGTTTGATATTGGTCGTGTAATTTGATTGTCCTTTTGCGCTATGATTTCAGGTGTCATGGAAGTTAATATGGATCATAATTTGGGAGAACATATTAAATGGGAATACTCCTTCCACAAATCATTTTAACAAACAAGCTATTTTCAACAATTGAAAGTAGTGCTTCTCCCCACACACCTATTATACCCTCAGCGCTTTGCCTTCTTATTGTTTCCTCTCCTACTCCAGTCGTATGCCCAGCATAGAATTTGGCCCCAAAAAATTGGCACCAAGTGTAGCAAGCACTCTCTCTCCGTGTCTCTGTTATGAAATTGTACTTACTTTTTTTAAACTCCTTTGGTTCTTCTAAGTTCATCTATTTTGAAATACTGCTACGTATGTATTCGGCTGAATGGGCGAGGAGAGAAGAAGGAAAGGCTTAAGGGAAGGAAGCAATGGAGTTAAGTCGTCACCATGTCACCATGTCACGATGTCACGCATAGCATTATCCGATTATCTTTCTTTTCTATAATGTTGTTAGCAGAGATCGCGAAGCGGGGACTTGCCAAGAGAGCCAGAGGGACCCAGAGAGAGAGTATTTGCTTGTTTTGGTAGAAGCAACAGGCTGTGCGAATATATAATGGGTGCTTCGGCTATGGTGGTGAATGATGGATGAACGAGTGAATAGGTAGGAATTGCACGGTTGGGGGAAATGCGGAAGTTCTTGGATGGAGGCGGTAAAGTTTGGGCAGCGCGATGAATGATGCGTGGAGGACAGGCAGAGGACATGTTTGATGGTTGGAAAGTGAGATCATGGTTTTTTCAATTTTATATTATGCCCCTTATAAGCCTCTCGATCGTATGAAACCGGCTAATTTAGTACCGGAAGAGTAAGCAGAGATGTGCTAAGTTATTTGGACCATAATGAAACCACATTGCTGTAAAATTGGAGACGTATGTCATAAATGAGGTCCTATGCGACATAGGCAAAGGAAAAATTATTAGAGGATCTGGAAATGTCTGGATCTTTAAACATTTGTATTGCTTTAATCCAAGCATGGTATCTAATTATCTATCACCTCGTCGTCATATGTGAACTCTACTACATGCCAACTGAACCCAACTTATCCCTCATTAAATCCCATTTGTGTATCCTACTTATGCACCCTTCCATCTTCCAAATCGAGCCCAATCTCTATACAAAGTTCCCCAAACTGCTCTTGCGCTTGAATCCAGCCCATCAACCACAGCCTTTCGCCCTTCCATATCAGTACATCCAAATATCGCATACAACCCAGGTGTCATAGCAGCCCTAACGTCGGGCTTCATCGTCATTTCGAGGTTGAATTTTATGTATGTTTGAAGTATAATGTGCATGTGTTGGCCAGCGATCTTTTTAGCCTTGGCCACAGCAGATGTAAGATTGTTCATCGATGAATGGGAAATAGAATTAGGCGTGGGGTCACAGATGAGGGTGAGAAGACGTGTGAAAGCCTCCGCGGCTATTGGTGATAGAGCATTTGATGAGGTGGAATTCGTGGATGATTTGAATTGTGGGAGCCAAGGAGCCGGCGCAAATGCTTGAAGTAGCCTCTTAGAGGTGTGTGAGTGGGTCGTAAAGAGGCAGCGAAGAAGAGGCTGAAGAACTTGTATAACGCAATGTAGATGTCCCTCGAGGCGGAAGCGGTGGTTTGTAAGAACGGCCTTCATTAATGTACAGAGACGGATGAAGATATTGCTGGCTTGAGAGACAGGTAGAGAAGGTCCTTTGCTAGAGCATATTATGGCAATTATAGCAAGAGTACGATCAATTGACCACTGGGAGAGTGCACGACGCTGTAAATTTGTTAATGGCATTTTCTGAGGGTCGTCAAATGTGGAATCTTGCCTTTGTCTTCAGCATCATCTCCATAATTTCCTCCAGTAAGGCAAACACTCGGTATGAACGAGTTTTGATTATTTGGGTGCAAAGTAAATCGTATACCAAACAGAGATCAAGCGGCCTTCGCGCTATGTTTGCAGCAATAGATTCGTAACCTATATCTATGATGCGTCAGCTATAATCACCGAGAGGTAAACGCATTTCAGACATACTCTCACAGGCGCCAATAACATATTTGACAGCTACCAATTTCTCAAGTTGGGTAAGCCCAATCAAGTCCTCGCCAACTAAATGTTGCACAAGCTGCAACTTTTCCGTGTTGTCCATTCCAGTAGTCAATATTTCCATCCTTTTCTTTATGCCAGCTCTCCCAGCAGAGGTATTAACAAAAGCTTCCAAAGTGGTATGGAGGATTCCATCTTTATTGCTCAATACATGAGCAGCGAAAAATTCTGGTAAAAGCTGGCGTACATCATCCACTTCCGGGTTACCTTTATTCAGCTTCGTAATGTATGCCTGGCCGTCTGCGGCGAAAGCTTCAAGTGATGATGAACCCACACCCAGGGATTCGAGAGCTTGAAGAATGACAACGACCGATAATGATCCATCCCTATGGCTTCCAAGCTCGTCGGTCTTGGGTTTATGTTTCAATCGATGTTGCAGATGACCAAGGAGGAATTGCCTGAAGGATGTGCAAAGTTCTATGAAATCTTCGTTGCTGATAATAGCTAGATCATGCAATTGTTTTGATTTGGCGATAAGAACATTAAATAGCGAGTTTGATGTGGAGATAAAAGGTAAGGCCTTCTCGCCCTTAGATTTCTTCTCGTCATTGGCAAGCTTGGAGAGTTTATCACGGAAATAACTTATGGCGTCTAAGATATAGGTGCGATTTTGAGGCTGATCCAAGTTACTGGTAACATGGCTAATTTCATTGAAAGTAAGTAAGGGACCAGAAGGATAATATTGCGAATAGTACATACGACAAAGTTAACTTAACAAGCTCTTTTGAGGTAAAGAGAGTTTCGAACCGTTTAGACATTTCCTCGAACCCGACTTTCTTGGTTAATTTCTCGACTTCTTCGAAATCCTTGTATTTCATGCCCTACTACCGAGTTAGCAAAGTTGGCAGTTCTGGTAAGTGTACTAACCTTGTATAACGTAGGGCGATGCATAATTTTCAGTTTCAGTGCTAGCACAGCAGGATAACACTCAGGGGATTTTGCTAAGACGTCTATTGACCAGCTTTGCATAATACGCTCTCTATGCCTTCTGCTGAAAACCTCGAGTGGAAGTTTTGTTAGAGATTCAACAACTATCGGGTTACATGTAGGAGTAGCGAGAAGAGGATTTTTTTCTTGGGTCTGGCAGTCCAAGAGAATATCAATGAAACGACCTAGAATGTGTTGGCGAGAATCTTTATTTGGTAGTGTGAAGAAAGTGACTTACTTATGACATTAGAGTTATTGAGTACACAATCTTGACGCAAAACTCCAAACCACAAAGCGGCGAATGCCCCATGGTTTAATACATGATCGACTGTTGCGTTTGCGGCCAAGGAAGCTATCCAAACGACATTTTTCAGAAGCAAAGCGAACACGTCGTCTTGTAGGTTTAGGCCCAGTCTATAATTTCGTTAATTCAATATACTTTTCATGCATTGGAATTTTTAGAAGTACTTACTCGAGGACTCTGGGGTATTCTTGAAATATGCAATTATAGAATGACCATGCAGTCCATTGGGCTCCTCGTGATAAGACGTTGAGATAAACCGGCCATTCTTCAATGTCTCCGCCGGTTCGATCGATCAAGGCATCAACAGAAGGACCTAGATGTGAAAGACAACGTAAAACTACCGGAGATGCAAGACTTTCTAATTTCGACCCTTTTTCAGCTGCATTCCAAGCTGAGCATGCATATCGAAAGATTTCCAAATTATCTAATCCTTTGTGACTGAAGGTTTGGGAAGATAATATGCTGAACGGGCTAGCTTGCTGCTCCCATAGCTCGGTAATTTCATCCAAATGAGGAGGCTGCATCCATTGGAGGGATCTAGTCAAGAGTCTCCAGGCTCGCCAGCTATATCTGTCGTCCACTGTGCTGAAATGTCCGTTGTCAAATATCACATGATGTAGACGTGTTCCAATGATGTCTACGACATCTTCTCTTGTAATTGAGTTCGCAATGGCATCGAGAACGGTAACCACGGCTTCCGGCTCATTTGCAGTCTCTATGGCCAGCCAATCAACTAGCTGTACTATTTGTTGGACAGTCAATGAATTTTCAAGGAGCTTGGAAAGCTCAATCTGTAATGCTTCATCCTCCCAAGCACAGAAAGCATCTGTCGTGAACATTGCATCATCCTTTCGATTATGCTCAAACTTGACAAGCTGAGTGTACCAATGGCGCACGAAACCGGATAAATCACGAGCTTTTGCAGACTCATGCATTAAAGGAACGACAATTTCAGATACAATATGTTGAGATTGCTCTGACCACGATTGGTCGAAATAGATGCTGGTAATTCTCTCCAGGACAATGTTCAGCAAATCCTTCTCATCAGGGATGAGGAAAACGTTGGCATCGAGTTTCATCATAGTTTCCAAAAGCTTCCAATCCGTGTTTCCATCAGGTATGACATACTCTGCCGCCAGACTTCGTAGTTCATTGAGGCCAAGGTCCACTTCATGTTGGATACAGCTCTGAAGTAATTCGCGAATGGCAAAATTGTGCGCCCTTGTTTTAGTTGGAGGCATAGCAGCTTTCAATGTGGTAAATACAATCTGAAGCCATGCACTGTCTGCTGGCCGTCTTCGGCGGTCTCCATGGGCCTGCAAAGACCGGATTGCAACATCGAAAAGGATGGGAGCATTGGCAACATCTTGCAAGACTAATACTCTCGTTAAGTTTTGCAATAGAGTAAAATCTTGCTTCTCTCCAGCATTTGCTTTTGAAGGAATGATAATGTTGCGAGCAACAACTTTCTCCAAAGTTGCCTGCCAATCTCTTGTGGCCGTATTTGCCTTCGTCCTTTTCAACAATGCTAGCAAAGGCTCCGAACAATGAAGAGAAAATTGCATAAGATCTTCGCTCCCTACAACACGGTAGTCCCAGATGTCGATAAAGGGAGACAGTAAATGAGACGATATAGCTGGACCAGCTCCTAGAATTGTTTGGCAAAGAGACATCCAAGAACCTAGAACGATTGCAGACGCTTCAGGCGTGGTTTGTACGACCGCTCGCATATATTCCGTGGTGAATGCTGTGCTTCTACCATTGCCTGTTACCCTTTGCGAGAGAGAAACTTTGGTAGATCGAACAATACTATGGATGGCAGTGTGAATTGCCATAACTAAGGTTCTCAGCCCCTTGGCTGGGCCATGATATGTGTGTGTAACTAGTTCTCCCGTTCGATTGCGCTTCTTCGAGATAATGGACGTCTCTCTCGAGTCGGATCCTGACATTGAATCATCATGTGGTCCCACACAAGGTTCGTCGACGTCTCTGATCTCCTGTGCTTCTTGTAATGTCTGTTGTAGGGTTGCGATAAACTTCTTATCGTTAAGCATGCGTGCAGTATTCGCCAGCGGGATCGCATTCAACAATAGACGGAAGAGATGCCACGACGATGGTGTAATCCTAAGTGCCAATTCTTAGCTTATGATCTCAACGCAAAAGGTTATGATATACCTTGGAGTTTTATCCTTTGGCGACTGGAGTTTCTTCAAAAGCCATCGCAAAAGCCATTCCTCTCTACCATAAAACGAGCCAGCCGCGCATTTCTTCTTGAATGCTTCCTCTTCGTACTTTTGATAGTCTAATACGGTTGCGACTTTGTCTAAATCGATATCAACAAATTTTCCAGCTTCACGTATTTGTTCCTCAAATGGCGCTGAAGTTTTCTCAAGCCCTGCAAGTTTTTCTTGCGCAATTCGAGATTTTGAATCCTGTATGATGATTAGAACCTTTTCTTCAGGACTGATGTCCATGCGATCCAAAAAATACATACCATTATTCCACCCCTCATGTACAATTCGATTTTGTCGAGCCCCCTCCCTTATCAATGAGCTCAACTTTTTTTTTGGAAGCCTCTGAAGTAAATAGCTAAAAGTGGTAAAGTCCTTTGGCAGAATATATCACCGCCTTCCGTAATATCACAAGCGTATACACTAGTGATCGCATCGATAAAATAAAATTTCTATCTAATATTCGTTCGTTTGTTCCTCGCACTCGAACAATACCACAACTTAATTCCAAAAGTTTTTTATTGCTAAATATGTCCAAGGAAGACATTCCATTGAGTAACGAAGGTACTGTTGCCGTCGAGGATATTTCTTCCTTGACCATCCAGGATCCTGAGTCATCAGTTGCTACTGATCGCCCGGAACTTCCCCATCGTTCTCATAATCCAGAAAACAACATGAAAAGATCAGACCCCTTTCAGTTTGGTTCTCGATATCTCGGTGAACAAGATAACGTCTTCGAGTTCAATGCATGGGACCACGTCGAGACTGATGATACTTACAAGGAGTATGCAGAACTACAATACGCGAAGCAGCGCGAAGCTCCTGTGTCGGAATTTGACAAAAGTACGTTTTTTTCTACTTCTCTTGCCCCACAAACACTGTGTTATCCTTTTGATACAGTGCTACTATGACGATAAACATAATTCATCTGAGGTTACTAGCCTCTGAACGATACAAATATAGCAATGTCTTTCGCTCCTATCTGACTGTAGTTCAAATTCTTGAAATTTTTCATGGCTTGTTTCTATCAACAACTAACAATTTGTTTCAGATAGATTCAACTCCGATCCCGCAAAATGGTGGAACAATTTCTATAAAAATAACACTGCCAATTTTTTCAAAGATCGCAAATGGCTCCAACAAGAATTTCCTATCCTTTCTCAAGTGACGGAGCCAACCTATGGACCAGTTACCATTCTGGAAGTTGGTGCTGGCGCAGGTAACACTGCTTATCCAATATTAAAACATAATCAAAATACTGAATTGAAAATCCATGCTTGCGATTTCTCCAAGAAAGCAGTGGAAGTGATACGTGCGAACGAAGCATATGACACCAAGAACATACAAGCAGACGTATGGGATGCTGCTGGCGATGATCTTCCCCCAGGATTGAAAGAAAGTAGTGTTGATGTTGTGATCATGATCTTTATCTTCTCTGCACTTTCCCCAAGCCAATGGAATCGGGCTGTCCAAAATATCTTCAAAGTCCTCAAACCAGGTGGTGATGTGCTATTTCGGGATTACGGCCGCGGTGATCTAGCTCAAGTGCGTTTCAAAAAAGGTCGTTATCTGGAGGAGAACTTTTACATCAGAGGGGATGGAACTCGGGTATATTTCTTCGAGAAAGACGAGTTGGTCAACATTTGGACCGGAAAACTTCCCGAGTCAGACGCTGAGGGCAAAGCCTTAGTGATAGAACAAGATAGTGGCTTCGATGTAATTGATTTAGGCGTGGATAGAAGGTTACTGGTTAATAGAGCCAAGGAACTAAAGATGTATAGATGCTGGATGCAAGGCCGGTTCAAGAAGAAGAGTTTGCCTATCACCAATTCAAAGTAAATTTTTCATCCATGATGTATAATTCATACTCTATTGCCATTTCTGTGCCATAGAATGATACTAGTTGTGTCATATTGAGGGTGTTCATCATAGCTCAGTAAGGAGTTGGAGTATAAATCTCTGTGCATGAGTTGGGATGTTTTCAAAATCTTACGTTTCTCATCAGGCTTAGGTACGCCCTATTACACATACGCTCTTTTGCAATGAAAGTCCAAAGGCTTTTCCCACATGTTAGGATCAGAAAATTTTGGCTCATCTTGCGCTCGGAGCTCTACACGGTACACAGCGAGTTGAAATCATACATCAGTGCTAGCTAAATCTCGGTGCTAGCACGGCTTCGATGGAGCTTTCTTCGTATCCAAAAGCACTTTTCCCATTGGCCGTCGCCCATTAAGATCGTAAAAATTTGCATGCATTTCTAAACCCTCCTCATCTGCAAAAGTTCCTACATTAGACTCGATAGTTATTATTTTATATGCAGCGAATATTGCTCGTTCCGAATATGTTTGTCCAGTACATGCACGTGCATCACCACCACCACAACCAAGCCACGGATCGGGTCGTACTTGCCTCGCATACAAGATTGTTCAGCATTGAATCAAAGGATATTTTTGAATGGATTTTCTCCCTCTTCACAGAACTCCTTTGCCTTGCAAAAGCTACTTTACATGGATAATGGTCTGCTGGGTGCCCTCCTCCTCGACGCATCATATATGCTCTTTGCCCATTAACATTCAACCCTCTTGGATTGTTCTTCATGACATCGTACTCCTCATAAGCATCCTTGAAATCAAACTCTCGAATCGTCAACACGAGCATAAGTTTAATTTCTGTCATGGCTACTTCCTGACCAATACAGTTTCAAGGACCGCGCTCAAATGGCCACCATCCATTCTTCTGAGGGTAGAGGCTCGTGGCCTTCTGGTACTATCCATCGTTCTGGAAGAAATTCTTCGGGTCGAGGCCAGTGTGCAGGATTGTGGTGAGTAGCATAATGATCACCCAGACTATTGCACCGTTAGTTGGTAAACGGAGACCGTTGTCTCCAACTAAATGGAAGTCTGGCTGGCCATCGCGGAGGGCGGCCACTGTTGGGTATATGCGGAGACTCTCCTTAATGACGACAATAGTATAGGTAAGTTGATTCAAGAGATGTGGGTTAGAAGCAATAACAGCTTCAGCATCGTCAATGTTGGTACCCAGTACCTCAGTATGCTCAGCCCGAACCGTTGCCAGTATCTCCGGATGTTGGAAGAGCAGATTATAGGTAAAAATGGCACTAGCACAGGTAGTGTCATGGCCGGCAAAAATGAATAATTTTATTTTGCGCCATGGCAAAATCTTGAAAACTTTTATGAATGCCGGTTGCAGAAGGTTTTTCCGCAAGATACGCTTTCAAAGCTAGATCTACAACTGATTTGTCCTTTTTCTTGATCTCGCTGCCTTTAATACTTCGGTAACGTTTGTTGAGTTCCCGTGAAAAATAACTGTTCATTCGGTATGTATTGTATGCGTGAACAAATGGACGGAAAATATTTACATACTCCAAGAGCTCAATGTTCATGCCTGTTGTGCACCACAGTAGTTGCCTTCGCAAGGCTGCTGTCATGTCGTTGTAAGTTGTTTGAATGTGGAAGCTATGATCCATAGTGAAGATCATTAGCATTTTGTCAATTATCAGAAAGAAAGCAGTGTTAGCTTACATTGCAACTCCACCAATAATATTGATTGTGAGATTTAAACTAGGTTCCTCAAGATAAACCATTTGGCCATCCTCAGCATGCTTTCTTAGCAGACCTTTGAATATGTTAGTCTCTTCAATTATTCTAGGAACTAGAGTTGACACATGACTAGCACTAAATCTAGGATTGAATATGGCTCTCCAATATTCCCAGGTATCGCCTTCCAATGTAACTAAATCAGACTTGCCGGTCAAAGGCCTCAGAAAAGCACGAATGCCTTTGTCTTTTGATATTTGGTTTGCTTGAGTCAATTGGTACATCATATCCGGCTTGAGCACGACGAGAATTGGAGAAGCGAGGGGCCAATTGTCCAGGTAAAAGGCGCTATCGAGATGAGGATACCTTTGCCGAATTTGATCTCCAACATAGACGCCATGGGTGTGTGGAGGAAGGTTGCCAATAATGCTTGCACTGAGAGGTATATGTCCAAGTGACCAGTAATGCGGGGGCATGGGCTTTAGGATATATTAGCTAACATTCAGATTAAAGATGTCCTTGGTTCATTAACTATGGAAGTTAAAAACGTACAAGACCTTGCTTTTGAAGTCCTCGGATGAAGCTTCGCGCACGATAAAGTTTTATCAAAAACGTAGTGAAAAGTATGACAAATACGGCACTAGCAAGCCTCAACAGCTGAATTTTGATAATGCAGTCATGCTCTCGAGTTGAAACATATTTTGACACGGGCTCAATTGATAGAGGATTTGGTTCGAAAGTTACTTCTAAGGAGATGGATATCGAGCGTGCTAAACTAGGGCATCATATGAAAGGCCAGAGTTTGCCCTGGCTTCTTCCTTTCCAATACCTAGTTGCCTGGTTCCTGGTTCTGGATAAGATTTACAATCTGCGAGCTTCCATTTGACTAGCTACGTTGTTTTGGTGACTGTCTATGTTGGTGGTAATCGAGAGGGTCCCATTAATAGCTTGATAAAGCATGAACAATAACAAGCCGAGTACCAGATATTTGATCTGATTGGTTTATAATTGTCAATATGCGGCAGATATACCGCTATTGGCAAGTTGCGGCCTTGCCAACCAACTTATATTGCGGCACAGCCTCTATTTGCATTATCATTCATGTAAGCACATCGAGAAAACTTTGAGTCCGGCTCCTGTTAAGTTAATTCCTTTCCGAGGCAAGACCTTTGACAATTGTTCAACATCCCATGGACAGTCGCTCAGATGCGCCGCTGATGCGTTATCCGGTTGAATATCTTCACTTACCAACCTTGCTGATGAGTTCGTTGCGTCTTTCGTCAAGAGTTAGAGACATCTAGCAGTATGATGAAGAGGGCCAGCTAGCGTTGAATGATTTACCAAGCATCTCCGCGCTCAGATGATCGTAGTGAGAAAATTCATTGATAGCAAGATGAATGGTCAAAATGTATCAGAATTGCTACAAAAGTGAAGTTATTTAAGTAGACTCGGAGTTCTCATGGGATGTAAAATCTAAAGAGGTGGGTGGAGAGATATCTACCGGTGGTACTGATATCGTGTGACTTTCGGTTCTATTTTAGTGAAGATGTTCATATCGATCAATGACCATAAAGGAATGAGTCCCTTATTTTTAACTAGATCGTATTGTAAAACAAATCACTGCTAGTTGAAAGCGAAGAAGAATTCTAGCAAACTTATCACAAGAAGGGATCCTCGAGGAAGGAGACATCAGCAGCATTAAAAAGAGAAAGCCCTCTTGGGTAGAACATATCTACTACTTCCATCTCAAAAATAACTAAACCCACATACTACTACTCTCACGTGTCCAGATTATGAAGCTAACGAAAAGAAGAGAGGTCCACCATGTGGATTGAGCAGATACTGAGATGCTGAGATGGAGTGATGTTTGAACTCTATTATCCAGGAAACCTAGGCAAGTTATTTTGCTGTACTGGACCAAGAGAATGTTAAATTAGCCAGATCGCTCATGAATTTGGAATTCAAAATTTACAATTGTGAACCAGGGCTTCTGATAATCTGGATTGAATTCTAGCAGGGAGAAAGGACTTTCAATCCTTTGAGTTGTTTAGAACATTAAATGAAAACGTTTCAATATTTGACTTGTTCCAAACGGTGTACAGTTCTTCAGATATTGAGGGTCTTTCGGGCATGGGAACTCCTCCCTTAGATATTAGAAAGTCTTTCAGACATTGGTAGGATGTGAGAAATTGCCGAACACCAAAGCTCCACCAGGCCTCAAAACACTCTTTGAATTCAAAGCCCACAAAGAATCGCAATTTTTAAATTCGCATTTGACAATTAGATAATTCCTTAAGCTTTTGTTTTGGTGTTCGTTGGTAAGATTCAGTTGTTGAGTGGCAGAATAAAAGCGGTATGAAATAGGCGAGCCGAAGTGTAACGAAATATTAACCAACATTAGATTCGCTTCCCCATCAACTTGATAAGAAATCTTCATGATTTCCCTGCTGGCGCAATGGTAGCGCGCAAGACTTCTAAGTAGTTTATCTACGTCTGAATCCATCTTGAGGCTGTAGGTTCGAGACCTACGCAGGGAGTTACTTTAAGTAAGGTCGGTTTGAATCTGATCAAAATTTTTATTTTTTGGATATTTTTTTATTTTATAAAGTTATTATTAATAATTAATTAATAATAAAAGATTTATCTTTTTAAATTCTTGTTTGATGAGAGGAATTTCATATAAAATAGTTACCGGGCAACGATTCTGTTTTGCAGAACCGTTGCCCGACGGCGAGGCGAGGCTGTAGGTTCGAGCCCTATCTACTACGTAAGGAGTTCCCCTGAGTAAGATCGATTTGAATCCGATTCAATCATCATTTTGGGACATTCTCTTCTTTATGTTTCATTCACCCTTTTTGCTTGGGGCTGGTTGCGGAGTTTTGGTGTGGGAACATCCTTTTGCCAAATGGAACCCCGCATGTTTATTTTGACCAATAATAATAAGCTCGGACCATACATAGGTCTAGTTTCGTTAGCTCTACCGAAGCTTCCAAAAAATAATATCATCCCACCATCCTCTTCCCCTCAGTATCCAAAATGTCAACCAGCACACGCTTCACATGTTTACGATGTCAATTCCAATCCCTCACGCGCTCACCTCCTCGTCGTCTCTATCATGTCTCTCCACGATTACGTTCCGAAATACCTAAACCCTCAATAGCGCCCAAACAATCAATCGATATCAAACACATACGAACCCATCCCGAATTATATGAAAAGAGCTGTATAGAAAGGAATTACAAGCTTCAATCTACATATCCAACCAAAATAATAAGTTTATTCGAAAAATGGCACGAACATCAACGCGATGGAAGGGCGTTACGAGAAAGGAATAATAAATTAAAGCTTCAATTGGCAAATCCGAAATCATTACGAAATGATGATTCAGAAGAAGCGCAAAGTTTACAAGCACTCTCTAAAGAAGAGATAATCGCCGAAGCACGAAGTCTGAAGGACAAAATCTCTCAAATCGAGTCTTTGGAGACTGCCCTCATGACAGAAATCAATACCCTCGCATCCGCTATCCCAAATCTTACATCTGATTCGACCCCGCGCGGTTCAGAACCAAAAGTTATAAGAACCATTAACGAGCACCCGGAACCTATTCCATCCTCCTCTGATCGAGTATGGCGTTCTCATGTCCATATAGGCAGCGAATTGAACCTTCTCGACTTCTCCTCCGCAGCCACTACCTCCGGCTGGGGCTGGTATTATTTACTTAATGGCGCGGCGCTCCTCGAACAAGCACTAATCCAATACTCTCTCTCACTCGCCCTCTCCAAAAAATGGTCTATAGTCTCTCCTCCCACAATGATTTACTCGCACATCGCATCTGCTTGTGGATTCCAACCACGCGACCAATCTGGCGAACAACAAATCTATTCCATTGCGCAGACGCCTTCCGACGCCGAAAGCGGAAAACCAACCTACTCTTTAGCAGGAACCGCGGAAATTCCTCTTGCGGGCATGAAAGCCGATAGTACCATCCACGAATCGCAACTCCCATTAAAAACAATCGCAACATCACGTTGTTACCGCGCCGAAGCAGGAGCCCGCGGCATTGACACAAAAGGCCTCTACCGCGTGCACGAATTCACAAAAGTAGAAATGTTCGCCTGGACTCTCCCCACCCTGGAATCCACAACTGAAGTCTTCAACGAAATGCTCTCACTCCAAATCGGAATTCTCACCTCCCTCAACCTGCACTGTCGAATCCTCGAAATGCCATCTACGGATCTGGGTGCCTCAGCCATGAGAAAAATAGACATCGAAGCCTTCTTCCCCTCCCGTAGAGAGAGAGATGACGGATGGGGCGAAGTTACTAGTTTGAGTATTTGTGGGGATTATCAGAGTAGGAGATTAGCGACGAAAGTTGATATTGCTGCGAATGGAGGCAGGGTTGCCTTTCCATGGACCGTTAATGGGACAGCTGTTGCGGTGCCGAGGGTTGTGGCTGCGATTTTGGAGAATGGTTGGGATGAGGAGAGGAAGGAGGTTAGGGTTCCTGAATGTCTGTGGCCTTGGATGGGTGGAAGGAAGGTTTTGAAGAAGGAGTAGAGATTGGGTGTTAGAGAATAGCGAGTGGTGGGGTGGTATTTAGGATTTGGGATTTGATCGGATGATTGGCAAAGATATTGCATGGGACAAATTCACATATCTGCTTAGGTACTCACATGCAATGAATGGTTGATACCAGACGAGATGACACGAGAAGAGCTAAGAAGAGAAAAATGTACTACTAATACTACTACTACTACCTAGTGTATACCTCCTACCTCCCAAGGGAATCTCTTAAAAAATAATGGAAAAAGAACCACAAACAACAAGAATATAAATAAGATATACTGATCGCTAAAACGCTATTCATTAAAAGAAACGTAAATGAATAAATAAAGAAAGTACAATCAAAAAACTTCAGGACTTCATCAAGAAACCCGCATGGGTATAAGTAGGTCCTGCCGCAAGCCCCTTTCCACTCCCCTTTGCTTCCTAGCAAAGAACAAAAAGAAAACGAAGAAAAATTCCCACCCCTTTCCCCGAAGGAAACCAAGAAAGATACAAGAATTAGACGTGTGTTTCAGTAAACCTTCGATCAATCAAAACAAGAGAAGCCTCCTTCCCACCCCTATGAATCCAACGCTGTCCTTTCCCACATTGATATCGGTGCTTCACCTCATCGACAATCAAGCAACCTCTCCCTCATACAAAACCACGGGATTATATTCCTGCCCCGCACTACTATTCGACAACTCACTTTCCGTTCCCAAATGACTATTAGTTCCTAAATCCGTCTCCGTTTCATAGTCCGACTCCGAGTTGGCATCCCTACTTCCATCTATACTCTCCGCGTATTCCGAACCCCTATCCGTACCTCCATTAGCTGTAATGACAGTAGTCCCATGACTACTTCTCCTCATCGTATTTGAATCACTTTCATGTCCGGTTCTTTCCACATTATCATGATCAAGCGGTTCTTTATTTTCTTCATCTTCGTCTTCATATTCTTTCAATGCCAAATTTTCCTTGTTCAATTCTCCGTAATTGCGAGTCTTATTAGGAGCTCCTCCCCAGCTGGTTTTTCGTGGCGTCGTACCACCTGATTGTTTTACACTGTGGCTGCGTTTGAAATTTCCAGCGGGAAGATTGTTGTTGATTTGACTTAAAGAAAGAATACGTCGCTGGGCTTGGTTGGCAAGAGGTCCCTTGGTTGGAGAGCGATTTTTCATAGCGATGTTGATGGCTTCTTGGGTTATTGATGGAGTTTTTGATGCGACGCTTGAGGCGACAGAATGAGCCGTTGAGCTGCGTTGAGTAGAAACCCGCTTGCGACTCATAGGATCTCTTCCAACTTTCCTGTTACCTTTTGCCAGTAAAAGAGCCCGAGATTGATCAATGACTCCTTCAAGGATACGTCTTTCAAGTCCTTCGGCTCTTTCCTCCATCTCTTGCAATTCTTCACGGCGTATTCTCAAGGCTGTCTCCAAACTAGAGACATCGGAGGCAAGTCGCATCTTTTGGTGGATCAAATCTTCTTTGTCAGTTTTAAGCTTGGCGACATAATCTTTCAAAACCCTTTCTTCCCCTTTAAGTGAAGCAATTGACGCTTCAACTTGTTCCTTTTGACCTAGACGTTTCTCGAGAGCAATGGCAGCTTCTGCAGCAGCCTGCTCCTTGCTCTCATGGTCGTCTGCAATTCTTTGAGTTTGGGTGGAGACAAACCGAGAAACTTCTGCAGCAGTTGCCATCATTTGCTTTTGTAACTTTTCAAGCATTTCCAATTGTGCTATCGACTTTCCGGCTTCTTGTACGTGATCAGCTAGCTTATCAAGCTTCTCATGAACAGGTGTGTCATCGTATTTTGGAAACTCGACAGGAGGTGGAATCTCAGGTGGCGGAGGAATATCGTCAATCTTCTTCTGGATCGTCTCCGCTGAAGTCTTAGAATGTTCGTAGTGCTGGACGGCCATGTTGAGAACATCCTTGATCGATTCCAGAATCTGCGGATTGTACTCTGTCACAGTTCCCTGAACTCCTTCCACAACACCCAAAGTCTTCAATATTTGCTCACGTGTAAGCTGGTGCTCGGCCTTAGCATCGGCGTGTGTTTCCTCGATTTTGATAAAAGTTTCGTCCACACGGTTAAAGACTGTTTTTGAAGCTTCCTCCATCTTTTCGGCAGACTCCGCCACAGCAATTATTAATGTGTCGAGTAGAAGTTTGACATCTTCGGCCACTTGCTTTGTGCTCAAGATATTAGCCTCAACTTCTGTAGTTTTCTCCACACCAGCTGTAGCTCTTTCTTCTAAGAAATTCTGGAGCTCATCATACTTGGTAATGATTTCACTGAATTTCTCCTCGAAATGCGAATCAAGTTTATCCCAGGTTTGTTGGAACTTTTCGTCAGTCTCGAGCTTAGATCCAACCATACCAGCATTAGTCTTTTCAAACTCTTCTGTCATAGCATGGAACATTGCCTGTAAATCTTCGGAGATGGTGCCATTTTTATTGATAGTTTCCCCTAGGCCTTCAAGGAATGTGCGCACAGTTTCGACATTGGTTTTACCTTCATCAAGCTTTTCTTTAACTGCGTCTCTGAATTCCATGAGGAAAGACTTGACTTCTGTGACGCGCTCGCTAACACCAACAGTCTCCGCTTGTCGCTCTTCGAAAGCTTTAGCATTCGTAGTTGCATGTATTTCAATTCGGCCTGCGGTTTCCTTGACCAGGGTACCTATTGCGTTGACCTCATCTTTTGTGGCTAAAGCTGCAAATTCCGGGACGACGGTTTGCTCAATAGCAGATTTGATATCGAGGCATACAGATTCAACAGCTTCAACGTCTGTCTTGGTAACTTTGTCAAGACTTTTGAACTCGGTATTGACCTGGTCTTTTATCTCTGCAAGGCCAGTCAAAACCTCACGCACTGCAGTTTCAATCGAAGCAGTGGCATCTTTCCTCGGAACATCCTCGAGCTGCTCAGTTAATAAAGTAATACCGTCTCGGACCTCAACAACAAACACGCCCATAGTCTCAATATCCTCCTTCCTGGCAGATTGTTCCGGATCAATTTCATCAAGTTTGGCTTTTGTATTGTGAAGTAAAATCTCAATAGCATCAAGATCCTCTTTCTTGATTCTATCTTCTTCGGGAATGACGTCGCGTGCAACGACACTATCCACTTTAGTTTGAACATTCCGAAGCATTTCCTCGACGGCAGCCAAGTCTTCTTTGGTCACAGAGCCAGGGGCTAGCTGTGGCTTAGGTGGTTCCGTAGATTCCAGAGCCGCTACTTTGATGCCAAGCTGTGTAATGAGCATCTCCAGATTCTCAATGTCGTTACGGGATAGGTTTTCAGTAAGTGGGACTATAGCACGCTCAGAATTCTCCGCCACGGCTTGCTCGTTCTTTTGGTTTTCTTTAAGAACTTCAAGATCGGCTCGCACAGTTTCTAGACCTCGCTTAAGTGTGTCAAGGATCTCATGATTGACAGTCGTATCAGCAGGTTTGTTGGCAACCTTTTCCATTTCGGTTTTTAGGACAGTGAAACCATCCTGTAGCGCGTCAATGATCTCTCCAGTGCCCGGCATACTATCTTCCTTGTCCTCCCGTGACCGCGAGGCTTCCATATTGGCTTTGATGCCATCGAAACCTTCCTTTAAGGCGTCAAGAATCTCATCCTTGTCATCGCTTGCTCCTGATCGAACCAATGACGATGCTATTGAGCCTCGAAGATGTTCAAGCTCTCCATTAACTGTCTCAAAGCCACTAGTTGAGCTTTTGGAGATAAGTTCCTCCACCTCGGAACGAAGCGTAGCGAAGTTATCCCGCATGTTCTCAAGAATCTCATCCTTACCTGTGACGTCCGAGGCTCGATCAACATAAGCCTCAATATCAGAGCGGAGTTTCTCAAATCCATCTTTAGTTGCATCAAGGAGTTTCTCAGCGTCTCGTCCATTCGCAGCAGCATTTTGCTTAGCTTCATCCGATACTGCCTTGAAATCGTTTCGCATAGATTCCATGATTTCATGTATACGTGCAGAAACTTGGGCTGTGAAATTGTCAGCGGATTGAGGTGAGTTTCCCAACCCTGCTTCCACAGCTTGGATAACTTCATCACGGGTAATGCTTTCTGTAACCTCCCGGGTTAATGCCGTGGATGCCTTAGCAGCGGTAAAATCAAAGTTCTCAAGGCCTTCTTTGACAGCTCCGAGGATTTCTTCTCGGTTAACGTTGACATCATTTCCTCGAGTGAGCGCCGAGTCAAAAGTTTGTAGTCCCTCCTTTACTGCATCCAAGACGTCATCACGGCTGACGCCTACGGGTATGTCAAGGGTAAGAGCGTTATTGAACGTTTCGAAGCCTTCCTTGACAGCGTCAAAGACATCTCCTTTGCTAGCATTTGCCTCTCTAACGCTAACAATGGCTGAGTTGAAAGTCTGAAGACCATCTGAAACGGCTTCAACAACGTCCTCGCGGGTGACCGATGAAGGAAACCTTTGAGATTGTAGACCAACTCGTACGGCCTCGAACACATCTGCCTTCGTGCATGTTGGGGTGACACCTCTAGTTAATGCGGAATCAAACGTTTGGAGGCCATCTTTTACTGCATCAAGTATATCTTCACGTGTGAAACTGGCTTTTTTAACTGCTTCAAGAATATCATCCCGGGTAACGCTTCCACCAATGTCGTGGATCTCAAATCCGTTCTTCACAGCATCGAAAACGTCATCTCGAGTGATAGAATCAACATCCTCCCGCGTAGATGTTAGTTCTTTTGATTGAAGACCGTCCTTGATTGCCTGGAGAATTTCATCGCGAGTGACGTTGGATGTGTGGGCCTGAAGTCCTTCTTTCACAGCTCCAAGAATATCGTCACGTGTAACTTTCGGGGAAGCCTCTCTAATTAATGCGGAATCAAATGATCTTAAGACCTCTTGAACAGCATCCACAACTTCATCCCGAGTTAAGCCATTTCCAGTATGATGGCCTTGCAGATTTTCTTTGATGACTTCGTGAACGTCATTCCGGGTTATGCCACCTGTAGATTCCTGTGATTTGAGACCAACTTTGATTGCTTCAAGAACCTCATCACGAGTTGCATGACCTCCAGCATTTTTGGTCAAGGCTGAATTGAATCCTTGTAATACCTCTTGTACAGCATCAACAACATCTTCACGAGTGATGCCTTGACTTGGGCCTTGAGTTATGGTAGAGCCATGGAACTTGGTCATAACTTCCTGCATTGCATCAACAATTTCAGCGCGAGTTGCACCTGTTTCGGCATTTCCGCGGGTGAGAGCGGAATCAAAAGTGGTCAAAACATCCTTGACAGCATCCATCACATCATTACGTGTAAGGCTACCGCTTCCACTAACGTCCCTAGTCAGAGCAGAATCGAAGGAATGAAGACCCTCCTTTACAGCATCAAAGATGTCATCCCGGTTAATCCCAGTGTTGCCACCAACATCACGTGTAAGGGCGAAATCAAATGTTTGTAACCCATCCTTAACAGCCTCAAAAACATCTTCCCGAGAGATTCCCGTTTCGTTTTCATCCGGGTCAGATGCTGGAATTAGTGCACCAAAGTCAAAGTTGTGAAGGCTTTCTTTCACGGCATCGAAGACGTCTGCACGAGTGATACTGTCTCCCACCTCTCTACTTAAAGTGGGAAATTCATAACTTTCAAGGCCTGCTCTTACAGCGTCAAACATGTCGTTGCGAGTAATGGCTTCTTCATTGTGATGAGGCATGTGGGCGGAAAAGTCAAATGTATGTAGGCTTTCAATGACTGCGCCTACCACATCATCTCGGGTAACACCTCCGTCAATCTCACGATTCTGATTGGCAAGGCCAAATGATTGAAGCCCTTCTCTGATAGCCGTCACCACATCGGCCCGTGTGATGCCATCATTATCGCGATCAAGAGCAGAAAAGTCAAACTCTTTAAGACCTTCCCTAACGGCTTGGATCATTTCAGTTTGCGTGAACCCTTGGAGAACCTCCGCACTTAGTGCCGTTGGGTTTGCAGAAAAGTCAAAGGTTCGAAGGCCTTCAGCGACAGCATTAAGCATATCGTCTCTGGTAATTTCAGGTTCGCGAGGCTCTGGCATTGGTGCAGCAGGAAACTCAAACTCCTCAAGGCACTCACGAACTGCATCAAGAATTTCGTCTCTAGTAAGAGATTCAGAGTCGACTGGAGGTGGAGTAAAATGCTTCAATCCTTCGATGACTGCGGCAAAGACTTCATCCCTTGTTGCTCCTGGTTCGTTTTGAGGCGCAAACTCCTGGATACCTTCTTTTAAGCACACCAAAAGTTCTTCTCTCTCGAGACCAAAATGTTGCAACTCGATGTCGGGTTTATAATTTTCCCATGCTTCTCTGACTGCGTCGATGATATCTTCTTTCGATTCAGATTTTTCCGTTACTGCTGACCGTACAACGTTATAAACTTCTTTGTAGTCGATCTTTTGCGTGGCAGCAGAGGCCGAATTTTGTCGACGACTTTCCCGAATTAGTTGGTTCATATGCTCTTTCAATTCCTCCAGACCATTTTGAACAACACCAGTGACATCGGCACCATTTGAAACTCCATCTTTACTGGCCTGGTCTAATTTCCTTCCGATCTCTCTTCCCATACCCAAAACTTCGCCACGGAGTTCTCGGACCAATGCCTTGACTTCAGCGGTTAGCCCACCTCCCTGAGCGACGCTATCCTTAAGGCTTCGTATAACTTGAAGGACATCGTCACTCAGTATTTCACCTGAGCGACTGGGTCCCTGGGACTTACGCCTCTCCCTGTCTACTCCATTGGCAACAAGAGCCTCTAATCTTTGCGCAACAGAAGGTGGCCTGTCAAAATCTAGTTCTAGTCGAGGCGCATCCTCCTCAAAGCTATATTTACGTCCTCTGGTCTCTCCTTCACCATTGTTCTGGTGATGGGCAATGAGAGCTTGAGAAATCTCAGTGTTCTTCTTGATGAACTCCACTAACTCCTCTAGCTTTTTAGCCGTCGACATCCCTTCTCGGCCAAGTTGCGCAGCTATTTCCGTAAGTCGAGATATTAACAATTCCTGTCCTTCCTTCGTGCCCATCTCTCGAAGTATCTTCTCGAGCAAAGCCACAGTAGCAGCATGTGCAACAGCGTCGCTACTATGTTCTCGGCTCTGTTCTCTCGTGAATGGAGTTGATAATAACGTTTCTCGATCTAACGAGGCAGCGAAACTGTTGGGGCTAGGGATCCGAGGAAGGGAAAATCCTTTCGAGTTTCGTGATGAGGATGGTGATGCACGTCCCTTGCTCTCTGCGAAATGATTGTTGCCTCCATATAATGTACGCTCGGAGCCAGCATCAGACAGGCCAGTCACTAATTCTCGGAGACTCTTTCGTATATCCTCATCCCTGGCATTCGTCGCTTCTTTAAGGCTGACTAGATCCGTCGCGTTGTCCTTACTTCTTCTACTCAATTGCGCCATCTCTCTCTGAAGACTAGTACAAATACTGGTGAGACTAAGAATTTGATTTGAGATGGCATCGAATGTTTGAGGTTGTCGTGAATAAGCAGTAGAGCCATTGGTGACGTTAGCCAGAGGTGGATCTGTCTCCTTGGACGTCATATTGTGAAGAGCCTGCATTGTCGCAGACTGAGGAGGAGTATTCTCGCCAAACATACTGCTGTGGGGTGGCCGGCGCAGTGAAGGTCTTACATGCATCGAGTTTCGTCTTTCCCTAGGGGATTCGGCTTGGTTTTTGGTGGGTGTAGTAGCTCGAACGGAATCCTTATCTGACATCCGGTCGGAAAATTTCTCTGGTGGCTCCAGTCCGAAATCCTTGCTGGCGTGTGGTGTGGCAGGTCTTGTCGATGACTTCTCTGGAGGTTTCAAAGGACCAAAAGTTCCGCTCTCAATGAAACTACTCAGATCTCTAACATTGCCATTCTGTAGCGACTGCATTCGTTTGTGATTGGGAGCAGTACCCTTAATCAGTAAACGCTCAGGAGATGGTTCTGTGAGGCGTTTCGGAGGTGGTATGGTTATGTTATAGGTATTATCGCGAGCTCTTTCAGTAAGCGCTGCATGTGCGGACTTGATGGCTGCCGACGTTCCTCGTGAGGAAACATTCGGCGACGATGGATTCATAGGAAGTGGTGGAGGCGCACGTTCTGGATCAGAACTGTCCCACCTGTAAATATATGGTTAGAATCGCGTCAATCAATAGATGACATAACTAAAAGCTTACATTGGAACAATTGCTCGTCCAGAATCTATTGAACCTATGGAATGCGCAGAACTTCTGTGTACAAGAGCAAGTCTATCGCCATCACGAGAGGCTTCTCTTTCTGAAGAAGGCATTGTGGTGCGGAGGATGTATCCCCCGGAATTTGTTTATGTGGAATGTTGATATTGTGGAGAAGATGCAGGAAGTAGGTACTCGACGAACTTCGCGATACAAAATCGGGAATATGAGGGACAGTTGACGTGCAGAAAGTATGGAAACAAAAGTCCAAATTATGCAAAAGCCAAGCAGATTATGGATTGTATTAATTGTAATTGCCAAATGGCATTGGGTATTGAGAATTGAGAATCGAGAATATGGGGGGGATATTTTTTTTCATTAGGCAAGTCTAAAAGTTTCCATAATAAAAGTAAAAACGCAGCGGTCAAGAGAGGTACCGACTTAATATTTGTTTACATTTGAACTTGGCTGGCCTGAGCTGGGGACGCGGCGGGGCAACCGTAAACTAGTTACAAGGACAAGCACAGACAATTTCACGGGTAAAATTTCTCGGCGCGTATCAATGGGAACGAATCTTACTCTGTGGACCAATCGATCGGATATCATATCTCCTGTCACTTGATTGGACTTATAGTCCCGCCACATTACATCAGCCACATCACATCAGCGCCACCATCACGTGTACGCGATAAGCGAGGGCTCTTTCGCACTGAGCTAGATTTTATCGAAAAGAATTCTGAATAACCTCGAATCAACTACGCCTACGACAAACCCTTCGACAACTAACGACAGTCGAGATGAAGTGTATGTTTGATCCTGAATTCATTGATCGCGACTTTATGAAGATTCTAATTTGATCAATTTATAGTCCTCAAGACCGGCCGTGTTGCCATTATCACCAGAGGCAGATATGCCGGAAAGAAGGTAAATTTCCACCCTTTACCATTCATTTCGAATACACGAAACCAATCGAGCAATTATATGATCGAAACGACAGCGAAGAACGAGCTCTGGAGATTGGGGTATTGGGGTCATGAGTAATATATGCTGATGGAGGAATAAATTGCAGGTCGTGATCATCCAACCCCAGGATGCCGGCAACAAGTCCCACCCATACCCTCACGCATTGGTCGCCGGTATCGAGCGTTACCCATCCCAAATCACTCGCCGTATGTCCAAGGCCAAGCAAACCAAGCGCAGCAAGGTCAAGCCATTCATCAAGGTTATCAACTACAACCACTTGATGCCAACACGTTACACTCTTGAGTTGGAGGGATTGAAGGGAGTCGTTTCCGCAGATACCTTCAAGGAGGTTTCCCAACGTGAGGAGGCAAAGAAGACTGTTAAGAAGGCATTGGAGGAGAGATACACATCAGGAAAGAACAGATGGTTCTTCACTCCTCTCAGTATGTTATCTCTTTCCAAGGGAATTTTGCGCGAAAAATTGAGCAAGACTAACAATATTTTTAGGATTTTGAACAATTCTTCTGCGTCATCGGGTCGGAATGGGGTTTACATGGTCTAGTCGCATCATGAGCTAGGAATGAAGCATCTCCATGAAAAATGTTATGAAGCATGCTTTTCCACGTTGCAGCGTGAATAAAATGTACATTTTGACAAAATCTCAGTTGCCGATCATGAAAATGGTTTGGAGAATATTTGGTTGATTGTGATGTGAATCTGGAAAGGCGGTGCTACATCAACAAGTACAAGGAGACATACTTGGAGGATACTATACGACCCCCAGCATTCGAAATGATTGTACAAATCATGGTCGGAGGGTTTATTCTTCAATATCTCAACAATTCCGACAAACTTAATAGTCCCTCCCGAAACCTTCGAGTCCACATTCTACAATCCGAGTTCCACTTTCATCGTATCAATCCAAGTTTCTCAATTTCAAGATCAATGCGAGTTTCTAGTATTCTAGAAGTGTGTTGAAGTATCAATATGCAAGTGTGCGCAATTATAATTGATTGTGCGACGTCACTTTTCCTACAAGCTCCAATGTAATCCAGAACCTTCCTTTAAAAAAATCCTCTTACGTAGCCCATCTCACAATGATAGCCTATTTCTTACCCTACAATTATCAATTGGAAGAGTTTCCGTTGGGTCTTGCGGATGGGCTATTCCTCTAAGAAACATAATCCTGAAACGGACGCAACAACTAGATTTTGTCCTTGTAAACAAACTACTCACTTCAGACGGACTCACTTCAGACGGACTCACTTCAGACGGACTCACTTCAGACGGACTCAAATACCGAGTACAGTACAGTAGTGCAGTGAGAGACTTGCGCCTGAAATCAGCCGCTAAACGAAGTTTGTCGCATCTTGAATTCAACGGGTCATTCCCGTGAAAAGATTGAATAAAATTGACATCCATAATGCAATGAACCTCTGTCCAAAACGCTCTATGTTGTTTTAAATTTGTTATACTGTCTATTTTTGCCGATGGTTCTATATGGTCGCAATCTGGCACCGTCCCAGGTTGCAAGCAGCAGTAATTCAAATAGCAGGTTGTAATCTGACAGATGCAACTTATCAACTAGCCTCAGCTCAAACCTTCAGCCGGCCAGTAAAGATGTTAATGTATAATATAATAATTCTTCTTTGGATATCTCATACACTTACTCCTTCATATCTTTTCTTTTTTTTTCTGAAATTCTCACTATATCTTTCCCAAATTGTTATAAGCTTCACCATTTCCCCGCATTTTACTTCCTTCAAAGACTCGCATCACTTAGCATCTAAGATTTACTATCATGAATTCCCATCAGACTGTCTCGGTAGCTCTGCAGATCCACCCATCGTTCCTTAATAAACCCCTCCCCACCTCTCATGCATAAAAGATTCATCCGAGTCCCTTGTCTTTCTTACCGTAGAAGCTCGGGATATCAAGGGCGTTTGTATAGTAAGTTGACTTTTAGTCTATCAAATACTCAGGTTCTACCCGGAATAACGCGTGGAGTTTTCAATCGAAGTCTCTTTATTATTTGTTTCCGCCAGAGAAGATGTGAGAATATATTACACTTTCGAGTAAATCACTTCTCTCCGCCAGAGCAGACATGAAAATATATTATACTTTCGACTAAATCACAAGATGTTATCATTGCATCGATTTCGTCTGGGAAAGGAGAGCTCGTGGGCGATATTTCAAGGTTGGTGAGAACTGGTATTTGCTTCGCTCAGGATCATAAATTCACGGCTAAGTATATTCTTGGTGGTTGGTATAAGTCTAGTACCTTACTTTTGGGCCACCCCTCTTTTGAGCTACTCTTTTATATCAAAAATCGTGATTTTCATCTATTAATAAATTTACAATCAATCAATAGATTAAATGAAATTTGAATTATAGATTTATTATATAATTATTGTGTTACGAGGGGTGCGATCTAGATCACATAGAAGTGGCCTGGATCCTCGAATGGTTTATAATTAGATGTCAAGTAGGAGTTTTAAAATAATATCAATAATTGTAATTTGTAATTAATAGTAGAGTATACTAAATGATTGATTTTAAATATGAAGTTTTACAAAAGGAATCCTTTTCTAATTATATAGATCTTTATACTAATTGTTCTTTCGATCTCCTCAATCCTTTTAGTAAAGGGATTGAAGAGATTTAAAAAACTATATAATTTTATAAGTGGTTATATGATATAAGGCCCGAAGTTGTTGTAATATTATTCTCTTTTTAGTTTAGTATTTGTTTTAAGTGTTTATATTAATGTAATAATTTTATTGATTTGTAATTCTTCATTGTTTTTTTTTCTTAATATAAATATTATTCGAATTTCGAAATCTATTGTTAATCATCAAAATATTTATTTTCGAATAAAAGAAAAGGGTGTTATTATATTGTTTAAGTGTAATTATTGTTTTGAAAAGGATTTAGAATACAAAATATTTCCGAATGCTATTTGTTGTAGTGAATATATTAGAAGTATAAATAATAATAATTGTAATATATATAATTATACTATTAATAATTGAATTCGAATGGTATATAAGGAAGTTTGTCTTAAGGTAAAGGAAAAGGTTGCTACGAAATTAAAATAAAAAGTTTTCATTTGTCGAATAAGGATTCGGAGGTAGTAAAAGGTTTTATACGAAAAGATTGGGAAGATGTTTTAATATAATTTTTATACAATTAAGGTTTTAGAAGAGTTTAAAGCAAAAAAGGAATGGTTAGAAAAGAAGAGATTGGAAAATGAGTGTATAAAGAAAGAGAAGGGGTAAGCAGATACTGGTTTGTTGGTGTTTATCGAGATTAGTTCGAATGTATTAAACGATTTTGATTCTTTTTCTTTTTTAAATTCTTTGGATCCTTTTTGGGAAGGTTTGGATAACATTGATGAAATATCTTCAGCTTTTTAGGGCAATTAAAATCTTTCTTTAATTCTTAAATATTTTCCGAATATAGGAAATCCAATTATTTAATTAAATACTTGATTTTGTTTCTGATATATTTATAATCTAGTATTATTTCGATATTATATATAATATTTGAATTGACTAATTCGATTTCTATTATAAGTATATTGAGTGCTTTTAGTGGTGCTAGTTCGAATAAGGATATATAGAATATTGAATGGATATTTATAATATATAATAACTTTAATTTATAATTGATTAATCCAATTATTTTATCGATTTTGAATGATTCTAGTTTCTTATAATCTAGTTTATTATTAAATCGTTTTGTTTATATATTTCTTTAAAAAAGATAAACTTTATTTTTCTTTTTAAATATAAATCTTAGGCTATGTAATGTATTATAATATATTATTATTCTTAAAATTATGAATTATAAATCTAGAAAAAATTGTTTTTGTAGATTCTTAATCTTTTCAATATTCTTTATAACTTTGTTTATATTTCTATTTTGTAATAGTATCATTCGATATATTATTGAATGGAATTCAAAGTTAGTATAAACTGATATAATTTTTATTATTTCTGTTTCTGATAAATTGTATATGAATTGAGCTAAGAATAGTAATTCAATCTAATTATCTTGTTTATAATTAATATAACATTGTAAATAGACTTTTATTATTTAATTTAATCATTTTGTTTATTTATCTATTTATAAATAAAAGACTATCGATAGCTTTCTTTTTATACCTAATAATACCGTTAATATAATCTAAAATTTCGAAGTAAATAACTTATCTCGATTCGAAATTATCTTTTCTAATATATTATATATATTAACTATATTTCTTAGAAATATATATATCAAATTGTTAATAGATTATGTTTTATAAAATAATATTATATAAATATATTTAATTAATCTATCTATTATTATTAGAATAATATTATATTTCTTTTTTATAATTGATTCTTTGAAAAAAGATAGTTTAATTACAAAATCCTATATAATAGATTTCTATAATTTTAAAAGTAAATCAAGGATTTTGAATTGATTATATAAAATATATTTAACAGTTTTATTTCATATATAAATATTGTATTTCCCAATTATTTTTTCAATTATTATTCTTATTCTTGGGAAATATACTTCCTATTATAGCCTTGCAAATATTTTAATTATTCTTTGATATTTGTATATTAATAATCTGTATTATTCTTTAACAAAATCTTTTATTATTTTAATAAAAATATAAATCTTATTATAGAAATAGATTATTTCTTTTTTGATTATAAATCCTGATTTTAATTTTTTTAGGATTTGTTATATAATAATATTATTTTTGTAATAGGATAATAATTGCAATTTGATTATATTATTCAATAATTTAAAAATAATAATTAATTATAGTTTATTATATATTAATATATCACCTTTTTATTTTAATATCATATATATTTTGTAAATTTTGTTTTATAAATATTTTGATTTCCAATTAAAAGTATTTGTTTTAATATTTTCGTTTTCTTTGATATATGAAATTCTGAAATTATAGATTATTAAGATCTTCGATCATCTGATTTGTTATTGATTTAATTCCTTTGTTATAATAAAGTAAATCAAATTTTTATAATTTATATATATTTATATTATATATTTTGATCCTTTCAAATATACTTTTCATTCCTTAAATATATTTATTATTATTAATAATTCTTTATTATATATTTTATAATTTAATTCAATTAGTGATAACTTTTATAAATAATAGATAATTAATTGTTATTTCTTATTCGAATTAGATTGATTTAATATAATTCCTATTATATAATCCGAAATATTTGTTTTTATAATTATTAATAATTCTAAATCAAAGATTAAAAGAATAAATTCCTTAATAAAAGCTTCTTTGAAATCTTCGAATACCTTTTGTACTTACAAAATCTATTAGAACTCCCTTTGATTCTTTTTAATAATTTCCGATATTGAGATAATTATCTTAGAATAATCCTTGATAAATTATTAATAAAAATTAACAAATCTTAAGAAGGATTATACCTCCTTTACATTATTCAATGATTCCCAATTTTGAATTGTTTTTAATTTATCAAAGTTTATCTTAAAACCTTTTGAAAAGATTATATAATCTAGGAATTCTATTTCTATAATATAGAATTTATATTTGTTAGATTTATATTAAAAATCTACTTTTTTTAAATATTTTAGTATCTTATATATATCTAATATATATTATTCCTTTATTTCAAAGAATACAAGAATATTATTTAAATAATATATATAATAAATATCTAGATACTTTTTTAATATATTATTAATTAATCGTATATATATTATTAATACATTAATTAATCCGAATAATATAACCTAATACTTATATAATCCATATCGAATTCTGAATATTGTTTTTTATTCTTTACCTTTCTTTATTCTAATTAAATGAAATTTATTCTTCAAATCAAACTTGAAGAAAATCCTTGTTTTTTCTAATTGATCTCTTAATTCTGTAATTA